CCTCGAGTCATACAGAGGTGAATTTGCATCGGGGTGGAAATGGTATATGGACTTTGGTTTCGCCTGAAAACCTTTGTTACAGTGTGATTCTTCCAAAGGGTCTATGGTCCAAAACACTTACGTGAATGAGGCTTGCTGAGCCTTTCGGGACTCTTTCAACATTTTAAAATGCTGGCCTTTTGTCGGATATTCTTGCTCGAAGGCCTCGATGTGCCTTCTGAGCTGTGTTCTCGCCTCACTTTGCTTCCAAACCTGCGCAAACTCTTCCGGGGTACGTGGGACCCTATCTTCGAAACCTGGTTGAGTTACACGTTCGGATGGATTCGTAAGAGATGTAAGGAAGTCGGCCGTGGTTTGACGATCAGGACAGTGGTATCCCATGTTGGTGAAATAGGTTTTGGCTTCATCCTTGGGGCCGAAGTAAATCTGCCTTCCTTCGTATAATACAGCGACTTTGTCGAAAACCTAGATTTTTATGAGAAAGGTACTATGAATATATAGCAGTATTGAGAGCTTACATCGTAGGCTGACTGTGAAGCTTGGTACATAGCAACGATGGCTGCGGTCTCTCCCAGCTCCGTGGAGAGTCGGAGGGTCTTGGCAAATTCAAGCGCGGTCGCAGAATCCAACCCCCTAGTGCTATTGTCCCAGCACTGGATGGCACTCTGATTCAGGGTGACTTCGGCAATGCTAACTCGTTTTCTCTCGCCACCGCTAACACCTCGAATGAAATCATCGCCGACCCTTGTGTTCACGGTGTGTGATATACCAAAAATAGCCATAACCACATCCCTTAAATGTTGGGCATATACCTCGCGACTGACACCTGGAAGCCGGTTCTTAGGCGTGCGAGCCAACGCAGCAAACTGAAGCGTCTGGCCAACGGTCATCTGAGGGAAATGGATATCGGTCTCGGCTTGGTAGATTACTTCTCCACGAAAACGACTGTGCATGAGATCCCACGGTATGCCTTGATAGTTGATATGGGACTGTTCGTCAAGGTATAAACCATGTACATGACCGGCGATAGTTTTCAGCAAAGTCGATACGCCACTTGTGATCGAGATCATCAGCTTAACCGCTTCCAATACCGCAAAGACAAAATAGAACCAAATTGCTTACCTGCCAGGACGCCCCAAGACCAAGAGCATCTCGCCACTCTTCACTATTCCATCAAAATCATCCAGAATCTGAATTTTATGCTGCCTATGTGAAATCCATTCCCGAGCAATCAGAGGTGCTCGCCAGAGAACGTTAAGAAAGTCTTTCTGGTAGTCGGTATCTTTGCCGAAGCCATACACTCCTAGGTCGCGCCAGGAAACACCAACGGGTGGTCGAGGATATTTTTCTGGTTCCTGGGCGAAGGCATGCAGAAGAGTCTTAGCCCACTCTCTTGCATTGAAATAGGGAGAATTCGGGTCAAGCTCCGGGGAAGGCTTTAGGAACGGATTCACTCCTTGAAAAGCATAAGACTGAGTACTCTGTCGAGTGAGGCGTCTTGCCAGTGTAGCCACGCGTATCGAGTGGTCCTCTTCCGAGGAAGTATCAGATGAGAAGGAAGCTTGGCCTGGGTCTAACATGGCCATAGTGAACTATCCGTATCAATATTGGGCTGAATCTCACAAACAGAAACATATAGACACACGAATGGCTAAGACCTATATTTAAATATAAATGTAGCTAAAAAATCACCGCCAGAGCCTCACCCCTAGAAACTTCAGGAAACCCACCCACATGCCGAGCGTAGAGATAGCTCGATCACTTCGGTAAACATCTCGGACTATGACGAAATAATCAGGACCCTAATTACTATGTGGCTGCGTTAACTATCTGCATGCCCTACGCCATATGTATGGACGAATTAAGATTTCATATGAAAATACCGATCAAGTGGTTCATAGACAATTTCCGAGCTGACATCTTGCCGTGTTTTGAGTCGTACAGATTAAAGACTTCGGCAAACACCATAAGCTGATGCCCGAGATAAGTCTTGGCATTCGGAGCCGAACTTCTCGATACTATTAGTCCCGTTCGGGGCTCAACGAAAATGACATCTCTCTTCAATAATTCGCTTCCTTTTTCTCCCTTTTCTTGTTTTCATTCAGATATCGGCGCTAATCTCCCGATGCTTTGCTGATGTGGTATTCTCCTTGCCTGGGTGTATGCTAATCAAGCTTCTAGATACATATATCTCCTATTTCAATGATGGTATTAGGTATTAGGCAATAGGTTATCATGGAACGGCCGTATACTTCATGTCGGAATATTGCACAAGTTAAGTCTAAATAGTGCGCCGTTATGACCATAACTTTTTCGAGAAATTTAGTTAGGAGTATTTTAATACCAGAAGCCGAGGCCTCCCGTACAATATAGCTGATTTTCACTTCAATTATATATTCACTACCTAACTGGTATACGGCTCTGGACGGCTGATAAACACGTTATACTCTGAATAAAATTAAATAGGACCTGATCAACTAGATGATCAACTAGATACGTGTCATGTTAATATAATAAGCAAAATATACGATCTGTAGGAAGAATAAGAAAAGAGGGCTTGTAATGACGATAAGACGATGTCTGGGTTCCTAACCAGGAGAAAGTCCCGTACTATAGGACCTTTATAGGCTCCGTGCGGTCATATGCCTCCCATGTAATACATTTCCCTGTATGAGGCCTAGATACTCTACATCTGTTCAATGGTCACCTCGTATTAGGCGAGAGAGGCACACTCATAGCCTAGTCAATCCCAGCAACCTTCGGTTGCCCCAACATCCCCAAAACTATGAGCAACACGGAATCAATTTCCGTAGGGAATCACATGGTAAAGGATTCATAAGAATAGAACCTGATAAGACTAAAGTTATATCTGGATCAATAATTGTAATAAGTTAAGTATCTTAGGTAGTTACTTAACCTAAGGTATAAAGAAGGTCGCTATGTTTCCGTCAACCAAATTAGCTTCTACTTCTGCAACATATCTAAAACAGAATTACCTATGCTTTTGCCTTACTTCAATCATGACAAGATTTACAGGAGTAAATATGTTCCTTCTCTCCGCCGTCATAGGCAGACCCGTATAAAACCTGGTATTTCACGGCCAAGCTTATAAAAGCAGAATCACGTAACTCTCCTAAGTTTAAGGCTACATGGATATGATGGTAAAATGATATTTCTACTACGTAAGAAACTGTATAGCTACCCGAGTATCCAGGTTAAAACTCCCGGTATTTGATTCACGTATAAGTAATCTCCTTACATATACGCATAAATGACCCCTGAATAAACTTGATAATAGTCTCGCTCTTTAAGGTCGAAAGATTAGACAAGAAATATTGTATGACCAGGCCTTGGTATGCTAGTGAGCGAACCTAGTTGACTGAAACTAGATTATTCTAAAAAGAACTATTATTTGTGAAGGGCATTTGAAATCTATTAATCATATCCAAGAATTCATAAGCCCTTCATCAACATGAACCTATTGGTTGTATTTCAAACTCAGGACTGCTAGACTTTCATAATAATAACGCATCGCCGTACCTGCTATATTTATCCTAATTGAGCGAAATGCTTCAATATTAGACTACGTCGAAAGCCGTTGTGTTGCGGTACCTTTGAGCGTGACATATACTATAATAACCGGGGACGTAACACGAACCAGAAATGAAGAAAAGACAGTGAGAAGGTTTGAAAACTTGGCTGACCACGTCATCTCAGATTTATACTCCCTCGTCTATCTTCATTAATACCCCCTGGTCCTAAGGACCGAGTTAAGAACACGGCATATGTATGATAGCGTGTCTAATGGCAGTAAGACAATGGAATTCTGGGATATCGGATATGATGATGATCCGACATTCATACTACGTTGCCCCCTATGAACCATTCTCACCAATAGAACTATAGTTAATTCTAACAATTTCACTCATAATCCATATTCAGCCACGGCAGCTCAACCACCCCTTGCCCACTGACCACTGCCAAATTACGCCCCTTATCCGCCAAGCAAAGCTTGTATACAATCTACATTTCCGGAGCATCGTCTTGAGCACGCAAAGCAGGGATATCTAACCAGGCCGAAACCGTCCTTACTTATTCCTCACTAGATCGGGTAACCGGCATATCCATCACTCGCTATCATCGCGTAGGGCGCAAGTGCCGTGGGCGAAGCCATGTCCTAATTATATAGACCCGGAGCACGCATCTATGCAAAGGCGGATACACGCGTCGTGCCAAGTTGGCTCCCTCTGCGCGGATATACAACACAACATACCAAGTATACAACCCGTACCCCGGTTCCAACATGGTGGATAAATGTTGCGGATGGCAGTGAAGACACTTCATGGTTGCCGTGCCACGCTATGCCGCCCCGGCCCGTGTCTCTGCGTCGAGTCCCCTTTGGGATTCCAGAGGTGAGAGATAATTCGCGAGGCCTCGCACAGAAAGGGTCATTACTTATTATTTTTGTCATCGCAATTACGCTCGCCGGCAGAAATCAAGTGACCGCTCAATCAAGCGACTCGGCAAGGGGTGTCGGGAGCCAATGGGGAGCGGTATTCTGCCACCCTATTTAGCCCTCTGCACACCTCCTTTTGGGTAGCCGTCTAGCTGTGCGTCCGGCACTTTGTCGACTACCCTTTCCCATCGCTAAGGTGATGATCGGCGCCCCGTGGCCAATGGAGTGCTTCCGAATCTAATATGCGCAACAGCGAAGACTGAAAAAAATTGCCTCGTGGTATATTGCGCTCTTAGGTAACGTTTTTAACCTTACTTTCTCGTGCCCACCCCCTTGGTTGGCAGCCTCTGAGTCGCTTCCATGCGGACAGGGGTTCCCCACATTTTGCCATTCTGCCATACTCGCAGCCTGGCGGGTCTTGGCGTATAGGGGTATAGAATATTGTGCTCCTCCGGGTTGGTGAGGATGAAGGATATAGGGGGGCGTATTTCTTGTCATCCTCAGAGAAGAGAACTAAGGAATAGTAACTATTGCGACTGTTGCAATGGGGTTCCTCAAGAAGTTATTGCCGTTCGCTCTCGCGGGCGCGTCCCTTCAGGGGCTCGCTGTCGGCGTTGACTTTCCTCAAGACGATATCAATTCGGGAAAAGCTTTACAGCAGCTAGGCCAAACAGCCATGGAAAATGCTCTAGCTCGGCTCGAAGGCAGTTCGTCAACATGTACGAAGGAGAATGTTAGGAGACGCAAAGAATGGTATGTAGGATTGTTCCCGATTTTGCTACGCAGGTCTAACCTACGGATAGGAGAAATATCCCGGGAGAAGAACGAAAGGCATATGTTAAGGCCGTAGAGTGCCTGATGGAACTACCAAAGGTGTACGAGAACGTGACTGGTCCAAAGCAAGTTCTAAATTCGAGGTGAACTTGGAGGCGCTGGGTCCTAACCATTTGATTAGGTCGATGTTTGATAGCTTTGGAGTACTTCACTATAAGATGACGCCGTACGTCCACAACTCGGTAAGTCAACTATACCGGCGTATCTTCTCCGCAGTATTCTAACAGTGTGCGTAGGCATACTTCCTTCTCTTTCATAGACTTTACGTCTGGACTTTCGAGGAGAAACTAAGGACCATGTGCGGCTACACCGGTGCATTCCCGTACTGGGAGGTCAGTTATATTCCGGCCAAGCTTCGTATAGCGGATCTAACTCTGGTTACAGTGGGGCCTCGACGCCGGCAGCGTTGAAAAATCGCCACTCTTTGACGGCTCCGAGACGTCTTTGGGATCGAACGGGGCTAAGATCAATACGACCAACCCGGGTTTCTTCCCGGGCGGTTCGGGCGGCGGTTGCGTGACCAATGGGCCGTTTGTTAACTACACGGTCAACTTCGGTCCTAACACTGCCAAAGACCCGCTGGCATATAATCCGCGGTGTCTGAAGCGAGATCTAAACACCCAGATCTGTGCCCAGTGGGCTTCCCTCCAAAACACCACCGAGACGATTCTCGAAAGCCCCGACATCGCCCTGTTCCAGGCCAACCTACAGGGTGATTTCCGCTGGCCCGAGGCTCGCAAGTGGGGATTCGCCGTTCACGGTGGTGGTCACTTCGCCATCGGTAAGTCTTGAGCTTTAGAGTACGCAGACTTAGCTAATATGTATCTAGCTGGTGACCCGGGCGGGGACTTCTACTTCTCGCCCTTAGAGCCTGGCTTCTATCAGCACCACGGGCAGATCGACCGCATGTACTTCATCTGGCAGAACCTCGATTGGGAGAACCGACAGGTGAGACAGCCACTAAGTATTTTGACTTCAGCTGCTAACCAAGACATGTGTAGACCATGGCTGGAACTATCACTATGATGAACATGCCGGAGAGTCGCAACGGAACGCTAGACGACGTGCTTGACATCAGCCCGGTTGGCGGATCTTTCAAGTACGGCGAACTGCTCGACACCGTAGGGGCTTCGCCTTTCTGCTTCGTGTATGAGTGATTAAGCCGTATCTCGGAGTAAGATTCCGACATGGGGATTGGCGTTAAGGGGTAGCGGTGGTACAAAGCTGTGATTGAGCCCCGGGGCAACACGCATGGAGTAGGTGCCTCATCATATCGAATTTAATAGAGCGAGAAAGTGCAACGCTATTAAAATCCGAAGACATAATCGCTTCCTACATATTCGCACTCGCACAGTATCGCCAGTGAATGAGGTATAAAAATGAATAAGTACACGTGAAGTTACAAAGTTGGTATTTTTAGGCAATACGCCGGGATATAGATAGGATGTATATATGGGGTAACGATGTCACTTATAAAAATGCTAGTTATATAGTAGCATCACCATTCGGCAATCTCACCGGGCTTCGGTCTCTGTACCCGGATAACCTTGTCAGCATTTAGCAGACTAAGAGGGTCAAGCGCTTGCTTGATCTATAGAGTAGTTAGTATTTTACGAGCTGAAGGACGCTTATGTACTCACCTTTCTCATCGTGTCGACTGTGCTCTCGCCTAGTTCGTGCGGTAGATAATCTCTCTTGACTAGACCAACTCCGTGTTCACCCTATATTTGTTAGATCTGATATTAGGATGCTACCTAGGTAGACTTACTGTCACTGTTCCTTCTAATTCGACGGCTCTTTTCACCATACGGTGCACTAACTCCTCGGCAGCATGTCTCTGCTCGTCATTTGAAAGTAGAATAACTGGTGCTTTGTTAGAAAAATTAAACTGCTGTATATCCGGTCGCTTACTGTGAAAGTTTCCATCGCCAACGTGTCCGACAATAGTGCCGTACATGCCGCTCTTCTTCATATCGTCCTTAGTCTCTTCGATGAGGAGAGGTAATCGGCTCATAGGAACAGCTACGTCTCCGGTCCACACCTTCTCGCCGGGCTTGGCGACGGACATGGTGCTCCACAACGCCTCCTTCCGTGCGCTCCACAGCTCGGCTTTTTCGACCTCGGAGCGGGCAAACTCGAAGCTCTTGCTACCTGTTAACTTAGCCATCTCCTGGACAATTTGGATCTGCTCTTTGACGCCACGCTCGGTTCCGGAGAACTTAAAAAATAGTGTAGGGACTTCCTTCCACTGTTTCGACGTCATACCAGCTTCGTTGATGCATTTCATCTGTTCTTCGTCGAGAATTTCGACGGCAGCAACCGGGACACCTTGACCGACTACTTTCGCGACACAGTCAGCAGCCTGCCGAATCGTACCGAAACCGCAAACCGCCACACTCGTGCTAGCGGGTTTCGTGGTAAGCTTGAGAGTCGCCTCAGTGACAAGACCTAAAGTGCCTTCGCTGCCGATAAAGAGCTTCGTCAAATCGTAGCCTGCAGAACTCTTCCTAGGCCGTTGGCGAGTCTTGATTACTGTACCGTCCGCGAGCACGACGGTAAGCGAGAGAACCCATTCCCTCATGGTGCCATACCGATACGAATTCGTGCCGCTACATCCAGTACCAATCATACCTCCAATCTGGGCACCTGGGCCTGGGTCGGGAGGGAAGAACAAGTTTTCCTTGCCGATTTCCTCGTTGAGTATCTCCCAGCCGACAGCCGGTTGCACAACGACATCTAGATCCTCTTTATGTAGCGCAATGATCTTGTTCATCCTCTGGAAATCTACGCAGATACCCCCTCTCGTTGGTGTGAAGTGACCTTCTAAGCTGGTACCTCCACTGTAGCCGACAACTGGTATCCGCCGAGAGTGGCAGATCTTCATAATCTGACTAACTTCCTCTGTTGAATTCGGGTAGACTATCATGAACGACTTCTCCGACTTCTTGCTGCGGTAGCTCGACCAATCCGAGTTCGCGTGAGTTTCAAGATCAGACTCCACTGTGCTGACATTCTCCTTCCCGACGATGCTAGCAAAGTCAGCCCAGGCGGCTTCGAGATTCGCCTTGTCGTTTTTGTATTTCGGATCACGAGTAAGAGCTAGAGGAAGAGTCGAGGTAGGGTCAACATCTCGGGGAGCTTTTGTGCCTAGGAAGTAGGAGCCAGCAGCGGCACCGAGAACGACTAATAATTAAAAAATTGTTAGATTTATAATTTACAGTTATATGAACTTGAGGCATTCTTACCGAACGTCGTAGCCCAGCGCCTCGTTCCCGCTGATTCCTGTCTCTGTCTCGCAAACTTTTCTCTCTCTGCCTTCTCGCGCGCGATTCGTGAGCTTATACTCTCAAGCATCTGACCCTGGAAACTAGAACCCTGATCTTTCTTCTCTGTGGCATATGATCGCGTACTCTGTAGGTATGCGACGCATGGTGAAGCCGTCCGGACGGGTCTGGGTACCCCGGCGTATTGAAGCCCGGCGTGGGTCGATCGACATGCGAGTCGCGACATGTTGAATTGAGTTATGTCTTGGACCTAGACCGATTGCTATATCATCTTATTATATTGTAGAACTTCGAAGAAGAACTCTAGATCTGTAGTCACTTCCAATTCGTATTTTAGAAATTAGGAAGGATTTGGGAGGGGAATCAGCATTCCGGAAGAGCTTCCCGAGGGTAAAGATTGAACCTGAGATAGCCGTTATCGCCTGTAAGAAGTGGAGTTCGGTATCGGAGCCCCACGGTGCTCTCTAATTCCGACTCTTCGCCATTCAACAACTAGATGACGTGAAGGCTAATTGACCAATAATTGATCGAATATTACGGAAATAAGTAAGGAAATTGAATAGATAATTAACAAACCCTATTAAATCGGTAAAATATATAGAGATAAGCATTTTATAAATATGTTTGTCAAGAAGTTAAACCATAATGAATAAATATAGGTAATGAGTAAATACAGCTTTCAAGAGTTATATGATATCAACTAGGCTTAATATAACCCCTATATACAAATTAGGGACACGCTCAATCCCCTATTCCGGCCCATTCGCTGTCGTCTTGCCCCTGGGTATCACTAATTGTCTCCTGAGTCTTCCTCTTCTTACTTCCTGCAATTGCTCCGCGTTTATTATACTCCTTTCGCCTCTCCCACGCGCTCTGCGTCGTTATCTTAGCAGCCTTGGTGCCTCGTCGAGACTCCACACCCCGTTGTTTCAGCTTCTTCTTTTCTTCTTTGCCAACCTTCGGCAGTGAATCTATTAGCCATTTAGGAATGCTATCCTGGCTACTCTTCCCAGCTTGTTTCTCGCTCAGAGAGATGACGTTTGCAATGCTTTTAAGGTACGTGACATCCTCAGTAGTGTAAAATGTTACAGCCATACCGCCTTCGTGACCCGCTCGTCCGGTTCGGCCTACACGGTGGACGTAGGCTGCTGCGGACGTTGGGACGTCGTAATTAATCACGCCGTTGACTCCACGGAAGTCGATGCCTCGCATGAGTAGATCGGTTGTGATTAGGACCCAGATTTCACCTGCACGGAACCGAGCGACAATGCTCGAACGGGCCGAGTCTGACAGAGATGAATGGAGAGCTGCGATACGAGACGAGCCGCCGGCTTCCGGAGGTATATCGAACTTTAATTCATCATGCAGAGCTGTAGCACGCTCGATTGTCTGTGCGAATACTAGAAAAGGGAGTCGCATTTGCGGCATCGAATCGTCCGAAGATTTAGGGTGTAAAAGTTGACGGAGCGCAAACAATTTGCCCTGCTCAGTAGCGGTATAGATGAGTTTGTGGTTTATGCTTGGGACTGCGGTGTCTTTTAGTCCAATTACAAGACGGACTAGAGGGATGGAAGAAGATTCCCGGGACTTCAATTGCTCTAAGACGAGACCTTCAATGCTGGAACCCATAGTCGCAGACCAGCATGTTAGTCGCAATGATTCATTAGTACAAGCAGACCAGATCCCAAGAGTCTGCTCGCGGAAAAGGGGGTCAAGAAGAACATCTGCCTCGTCTAGGATCAATAATTTGACCGTCGGCAACGTCCTCGATTTTAGATAGTTCCGTAAAAGCATTGGCGTTGTGACTAGTATATCCGTTTTAGTTGTTGTCATCTTTTTCTGTTCGCCTTCCGAATCATCATCAGCACTACCGGCCTCATCCTCACTTCCAGAGGTATCCCCATCATCAGCATCTACCTGGCCTTCTGCGGGTATTTGTATGCCCTTTTTCATCCCCACGATCTTGACCCCTGTGCCCTGCGCCAGTTTTCTACCTTCGTTAACAATTTGGTGAGCAAGCTCTCGCGTAGGCGCAACCACCACCACTTCTAACACATGCTCTTTATGCGCTGTATCACCAGCTCTCCTGCGTAAGATGCTGTTGATGGCTGGGATCAAGAACGCGAGCGTCTTGCCGCTGCCGGTTGGCGCGACTGCCAAGAAATCAATGCCATTGTCAGTGTTGAAGTTTAATTCTTCGGCAGTAGACGTCAGTATCGCCCTATCTGGTTGTAATAAAAGGGGTAGGCTGCCCAATTGTACTTCAGTTGGTATCCGATACCCTTGCTTTGCGAGATTCTCCCCTAGTCTAGTCGAGATATTGTATACAGAACGTAGTTCGGAAAACGAGGTCAATGGCTGCGGGAAAAGTTGCTTCTTGACATCTTTCGCTTTTGGCTTTGCTTCTTCCTTCTTTTTGGACTTCTTCACCTTTTTCTTTTTTTCTTCGTGGGAGGAAAGTAGAGTAAACTTTAAACGATGCGACCTAAGAACTTGTCGGACTTCTTCCTCATCAAGTACTGGCATTGGCGCGTTTTCTTTAGCTATTTCCCGAATCTCGGGTTCGGGACTTGGCTTTTTAGCCATTCGAGGCGCAAAAAAGTTTATCTCATCCAGATCACCGTCGGCTTCTAGCGTCGAGGTAACCTCGTTCCTTTTGCGCTTGATACCTCGAGTAGGATCATTGTAGAGCTGGGGATTTGAAGGTTTTGCGATAGGTTTTTGAATAGCTTGTTGAGCGGCAGACCTCTTTGTCCCTCGGGACAAAATCTTCAGAATATCCATCGTTTGCGACGACTACTCTTAGTCCACTTACCGAAGTGAGAATTGTTGAATAAATTATTCCGTAGGGTTGGGGCGGTGTAGAGAAATTTAATAGCGGTGAGTTTCTGCCGGACAAAAAAAACTCGGTGCTTAATATTCCACCCCGCGCTCCACTGCCCCGCAAACTATCTTATCAATTAACCAATCACTTTATCATGTCTCGTCCAAAAAATTACCAAACGGCAACTTTTCTCCATAAATCATCATTTTTTGACATCATGTTTGGTGATGGACAACTTGAAGACTTGACTTCATTTCCAGTACCAATAATAACTCCAGTGATAAATCATATGCCGAAGAGATAATTAATTTATTATCCTTCGATCGGCTCCTGTCGCTACCATACTTCATGACTTTAGGATCTCCCTGCTTCCCGCTCTGCGGCACACCCCGGCTAGTATAAGCGAACTGCAACCCCAGGTCTTTTACGACATGAATGATCTAGCGCAGATATCGCTTCTTAGCTGATTGGCCCGGGTAAATCGTTGGATAAACACAACGTGATTCTAGCCCGAGGGGAAGAAGCTTGTAAGCATTAGCAACTTCAAATGTCAAAGCTCCATCATAGAACCATGGACCGGGGGTTGACCGGGGATGATCCCCCCACTACGCCTCGACCTGGTGGGCGGGTTGCAGGTGCCATTACGACATTCTATGTTCTATGAGATCCTATGAGATACCAATATTCCAACCCTTGCCCCGCGCTATCGTGTATGCTGTAGCTCTCACGAGATTGTCTTGCCTTAGCAGAGCTTAGCTCTCCGAGTACGGGGGGAGCAAAGGAGGCGAGTGATTTTTTTTTTCTTTCATTCTCAAGTGTTGAGTGTTGACTTTATATCTCATCCTCCCTATTTCCATTGTCAAAAGTCACGATAGTCTTATTTTGTATTTTGAAGTCAAATACTTATATCTCTACTATTTATCTATTTGATACCCTTTCTTAACGTTCCTCATATTCCCCAACTAGATAAAATGGACCCTAAATCAGCGAGCGTAGGTACCATATCCCCTTAACCATCATTAGATAGTCCTCTAACAATAACCTTAGAACCTTTCCTTCATTCTCAATAAACCCCACGATGTCCAATTTTCAGACAAGCCTGTCCCTTCCCTCCAAACACCCCACGATGTCCTCGTCGCAGTGAACTATACCGGGATTTGCGGCTCAGATGTTCACTACTGGGAGCACGGTGCTATCGGCCACTTCGTTGTTAAGGATCCCATGGTTTTGGGCCACGAGTCGTCCGGTACCGTCATCCAAGTCGGTCCCGAGGTGAAAACATTAAAGGTTGGTGATCGAATTGCTCTAGAACCCGGCTACCCCTGCCGACGATGCCAACCTTGCCTGAGTGGCAAATACAATCTTTGCCCTGAGATGCGTTTCGCCGCGACGCCTCCCTACGACGGCACGCTGACGGGCTTCTGGGTTGCCCCTGCCGACTTCTGCTACAAGCTACCCGATAACGTCTCCCTACAAGAAGGCGCTTTAATCGAGCCCCTCGCCGTAGCTGTTCACATCGTCCGACAAGCAGTCGTAACCCCAGGACAATCAGTCATCGTTATGGGAGCTGGTCCCGTTGGTCTTCTCTGTGCAGCAGTAGCCCGTGCCTTTGGAGCGTCTAAGGTAGTCTCCGTCGATATTGTAGAGTCAAAGCTCGCCTTCGCCAAGTCTTTCTGCTCGACGCACACGTATATTAGCCAACGTGTATCTGCTGAGCAAAACGCAGCCAATATCCGGAAGGAGGCAGATCTTCCCGATGGTGCGGACGTGGTGATCGACGCAAGTGGCGCGGAACCCAGTATCCAGACGAGTTTGCACGCGGTGCGTACGGGTGGCACATATGTTCAGGGCGGCATGGGCAAGTCAGACATCACATTCCCCATCATGGCCATGTGTATCAAGGAGGTCACTGCCAAGGGCAGCTTCCGCTATGGAAGCGGCGACTACAAGCTCGCCGTCGAGCTCGTCGCCGGTGGCAAGGTCGATGTCAAGAGGCTCGTCAGCGCCGTTGTTGCGTTCAAAGAGGCCGAGGACGCGTTCAAGAAGGTCAAGCAGGGTGAAGTCATTAAAATTCTGATCGCGGGCCCGAACGAGAAGGGCACCGCTGCTGTTACTGCTAAGGCTTAGAACCTATTTGGAAGTATCTTAATGATATAGGTATACGCTGATGACAAAAGGGACGGCTATTGCCGGCTGTGACGCACGGGTTGTTACTACATGCGAGTGTCAGTGTGACTTTAATATTCGTATGCTGTGAAATTACAAGAGTAATAGTTCATACATGTCTGCCACAAGTCCACCTATCCTGCTCTAGTGTTTCTTGTTATTCATGCCCATCTTGGCCATGCTATAAACAGTACGGGATGTACTTATTATATATCCTAAAGCCAAAACCAATTCCTGTCTCCTTTAAGTGGGAATTAGTCTCCAAATATAAGCCCCCTAGCAGCATATCTGCCCCCGGGATCCTCCATGTTGCACTCCCCGATACGACGTCAACGGGATACGGGGCGAATCCGATAGGATCGGACACTTAGCCGGGTAGGTAGTTACAATGGCTTCTAAATTCGGATACAAATCTCATAGCATGTGACGAATCCGTGGTGAAAGTGGTATTCTGACCAGGGCCCTTGTTGTAGATATACAATGAAAGAGTAAGAAAGCTAGCTCTAGGAAAATACTAGGAAAATGAATGAAGTTATCGTTAAGGGAGCTAGTATGAAGAAAGGGTGTATAGGAGACACCATACAATAATGTAGTTCACGCAGGTAGCAATTCAGCAACCAGATTCACTGAGAGTGGCGAACGTATCCAATTGACGTCTTCATCCTAGCCTATATATCTGCCTATCGAGTAACTAGATTTATATCTAGATCATGCCTAAATACCTAGTGGTAATCGTAGTAGTCTCCTTCGCACCGCGCACCTTAATACTCACCACCTCTCCAGGAACGATATCGACAAGGTTATCCTCAAACTTGACATCATCGTCCTCGCTCTCGACCGCGACGCCTTTAACAGGGACCTCGGCTGAAACATTAACGGTGGTGAGGTCGTCACTTAGTTCCGCACGTAGCTGTGTCGGTTTGGCAAGATGCAAATATTTTAGGGGCTCTGGCCAGTTGACGTAACGCGCAAGTTGAGCGCCGCCATCACGGCTTACCAAGTACGCGGCCACAACGGTTCGCGAAGCATCAATACCCTCGTCTTTCTTTGTCTCCGGTACATCGAAGGCCACGATCTCGGTAGATTGGTTCTTGGGGAGGACGAGAGGCTCCTTGTTGACTGTCTCACTGTACGTTTCCCTCCCGGTATCGACATCCCAGGCCTTTACCACGCAATCTACTGTTAGGTCCTCGAGGGTAAGGTTGCTGCCCCATATCTCGATTTGTACTTTCGTTTCTATATCTACGCGCGTGTATTTATTGCGCGGGTATTTGTGCTCACGCCGTGTCATGCCAACCGATAACGGCGCCATCTCACGCTTGACGGTAAAGTAGGCGTGCTTGGGGCGCAGGTAGTAATCGCAGATAGCCCAGCTAGTGACTGGCCAACAGTCATTAATCTGCCAAACGAGCGCCCCAGAACAATATTCACGGCCTGGGCCTTTCCACTGCCTTTTCCAAAGCCGATATGCCGACGCCAGGCATTCAGCCTGCATCAACTGTGTGCTGTAAACAAATTGCTCGAGTGGGTCTGGCGCATACCGCATGTTCTCAACTAGATACAATGCTATGCGCCGCTCATGTCCGTCTGCTTTATTATGGAAGTCTATCGTAGAGGACTGTGGATACCGATCTGGGTCGTCTTTGCCAAGAGGGAGAAAAGCATCTATCGTCTTCACCGATGGGAAAGCCTCCATGCCGAACTCGGATACGAAACGCCCAACTAGTTTGTCGAAGTTCTGATATTTCTCCTGAGTGCCATGCCAGACGTTCCATTGGTGAATATCGCCCACGGTAGGGTCTCGCGTATCAACACCTCCCCAGGGGCTTCCAGGATGGTAGTAGACAGACGGGGTTAATTCCCGGCACGCATCGGGAAGAATCTTCTCGTAAATGTAGCGTGCAGGAAAATCAGTCTTTAACCAGCTCTTGGCATCTTTGTTATCCTGCTCCCATGTGAGATTGACGCTCTCTGCATACTGGTAATCTTCGTTGTTTCCAGCATAGATTACAATGCTCGGGTGGTGTCTTAGTAGCTTAATATTCTCTTCCGCCTCTCGTTTGATCGAGTCTAGAAGTCCAGGCCAGGCGGGATAGTTGCCACAGCCAAACATAAAGTCTTGCCATACAAGGATGCCAAGCTCATCACAGGCGTCGTAGAAAGCTTGTTCTTCGTAGATGCCCCCTCCCCACACACGGATCATAAACTGGTTACCATCCGCTACCAATTTAACCCAGTCGTAGTATCTCTCCTTACTAATCCGCGGGATAAAGTTATCGGCAGGAATCCAATCGCTGCCACCGCAGAAAATGGGAATCCCGTTGACCTCAAAAAAGAACGACGTACCAGGCTCTCCCTTAAGTGGTCTCTGGACGAGCTCTGCTCTCCGTAGGCCGATCTTCTTTGACACGCTGTCTATGATCTTGCCGTCTTCGTCTAAGGTCGCTGTGACTGTATATAGAGGTTGCTTACCATATCGTACCGGATACCACAGTTTTGGGTTGTCAATTGTAAATGTAGCATTTCCACCAGATGCTACTGCCTGGCTTACAATAGGCGTACCGTTGTATGAGATGTCAAACCAAACTCCTGAGGCTTTGCCTTCCGTAGAAGCATGTGTAGTTATGGTGGCAAATTTTAGAGATTTATCAACGTCAATGTCGACCCAAAGATCGGTGATACGCGACTCATAGACTTCGAGATTGATCGGTCTCCAGGGGCCGCAGGTCAACAATGACGGACCCCAATCCCAGCCCTACACAGGTCAGTTTTTCATTATTACAACAAATTTTCTCTCTGGTGCTCGACTCTTAACATACCCAGTGATATTGAGACTTCCGCACGGCCAACCTCGAGTTATCACCGTTCCAACATCCCCACTTGTGATCCGGATATTTCTCGACCAATTCCCAGCCTCTCAAATATGCGCTATCAAATGTGATAACGAGTTCGTTCTCCCCGCCGTCCTCCTTCAAGTCGGCTGTGACGTCGACGCGTTCGGGTATGAACATATTCTCTGTCTCTAGAATAGTCTTCCCGTTAAGCACCACAGTCGCAAAGGTATCTAATCCATCAAATGCCAAGACCGCTTTCGCAGAGCTCCCAATTGTAGGAGTCGCAAAGTTTGTCCTGTAAACCCAGACTGCTTCGCCGACCCATTGCACATCAATCTCATTCTTACCAATATAAGGGTCGGGGATAATCTTATGAGCGAGCAGGTCGAGGTGCACGTTGGTAGGGAATTGACCCACAGGCAGATATTTGCTATCCTCCTTGTCGGCCTGCTTGAACTCCCAATTCTTGTCGATCGGGATCACAGTGCGGGGCGCCATCTCGTGGGGTTGTGGCTTGAAAGGGAGAGTAGATGGAGATTCACAAGAAGTGATAGAGGATGAGGATAAGCGTATATTTATATCAAGACGAGCCTTGCTTAAATTGGTAATTCTAGAATAGGCTTGGCCTAGCAATGAATCTGAATCCTGACGATGCTCCATAGAAATAGACAAGCAATAGTATCGCTCAGATTTGGACTTAAGCGACACGAAGCAATTAGAAACAGGATATAACTAATAAAAAAGATAGACGTGAAGCTGACAAGATTCTCGTATCTTATTGGAGCGCAACTAGACGATCTACTATCGATGATGTTGACTTTACAACGACTTTTGCAATGTAAGATTTACGATAATGTATGAGGTAGACAAGTTCGATAGTAACTAAGAACGCGGGATGTTACTTGCCGGGGATATTTACAAAAATTTGGTTTGGGTACTTGGGTAGAAGTTGCTATGCGACACAGAAGAGACTGGAGCTATACTAAACGAGAATATCGTTTCGTTTCTTATCGGTAATACAAGAGAAGCGGCCACCCGCGGCAATCACTAGCCGCTCTAACCGTCGGGGATATATGCATGACTACATGCAGGAACCTGCAGTTGGAGAGGTACCGTAATTGCAGCTTCGTTTTTCGTTGGAGATTTGCAATGGAGATCGTGTAGAAGTTTAGTTGGACAAGATCAATTCTTACACATGCAAGAAATCAAGTAAGAAACGTCAATCATCGGACCCCACCTTTCTGAACTCGCCGACTCCAAGCTAATGGTTCCATATCGCGGAGCATACGATTCCGCTACTCGATTGGGCTAGTCTCGTGCAGCGGAGCGGGATCCTCTTCGGAGAAAGCCCCGGCCGGTACGTATAGGTTATGGTACGTCTATCGGACAATCTTTCGACAATTTTTATAATCCCGACATCCGGGATATTGTTAGTCCCTGATATTAGTATTTGAAATCTAGCATCATCTTATTGACCGATATGATTAATAATAAAAAAGACGTATAGATATGCGTAAGTACTCGGTAACCTAGTGGAGGATGTTCCGCCGCAGTGCAAGGGTGGAAGACCCTCCGCCGAAAAGGACGGAGTCTCACCTCCCACGCCGCTTATCGGCACTCGGCATCGTGGCATCGGTCCCCAATACAGCTACATATTGCGGGTCCAGTGTTCATATGCATATGTCCTTGTGTATAAATTGGCATCATTGGGCAAAGAGAAATCTCATATTATTCTATCAGGTCTTCGGAATTATCCCTAGGGCACGTTCACTCCCAACGCCATAAAAGCTGAAAACAACCAAAAGTGAGCGCGCTTGCAAAAGAAGTAGGTATCATCGTAGTGTCGCCAGGCCAGCCCCATTTAGCCCGTATTCCTTTCATCGTGATTACAGCCCATAGCTTATCCCCTTTGTCTCTTGTATTAGCAACAATTTCCTCTGCCTCGCCCGCGGTTTAGAGTAAACACCTCTTCCCACTCGCGCATACCCCAATTCTGGGCGCGGTTCTTGCCTTTGCGTCTCCGCCTCATACCGCCGAGGCCGACCTCATCTGTCGTCATGGAGCTCTTGATGCTACCGCCGTCGCTAGCCCCCGCATTCCACATACCCCCGTCGCCATACTGAATACCGCTCATTGGATCGTCCGGGTCGATTTCCCCAAGCTCGATCTTGGTCAGGATCATTCGTGCTAACCGCGCAAATATCTCGTCCACGCCCTCGCCTGAGAAGGCTGACACTTCCACCGTAACAGGTACGTTGACGCTACTAGCCCATCGTGACGCCTCGGTGGTTGATACTTCGCGGCCTTCGGGTGCTATCGTCGCTTTCATTTGCGTTCCGAGGGAAGCGCCTGCACTAGTCGTACCGGCGGACGTGCTGTACGGTAGAGACGAACTCGTGCTTGACGGTGTGGGAGGAGGAAGACTCGTATCGATGAGAGTATCGTTGGCAAGGTCTAGCTTATTTCCAGCGAGGATCATGGTCAAATTAGGTGAGGCTAGCGCTCGCGCATCATTAAGAAATGGCTGTAGGGCTCTGAACGAGTTATGCGATGTGATATCGTAGCATAAGATAGCGCCCGCGGCGCCCCGATAGTATGACCGCGAGACAGAGCGAAAGCGCTCAGTGCCTGCCGTATCCCATAGCTAGTATTAATATCAGCTACAGCTACTCCATCTTACTATAGTGAATCACAATACCTGTAACTTTATCCGCTTCCTCCGCGGACCTGTACCGACTTTAATAATTTTGCTGGCGAACTCGACACCGATCGTTTGCGAGGAAAGAACTCGCCATTCATTCTTGACAAAACGATGGAGAAGACACGATCTGCCAGAACCGCACTGTTAGCGAGTAGGCCATAACTCATTATAATAGAGGTCCATCTTCTTACACACGGTTCCAAAAACCTGTGTTCGGGAAGTCTTCTTCAACTCAAATTGGGATAATTGCGACTCACTTTCCAGTTCCGCTCGGGCCCAACAAGATAATCTTAGCAAGGTAATCATACATGCTCCCGAGCTCCTAGAACCGTATTAGCCATCGGATTTCCTTGCTTATCTTCCGCCTAAAGTTTGTTGCCGCATACCTGGTCGCCCGCCGTCCCCGTGCTCTCCGTGCTAGCGGCCGATGAGCGTCTCGGACGCGTCATCTTGTCCGGCTCCTTGTGCGATATCGGCAAACAGGCCGAAACTCAGTTGAAAGTAGGAATCTCGGAATCGTCAATAAGGGCAAGCGGTCGAAATGATCATTGGATATGAAGGAATTGGGTACAATCAAGGTTGCTGGTTAGGTTTGCCTTACGATATAAACTAAAGCAAGGCTTAAAATAGTTTAAACCATGCCTGAAATGCGGTAGTTTCAGCTCTGCTTATCAGTGCTTGTGATCAACAGTGACGAAACTAGGTGTAAGGTGTGGGTACTTTGCAGGGATTTACCGGTCGGTGCTTGCTTGGTGTACATAGTACCTATTGTACTAGATATTTTGTACCTCTCTTAGTCAGCAGGAACACCCCTATCTTACCTAATGTAGCTACATATAATGTAATAATTTACCGAGGCTCGCGAATTCTCCGTTTGTCTCATTGCCGCAACCGCGACGGCTGGATCCGAACTGTTCGGTTTATAAGATTAAGGCACATAGGTATTTATTATTATAGAACTCATCAACCTAGCTCTGTTAGCTTCCATTTTTCTTAAATATATTATTTTACATCCAGTAACCCATTGCTGCCCTATCTGTATCAATTTCATAAACATGAAGATTGAGGGCAGGACATTTGTCATCTCTGGCGGGTACGCAATTGACGTGTTTCAAGCATCCAGAGTAAACTTCTAAAACTGAACTGACTATTTAAGTATAGAGCATCGGGCCTCGGGCAGGCGTGCGTAGAGGAGATCTGTCGGAATGGGGGTAATGCTGCTGTCCTGGATTTGAATGAAGAAAACGGCAATATAGTAGTCAACAACCTTCCTAGCGGAACGGGGAAGTTCTTCGTCTGCGATGTCCTCGACACTGAGAGTATTGCAGCAGCCGTCAAGGGGATTGTTGAATGGGCACAGCAGACAGGAAAACCTTTGGGCGGTGTCATACCTGCTGCTGGCGTCGGTAACCCAGCCACGGTATGGAAGTTTTGAGACAGGTAGACGAAAAGAAAGTTAACCATCCCGCAGATATTAGATCGGGAGGGCAACGCCTTCAGTATGGACAGTTTTGATTTCGTTGTCAATATCAACTTGCGAGGCACGATCGACCTGGTACGGCAGTGTCTCGTACACATTGCCAAAACCGAGCCCGTAGGAGCCGATAAGGAACGGGGTGTAGTCGTCATGGTGGCTTCGGTTGCTGCATTCGACGGGCAGAAAGGGCAAGTGTCATATGCAGCCAGTAAAGGTGCAGTCGCAGCCTTGACTCTACCAATGGCGAGAGACCTAGCACGCTACGGCATCCGTTGCGTAACTATCGCTCCAGGAGTTTTCGAGTCGCGAATGACGGCTGTGATGCCCAAGAAGTTATTCAAGGGCCTAGAAGCAGTCATGGAATTTCCAAGACGAGCAGGACAGCCTGAGGAGTTTGCTCAGTTGGCCCGGCACGTCATCGAGAATGCCATGCTGAATGGTACAGTGATCAGGTTAGACGGGGGTTTAAGGATGCCAAGCAAGATCTAAGAGCAATACAGCAATTATCACAAATAACAAAGTTGCGAGAATTGGTGAAATATTTTTTTTTCTTTTTAGTGTCTTTTTTTCTGACTGAAAGAAATTGCAGAGAAACAATATGATCCATGACGATCTAGCGAAAAGACAACGCAATATTCTTTCCTAGGTATCAGGAGATGGGATAATCTCGTGGTTGTCCACCTAGAACCCTCGTGAAATACACGGCCGATCTGCGATAAAGAAATATAAGCTGTGGGTAAAGGCAACTTGATCTATGGCAATATGCAACCGAGATAATATCTATTCAAGGCCAATGATCAAGCTAGTAGATATCTTAATGGTTGCGGCGGCGAAGTGGCGATCTCACTCGACTATTGTGTGGCCTAGGACCTGTGACAGGAGATCGCTCCCGGTGGCGGCCACTATCGCCATGTGACCGAGCATTCAGTCTCTGAGGAGCCGAGGGCGGGGCGTAGGTGTACGCGTCGTCGGAGTGGCGTGTGGTTGACTGGCCTAGCCGTGAGCCTAAGGCTATGCCCTCTAGGAAGGCACGAGAAGCCAGGGGATCCTCTGCGATCCTGTTGCTAGGTCCGTTGACGTGACCGAACAGGTATTGGATTTGACTCATCAGAAAATTCTGTTGATCGTGAAGATCGTAGTCATCGTGGCGGTCATTGGAGAAGTTGCCAGGGGGTTGATAACGGCCGACACGATGCTCCTGCATGAAAGGAGCAACTTGGGTATGCTGATTATTGCGATGCCGTTGGGGGTTCGGTTCGTTCTCCGCTCGCGCCGAACCAAACCCGAGAAGTTCGGGCACATCTTTGTATATGCCCTGCTTGACAACCTCTGTAAGGATCGCTGCAGGTTTACCTGCCGGGTCCTCGCACTTCATTGCATGTTAGCAACCATCTGAGCAAGAAAGGAGGAGTTTGGTGACTAAAATTGGAAAGACAGAGAGTCTTGATATTACGTACCGGCAACTTCCGAACTTCTATAAGAGCCTTCCTGGAAATAGCCGTCTTTGCCTCGGAAGCCGTGTCGTATGCACGCACATCGGCAACTATCAAACCCTTGAGGTTGACAGAGCACTTACAGCGGCCATTGCGATCGTGCCATTCTGTAAACTGCGGATTGAATCGTCTTTTCTGGCACTCTTGACTCAGAAGCATTGCAGGAGTGACAAATTTGCCTTCTACAGCAGGACAATTACCCACATACTCTGGCTCAACACCCCCTTGGCTACCGCTCTGATCTTGAGCAAGGTCGAACGGTCCTTGAGGAGGAACGGTAGCGCCATGGCCAATGCCAAAGACTGGTCTAGAGAGGATGGGGCGCTTTGGTATAGTCGCTGTGGTAGCCATATTATCAGCATCGATAGGACGGGCCGGTAGATTCAAAGATGTCATTGCACTGCTTCCGGGTGCAGTATTGGTCAGAGGGATGAAGGCAGCTTGGGATCATAGTCAGAGCGATGTTAATTAGTAGGCATGAGAAATATCAGTATGCTTACCGTTCTGAGACGTGCTCCCAAGAGCAGTAGCGCTCTCTGATGACGGGCCAGAAGCCTCTTGCTTGACCTTGCAATCATCTTCAGATACGCTACCGATCACAGGTCGACGACCATGGGAACTACCCCCAACATCGATGACGAATCCTGCGGGTGCGAATAAGGAGTCGGGGCCTCCGTAGGAAGTCGACGCCGAGCTAGTCGTCTTAGTCGCGTTGCTTAATAACGCCTGAAATCCGGTACTGAAGGGTGATTCTATAATTGATAAGCCCAAGGAATAAAATTTACACTGACAAAAATGCTTGACATGGTTAGATTCGTTAAGTTGGGTGAATGTCTTACCTTCACCTGAAGTCCCTTCGTTAAGGGACGATTGTCCATACACCTCCATGATCTCTTCCAAGTTCACTTGAACTCAAAAGGTAATTATGGTAAACCAAAGAGTAGAATAGACAGAAATTTATGGGAAAGATATTTTGTGATGTGCGCCAAGCGGGAGAAAGATACACAATTTTTAGAAAGGAAATAAAGAATGACGCAGGATGCAAGCCGTAGTAGGCACGAAGGGTAGAAATTAGGAAGTTACGAAGCATAGTACTTGACTACCTAACGTAAGTACCTACTTTGAGTTCCTACGTGAGGCAAGTACCTTAGGTAGGAGGTACTTTATACCTATACGTTCCTTAAAAACTGACATTGAGCTTGCTGTCGTCACCCGACAACAGCAGTAACATGTTGCCAACTTCAACACAAATAACCAATCGTAGTCTGATACCGTTGGTATTTACGGAAGGTACAACACCGCAACTTCTAATTTAGTTTATAAAAGCGTAACATTTAGTGTCCATTATCACTGAAAATAGTGGCCAATGCTTCACCCTTCTGCCATCGTAATATGTTTTGCACCTGCTGTTGATACCACTCTGTAATATTTTCTTCCTCAACGTAGCCCATGTGCGGTGTTAAAACTACCCGACTTCTACCTCCTTCTCCCCATCTCGTCGTCCTCCACTCGCTAGCCGTAGGCAATGGCTCAATTTCGTACACATCAATCCCTATGCCACGTATTGATCCCTTCTTAGCTACCTTGAGTAAATCCTCTTCCACCACTATCGGACCTCTTGAAGTATTTATGAATAGCGCCGAATTCTTCATTTTTCCTAAATCATTTGCCGTTATTAAACCTCTAGACCGGTCTGAAAGAACCAGCTGGACAGTAGCTACATCCGCAGACGAGAACAATTCATCCCGAGTAACTACCTTAAACGTCTTCTCTCCGTTTTCGTCCTCGACGGGCAATCTAGCAGCTTTGGCTTTCTCATCGGCAACTTCCTGAGTCAAGTTTGGGCTCCATGCCACGATCTTCATCCCAAAGGCTACGTGCATAATCCTCGAGACGGACACTCCTAATCTACCAAGGCCGATGCTGCCGTATACCTTCCCTGCCAATCCCGTTGCGAAAGTTGTCTGCCAACCTCCGGATTTCATGATAGCATCGTCTTGCGGGATGTTTCTCGCAAGCGCAAGAATCAATGCGACACAATGCTGAGTCGTAGAGTCTGGACTTGGCCCTTTCGCATAAGTACCAGCCACAGGGATGCCGCGCTGGGAACATGCCTTCACGTTGATGGATGCATTATGACCACCGGTAGTAAGGAGGAGTTTCAGATTTGGGAGCCGATTGATAAGTTCTCCCGGAAATGGTGTTCGTTCTCTCATCGAAGCTAAAAGTATTAGATCTTTCCCAAATACTGGTCTTTAAGACTTACAAATAATGTCGAACGGCTCAAGACGCTTAACTAGTGCATCTTTGGCATCTTGAGGTGTATTATGGTGGTTATACGGAAGTAGAGTATCGGTGAATATTACCACCTCATACCCGGAGGGCGGTAAATCCTTGAACGGGTTCTGAGAGAGTTTTTGATAGTCATCTAACACAGCAATCTTCAACGGAGCCATGATGAGGTTAGCGACTTGAAAAATGATGATGGTTATAATTATCTGAATCTTATTAAATAGTCATATGCCTCTTTTCCGATTGTCCTTTGCAAGACGTAACTCTTAACCTAGAGATGTCTCCAAGCGGAGACGATCACGCCTTCGTCGGGTATAATTGTTCTCCACTTTATGCCGAGTATACATAGTCGCCGGTACCTCCGATGATACCCGATCTCCGACCACAACTCGGCCCTCAATGTGATAATTGTCCATCTAATATAAATTATCAAGTGTAAAAATATCTAGGAGAATAAATGTGGAAAATGCAGACCTCAAATCCCCATTTTCATGAGATTCCGTCTCTTAGGTATTCACTTCAGCGAAAGAGAGAACCAAAATTGACAAAAGTGCTTGGTTCAACGACCGGATGAGTTTTGAGGTGTAACTGAACAAGCAGGCCAATCTATATTAAACTTCTAATTTGTCTAGCCGAAGTTTAATGAGAAGAAAAGATATAATCTTAGTAATTCAAGGTAACAATATTAACTATATGCTTCTTACAAGCTATCAAACAGGGCGCTCTAGATGATTTGAAATCGCTTTTTCAACCATGTCTCTAAAGACCCTTTGTCTTTCACATTGCTCCAGATAGATAATATATTTGACATCAAGTAGATCTTTCAATAAGGTGTTCTCTTCTGGCTCCCGAATCTTTCCTTGCTGACCAAGGGTTTGCATAACTGACCATAGGTTAGCTGTGCCACTGGTGGGAGCCTTCACGGTGGCCGTGGCCGCCAATATAGCGGCTCCAAAGCAAACCGCAGCGCCTGCTTGTTTAGGGATTATGACTGGCATATTGCAGGATGTTGCAATCAGCCTGATCAGGTTGGAATTATTAGCGACGGAACCAGAGATAAAGAGTGAATTGATTTCAGTTCCGGCTTCGTTCATTATTGATATTACATGCCGTATTTGAAGGGCAATGAACTCTAAGACGCCGTAATACTGAATAGCAAGGTTGTCGATGCTTTTGTCTCCCGTCAGTCCCACCACGGATCCAGTCATAGATGAATCACCTATTGGCGACCGGTTTCCATACAAGTCGCCATAATAGAAGTAGTTTCGTCCAAGATAGGATATGTCTGGCGCCTCGCTTTTGGATCGCATGTGCTCGAGGTGTCTATCAAGGAAATCGTAAATGTTCAAATATGAGTTTTTGGCTAATTTCAAGGCGGCATCATATGCCGGATGTACTTCAATGACATGCTGAAGTAGCATTCCTATCACACCGTCTTATATTAGCTTCTTCACCACATAGAGCTTCGAAAGATTTGTAAAAGTCACAACACCATGGGGAAACATACCTGTAGCCACCTGGCCACCTTCAGACATCCAGTACCCTGGTAAAATCCAATCTTGGTAAGGGCCCCATATACCATCCGCAAATACAGGCTTTCGTGATGCGACTATGTAGCATGCTGATGTACCAGCAACCACAGCCATCCTTGAATGCAGAGGGAAGTTTTGCTGGCCGTCAAAACTCAACCCTGCTGTCCCTACCCATCCTGAGTATGAATCAATCGTCCCCACTCCAACTTGAACCTCTAGCTTAAGACCAAGATCACGAGCAGATTTTTCACAAAGATGGCCCGCCAAGGTACCAGCTGGAGGTACTCTTCCATGCTATTGGAGAGTTAGGGATATAAGAAAGAGCGTTCATATTTCAACTTACTCGACACACCCCTCCAACTCTTTTAAAATCATCTGCAGCTAGGATTTCGAGTTGTACAGCTTCCAAAAATTCTCGGCTCCATCCTTTTGCCGTGCCATCCACACCAATATGCAATGCGTTTCGAGTACAATTTTCAGTGCAAGGAAATATCTGGTTTCCCGTGGCGATATACGTTAGCGCATCGTTCAGGTCGTAGAATTTGCACCTTCCAAAGTCGGCTTCGGACATGTGGTGCTTCAACCACAAGATCTTGGGCAACTCCATGAGAACTGATATCGAGCCACCAAAGTATTTTAAGAGCTCATGCTGCGTCTTGTTGATGGCCTCAGCCTCTTGTTTAGCTCTTTGGTCCATCCATAGGATGACATTGTGGTCCTTGTCGATACTCTCCCTTCCACCAGCAGCTACTGGCTCATTGGTATCGTGTGTAAAAATAGCAAGCGAGCAAGTTGCGACGAATGCTATGCTACGTACCGATTCGTGTTTAATCCCACTCTGCAACAGAGCGTCATTTACAGCATAGCACACACTACCCCATATCTTGCTAACGGATTGTTCCTAAAATGAAATGCTTTAGAGCAATCATCGATTGGGGTGTAGACGACCCACGTGTATCCCTGGTTGTGGCTGCCACTCATCTATGGCTTTGAATGCTGAAGCAACTGACCTCCCGTCCTCGTCAATGATTAAAGCGCGGGCGGAGCCTGTTCCGACGTCGACACCGATATGATGGTGTTTGGAACCATATATGAGACTAGGATCACTATCCATTTCGCAACTGGTCACATATACTTTTCAATAATGAGCATTAAATTATAAGAAGCACATATTGACTTGATGATGAGAAGAAGAAGATAGGTAAATACAATAGCTGTCTACTATGCAATGTTAGGTGTAGCGAGATTAAGTGATTACGGGCAATCCTCAAGTGCTAACTAGCCACGGTATGCACCCCATTTATAACAAATCAAAGCCTTAAAAGGCCCCAGAACATACTACATTAGGAATAGTACGAAAACCCCAACTAATCAAGTTTCAAATCGTAAATGTATTGTAGCTAGTTGGCATTTAAAAACATAATTTCTATAATTTTAATATTTTATTGTTGTTTAAAAAAGCTGTGACAAAAAGTGAAAATCCCCGTTAACGAAACCCTCGTAAAGCCTCGGGAAAGATTTGTTGTCTATAACTAAAAGGGGAGATGTAATAGTAATGTTCTACCACCTATTTTTATCACACCGAATTATCACCTCCCACGGCCGAATGATCTCAAGATGCTAGGATTATGGCGACACCGTAACCAAACCCTCTCTCAATCTTCTCTAAATTGCAAGGCAAAGTTTAGATACCATATACTCTTATCAAAGCTTAACGTGATCTTGCTATGGTCTCTTCCAGGCATCTAATCACTGCCCAGAGTCCTTCCTGGCGTTGCTCAGGCTGTGGACATGTCAACTCGGACATTTCCTTTTGCATCATGTCCGAAATCGCGCCTAGTTGAGACGCAATCTCATCAGGCAAACCACCTTTCCGCAGACCGGCCGTATTCGCAAGAACATAGGCAATAAACGCTTCCTGTGCGCCGATGAGAAACCAATAATTTCGGTTTGGAGACCTAGCAACATTATCAAGCCATACCCATGGCTGCGGAGCTACCGAGAGATCACTCGAGTCGCTTATTTCTGAAGTTTCCGATCTTCGCTGTTGCCTGATTGTTTTATCAATGCGCCATGCTATATCAACAACTCCCTCTGATGGACAAGTCACTTCGTCCATGCCCAACACCACATCCTCTGGATGGGGTAGCCCGTTTAAGATTCGCAAAATTCTTACCGCAATGATGCCCTGCTCTGTTGCACAGTTTGACGGACTGTCTATACAGTATTGTAACGGTATCGCTGCTTCTATTAGAAGCGAGGGAAGAATTTGAACCGGTATGCATGTAGGCTTGACTGGGTTATAAGCTATCCCTGGAGAGCAGTCCCCCTCCTGAAAAGCTTTGACCAGTTGAGATGGGATTATTTCGGGGTTTAAGGGACTGTAGCCAGTGAACTCTACATATCGTCCTTTCACTACCTCTCTATTGACTTCTTCGTGCTTTGAGGTCATATTGCGAATCCATTCTTCGACCTTAGCTTTCTCCCTCAAAGTAAACGCTCCAAACATCCTGCCACCCCAGCCCATTTGCCTAACCAGGTTGCTGTCTCTGGGGTTCCCTGGAACAATCCATTTTGATTGCGCCAAAGACGAGAGAAACATATCTTTTTGAGTCTCCCAAAGGACTGGGTTTAACCACTCCCCCAATCTTTTCCCGTTTAATCTTCCAATTCGCGCCGTACAGCGTCGGTGTAACTCTCTCGCTGGATTGCACTTCTTAGAGAATATGTTCAAAACTTCTTCCCTGTGTTTGCTGACTAGTACAGGAGCAACCGGTAACGTTTTCGCCAAGAGATAACCAGCTTGTATTCGTTTCCATGACTGGAGTGCCTCAGAGGGCTTAAGTGCACCAATAAACCTTATAACAGCCTGAGTTGCCATAGCAGTATGGCCCGAATCCGCATTATCAATCGTGATATGCATGTTGAAATATTCGGGATCCATCCCAATTTCTTTAAGCTCATAAGCACATATCAACGTCTCAATCGTCGCAGCTTCGTACGCCATATTGAAGCCTAAAATTTCCGGGAGGAAGTTGTCGGCCAAGAATCCAAGAGCCAATTGAGCAACTGCTGCTGTCCATACTCGCTCATTACGATCAGGATCTGAGGCTAGTTCTATAAACCGTGCGGTATTTCCCGGCCCGAGATCAAGATCTACGCTTTGTAGCAGTTTTGAATAGATATACACGTGGTTTCTCTCCAGAATACCATCACCCAACTCTTCTGATAATATCTGCCAAGCAATCCGGGTAGATGGCCGCAGTCTCTCGGGAGTTCGGGCGTGATGGATCCTGGACAACCAAGCTCCGTCGACGCACTTCACTGGCGCGGACAGTCGTAGCCATTGTTTTGCAGATTCGCTTGTATGGAAAAGCTCACGGGGCCCCCCTGATGACCGTCGTTTAAGGTATGATGTCCATGCATCAACAGTGGCATCTTCTACGTCGGCTAGATATGCTTTCAAAGACTGTAGGCAGAATTCAGGAACTGACAAAAGATTAGGCGTCGTCGATTGTAGGGCAGAATCGACCGAGATGTCGAGTAGCTGGATGAGCCGTTCTTGTGCCTGTGATAGAGCTGCCGGATGTTCTTCTAGGCTCTGGAGGCGATAATATAGGAGTTTGTCGTTCTGAAAGCTTTCCTCTGCATCCTTTTTTTCAACGATACGGGAAGTCTGAACTTGGCGAGTTGACATTCGTGCGCGTAAGGATCTCACTAAGATGCATGAGGAACCCGTAAATAAACATAGGAGGATCAACCAGATTCCTCCCATGACTAGGTGTATCATCGTAGTGGTAGCGGGGATTGAGACCAGTAAATCGATGACTGAAATATTCAGATATACTTAATGTGAAGCAACTAAAATTAAGCTGTGTTAAGCTAGGAAAATTAAATTTTTCACGCAATGGATGATATAGATGAACAAAACTATTCAGAAGATGAGTTGTCTACAAGAAAAGTCAAGTCTATTAGAGAAATAGATGCTATATAGGGCCTAAGCAGGAAGTTAGTAGCAACACTAAAGAACATGAGGTAACCCCAACCCAACAAGCCTTACTTTTACATGGAACAACTTGTCATTTACGCTAGAAACGGCGACTAAATTTTGCAGAAAACGAAGTCGTCACATGCAGGGTCCTCCGCATAACAAGCACCGGAGAGTCGGAATGTGTTGCAAGTCGGTATTCAGCAGGGTAGGGCACGACACGGAAAATGAGTGTAACATCCACAACTACGCAGATCGTGAAAGAGTCATAAATTGCGAAGGAATATAGCATTAGAAGTAACACAAGTATGAAAACTGGCTGTTATCGTTTATGCAGGCATCATCACTGGCGAGGCTGAGATGTTTAAAGGCCATAGAATGAGTTATAGTCATTGGAGCAACTAGTTGATCTCTCCAATCAGGGTAGGAATTAAAAGCACTTTGATTATTTAGCATAAAAACTGAATATGCAAACGCGGGATGAAAGAGAGTTAGTAGGCCGAGCCCGGACTTTGTGGCCGTTACGATCAAGCAAATCCATTCCCGATTCAAATCCCGCGGACATCATTATATAAAATTGTAATACCGTAAGCCAAGCCCATTTTTACGTAGCTTATGTTAAATGATCTAGTTGAATAATTTGCATATTTATATAACGTACCTGCAGAGTAAGCGCATGTTGCTAGTTTAACGAATTTATGTCCGAGGTTACCTGCAATACCACTATATATGCACTTTCAGCTGTGAATGAATTTTCCCTAAGCGGTATGGATCCGCAAGTCCAAGTCTTAGTAGCATATAGATTGGATTAAGGGGAAAGTTCAAGAGCATGTTTAAAGCCTATCAAAATTAGAGTAATCAACATGAACGATCATCAGATCCAAGCCAGTCATCTTGAGTCTGCGGTAATTCTTCAATTGGTGTTCTAATGCCTAAGGTTTATATCTTAGATATACGATATCAGGATTAGGTAGCAGGATTATTTTTTTATTTATTTATATTGTATCAAATGCGAGTAAACATTTTCCTATTTGGGACATATGCTTTGCTCCCTTATACAGGAATTTTTCTGCCTTACACGATTATGGGTTTTTTTTTACCTTTGTTTATATTTGGGTTTGTTCTTATATGTATGTATATTTAATGCCGTAAGCTGTCTTCCTTAGGCTTATGTGTCACCCGGGGGGTGGCCTCTAGTTTTCGTATCTTATACCTTCCGAGTTTTTTAGCGAATGTTGTTTCTATTTTAGAGCTTTATTTCTCAGGGTTAATACTAGGCTCCATTATTTTTATACTTGCTTTGCCTATTTTTCTTATTACCTCATTAAAAATAAGAGTAACAATAGCTAGGTACCATTTATAGTAGGGTATTAACTTATAAGATAAACAGACACTCCACGCAAGAATTTGACTGTTGTTCTTTATATCTATCGACTTGCAACCCTTTAGACGTCTTTTACCCTTCGTGACAACATAACTGGCTGTCTACTACCGTTTAGTAGTATAGACCCTGGCATTAATAATCTCTTGTATTCCTTAATGAGACGTTAGTTTAGCCAACTTCGCTGTCAACCAGACTACCGTATTTGTAAACCCTGACACCCCACACAAAGTACTGCTAAGGTTCGTAAAGTATGGAAGCTTTCATGAGATTGGATGCCTATGCTAAAATTTCTCTACTTGTAGTTTAATCCGCGAAGCTGCGTGAATCAAAGGCAGTTTTAGGAAGTAATGGAGTGCATTTCGGACGTTCAGTCACGAGTCGATCTCATTACTAGGCGGATCGCGCCTGAGGATATCCATGCCATAGACCTGCTTAAGCTGGCTCTGCAAAAGGATAAACCTGCAAGATGTTTGTGGGGTGAGTATATCTACAACAGTTACTGAGAGACCATGCTGACTCGCATATCTTGAATAGCGACAGCCCCGACGGGAAAACGTAAGGGACACTAATTGATATGAGAACGAAGCTGATTTGTAGTAGCTCATATCGGATACCTCATCCCCATGATTAAGTTTGCTGAATTTATTAAAGCAGGAGTGGAGGTACGTATTTACCCCCAAAGAAAATATAACAATACTTTTTGCTAACTTTAGTGATGTAGGTTGTCGTTCTACTTCACGAGCTCTTCTCATATCTTGACAACGTTAAGTACTCCGCGGAGCATGTGACCCATAGGATGGCCTGCTACCGATATACGGTCATTGCTGCCCTTGAGGCTATTGGCGTCCCTCTGCATAAAATACATATCGTAGAGGAAGGCACATATCATACGACGCCAGAGTTTGTCCGAGACCTATGGAGACTTTGTAAAATTGTTCCCCAACAGGCAGTCAAAGACGCTTGGAATCCGGGTTACGAACCTGACATGTTGAGTCCTATGCTTTGCCCGGGGCTTCAAGCACTTGCAGAAGAATACTGCAACGTAGATATCCAGTTTGGAGGCACGGATCAGGTATATCACTGGCGATGTTGTAACCTAAGGTCAACCGGGTACTAACGTATGCATAGCGTGGCCTCTTCAAATTCGCCGAGCTATTTATGCCCCTTATTGGGTTTGCAGACAGAGCTCGGCTTATGAACCCAATGCTACCAAGTCTTCGTGGAGGCAAGATGTCATCCTCTCATCCACCCGAAACGAAGATTATGTTCCAAGACCCCGCCCCGGTCGTTAAGGAAAAGATTGAAAAAGCCTACGCCTCGGCAGCAACCACTGATCAAAATGGGGTCTTTGCTCTAGTAAAGGATATGTTGCTTCCAATTCGACTTCTTCAGGCAGAAGGCATTCTAGAGGTCCAAGGGGCTCCTGGAGAGCGCAGGTCGAAAGGGCTAGTTCTGCCCAGAACAAATGGTCGAATCCCGAAAGAATACCTCTCTATTGACGAGATAAAGCATGACCTTGAGGTCAAAGAACTAGCGTCAGAAGTTTTCACAACCGCTGTTGCTGACGCAGTAAACATTTTGCTCGACCATGTCCGGCAGGCCTACGCGATGAATGAGGAATGGCAAAAGGCAGACAAATATGGATACCCCGAGTCAGCATAAGTCCTCCTGCCTCAGCTTCTTCTCCTTGAATTATATTCTTTCCGCTAGTCTTAGGTTATAATTTACCTATACCACCTTCATTTGTATTTTACGATCGTTACATATTCCGGTTCCACTCCAGATCTGAAAGCACGAAGAAAATAATTTGCCCGAGTTTACGAGGGGTTATTGTGTCGAATAACTATATTGAATATTTTAAATGTTTTAAATAGCCTCGAAACCTTTACTTTCGGTACCTAAAAGAAGGACTCGGTACATTATGGGGCTGGGGGGGTCTATTGACATTATGTCAGCAAAGGTGTCGGTGTAATTACATAATTACAAGCCCCCAACATCGTGTCAAGACCATGTCAACAGGTCGATATAATGTCTGCAAGGCTTGTTGTACCGATTTCATTACAGGTACTTACAAGTCAGTACTAATCGACAGTATGTCAAGGTATTTATTATGTCAGAGATACTGTCTATTTCGCCATAATTACCAGGCCTGTTGACGATGTCCAGGTAGCCAGTATATCCACCACAATGTCAGTAAAGCCACGATGTCAGTATCAATAGATGTCAGTATCAATACAATGTCAGGCCAGGACACAATGTCAGCCCCGGGTATATACCCGGGTATATACAGGTTAAATAAGGGCCTGGAGTATGCATATATACTGCAATAAAATAAACTTTAATCGTATTCGTAAACCTCGTAGTGTAGTGGTAAAATGCGTAGCCCGTAATCTCGTGATAATATTTCAACGTAATCTTTTCAATTGACTTTTACATGTGCCTGTGCCTGTGCCTGTGCCTGTATGCGATATATATAATATGTTGAAGGCCCTGTATTAGATTACAGGGCCTTCTATTCTTTTGTTTTATTTTATTTTATTTTAATATATGACCTGGGTTGACATCGTGTCCTGGCCTGACATAGCCTTTTACTTGACATATATCGATTAGGTGACCGTGACTATCCTTGGTGACAATATCTAAAAAGCCACTCTTTCCTAATATATCAGTATTTTGAAAGCAATACTATTACAACAAGATATAATCGTGTACGTAGGGTAGCTATTTCAGACCTGGTCATCCTTATATTTTGGATATCATCACCCCTAAGGGTGACCATATTAGATTTATTAGCCAATCACAGTAGTAACAGTCATTTGACAAGCGCATGGCCGACATTATGTCCACCCCTTATCATGATTGCTGACACCATGTCAATAGACCCCCCCAGCCCCATAATGTACTTAGGAAAAGGGGTTGGGACTTTTGTTGGTACATTAGGTAATTATGGAATGAAGTCACGTGCGCCACACGTGACTTGACACACACACAAAACCCCGCTCTTTCTAGGTAACCCACATGTACAAATGATAACAAGAACAACAACAGCATCACGATAGCCTCATAATTCGTGATTGCCGTACTAGGTGTACAGTGTACACCACCACCCTATTGACATAACCCTTGTCAATCCAACGACTTTCAACACTTTCAAGGCTCTCGAGACCAATACCCTCGATATTTTTAGAACCTTTCTTTACCTTAAGTGCCCGCACCCATTTTTATACTCGATATTTTTTACATATACTTCGGTACCTAGGGGAAAGATTTGGAAGTAAAAAGATAGGTATTTTTGAGAAAAAGATGAATGTGGGGACTTGGAAAGATTTCACTTATTTTAGGGATGTACCAAATAAAATGTTTAAAATCTGCGTATAGACGAACTTCTTATTTCGTAAAAAGGTCTCCTAGACAATATCTCTCGTAAAACTCAGGCATTTGGGAATCCATCGTATATCCCTCGTATATAAACTCAGACATAACCCTCCTAAAAGTCGAGCACTAGTACAGGATCTTTGTCACTCCAACAGTCTTTAATCTTACCTACTACCTTAATCAATACGCAATACCGTCCAAGTGTGAGGAGGGAGAAGCTAGCACCAGTATGTAGAACAATTCAGTTACTAAATTGAGCAATATAGAGCCTATCATACTGTTCGTACGAATGAGCTACGGATCATGGGGAAATGAAAGACTTGTAATAGGAAACCGTTAATAGATCTGCATTTTCAGTATATGAAACGAGGACATGACCATGACATTTTCCCAACATATTCCTAATCATTCGAAAAATTGGTAGGTACGGTACAAAAAGGCAATGCTGATGTTAATTATAGTTGATTGATTATAATATGGCCTTAGGCCATAAAGCGCTGATGATATCCCTGTTGAAGATGACACTCCAAGCTTTAGAAAATCAGAAAGTGCTCGCGATTTCAATTTCCTCGTCTTCACCAGTCTCCATCTAGCACATCTTTAGTTGCCGTTCCGGTCGAAGAAAGTAAGATAGGTAATATCGTTTCTCAAAGCCGTCCGTTGGCTGAGTTACCCGATGGATAGGAGAATGGAACTTCATCCCTGAGAGACGTTTTAGAGAGTCCGCAATGTTAACAAGAGCCAATGGAGGCTTTGGTGGCGCAAAAGCCCACCCTTCTGCCAGCTCCGCATGAAGTCCCCAAAGTTCGTAAAAAAGCAGAGTCAGCGTACCACTGTCTGTGTGCTTGTTTTCTTTTACATTCTCCAGCCGTTCTAAGGAAGGCTCATAAACAAGCTTTAGACCACTATCGCTGATCTCGCCTAGTCTATGGTGGTACTCAAAGCGATCCTCACCTTGCAGATTCAGGCCATCCGAGAGGCAGGACAGTATAGTGAGGCAGGTAGTATGCATACTGCTGCTGAACTCTCGAAGTTTCTCTTCGTTCCTTCGTAGAAGGTAGGGCAGCGTGCAGGTCCCTGGCACAAGCTCGTCATACGCCATCTACCGTAAGTAAAAGTGTTAATGGGCTTATTGGTAGATATAAGAAGGAATGAGCGCAAATACCTCAAAGGTCTCATCGCAACCGCCATCCTTATACCTAATAAGTTATCAGCGCGGAGATCTCAAGGGTGTTGTTAGTACTTAACCTCGATCTTGATCTGGTTGCTGGTCCAATCTTATGTCCTTGACTTTCAGGTCATGAGATTGGTCAAAGTATTGCTGGGTAGTCAAGTAGACATCCTGCAGATTGCGAAGCCCCTTTCGTCCCTGTTCAGAATTGCCTAAGTCGAGGTAGAACAAGCCATGACCTTGTGCAGCTTGTAGTAGTCTTTTGGTCTCGTCCAGATTACCAATCTCGAGCTGGTTGAGATCAAGAGTGTCTAATAAAGCAACTGAGATTTGTGCTCCTGTATTCAGGGTTATTGTGGAGAGAGCGCTGGACATGACGGATTATGGGAAGTTGACGAGTAAAGAATGAAGGGTTTCTGGTGGGCACAACATAACTCTGTCTATAATTTTACGCAGCAGGTTGAGTATTTAATATTGCGAGCCTAACGTGTTCAATGAACATGATTAACAGTAGAATCAATAAAGTTATGCAGGTGTTATCTCAGGTGACCTAAAACTTCAATATAGATATTAAACATACGGGTTGCAGCCGCCTCGTTTGCATTACTTACGCCACGTAATGCGTGGTCCGTAAGATTATATGTCACACAACTGATACAGGTATTTATTGCTATATCACTAAGCTCAAATCCCGGATCCCGAGGAGTTTCAGAATTTTGGCTTGTAATACGAACAGGAATAAAAAGAATTAAATAAATAAAATAATATCTTAATTATTTAATAAATTCATATTTTATTAATATTCTTTACTGTATTTGTCATCACCTTTTATATGTAATATTTACACCTATAAATTTCGTTACTTTGTTTAAAATCGGATAAAAATAAAGCAGTTACCGATATCAACGCAACTCGCTACATTAGTTTAATAGCCCTCAGAAACATTAATATTTTCATTATTTTTCTTATTTTTCTTCAAACATTATCAATGATGGCTCCCAAGTCCTATCTGCGAGTCCTTATCATGGGTTCCGGTCCGCGAGAACACGCAATTGCCTGGAAACTATGCCAATCCAAAACTGTAGAGCACGTCTATATCGTTCCTGGGAATGCTGGCACAGCTATGCTTGGTAAAGCAACAAACATCACCAATGTAAGGGTAACTGATTTTGCCGGTCTAGTTCTTCTCGCCAAAGAGCTAGGCATAGGTTTGGTGGTTCCCGGTGCTGTACAGTACTTTGTAGACGACATCGAGGGCTATTTTCGAGGCAGTAAGCTGTTTCTATCCCCTTCTCACCATAGATACTTCAGGTTTCATGCAGGCGGCTGACATTACCGTCCTACTTTAGCCGGCATTGCTTGTTTTGCTTGTACCAAAGAAGCAGCCCAACTCGAAGTCTCCAAGCCGTTTGCCAAAGATTTCATGATTAGACACGATATCCCTACCGCCCAATACCAGAGCTTCACGGCCGCAGGAGTCAAAGCTGCGAAGGACTATATCCTGAAAGCGCCGTACCCGGTCGTGGTCAAAGCTGCGGGTCTCGCTGGAGGTCGAGGCTCCATCATTCCATCGTCAAAGGAAGAGGCCCTTCAAGCAGTCGACGATATTCTAGTACACCAAAAGTTCGGACCCGAGGCTGGAAGCTCTGTGGTTATCGAGGAGTACCTTGAAGGAACGGAAGTCAGCATTCTCACCCTCAGCGACTATAATGGCCACACATGGACTTTTCCAACTTTACAGGATCATAAACGCATGCACGATGGCGATATAGGTCCCAACACCGGGGGTTTAGGTGCTTATGGTCCAACTCCGTTTGTCACGCCGAGCCTAATGAAGGAAATCGAGAAGTCTATAGTGCAACCTGCCCTAGAAGGACTCCTTTTTGAAGGTATGAACATCATGTTCTAGCGTCAAACACTTTAGGGTTAATTGAAGAACAGGTCTCAAATTTGTTGGGTGCTTGTACACCGGACTCATGCTCACATCGTCGGGACCGAGAGTTTTAGAGTTCAATGTCCGCTTTGGTGAACCAGAGATGCAATCGATGGTACTACTTCTTGACGATGAAACTGATTTTGCAGAGGTTCTGCTTGCGTGTATCAATGGCACGCTGGATCAAGTACACATTGATACGATTCCTGGATTCGCCTGCAATGTGGTCATGACGGGGGAGGGCTATCCCGACCCTGACCTTGATCATGGCGGAGAAGTTATTGAGATGAAGGAGACAGTTTCTAGTAAGAAATCTTAGAACCATCTTTGAATGGCCGTACTGATTGAAATTTCAGATGCTGTTTTCTTTCATGGTCAGACTAGAATGAAGGACGGAAAACTCACTACTGGAGGTGGAAAACCACTCACATGTGCCGTGATTCGCGATACTCTTCCAGAGGCATTAAATGCGGCGTATGAGGGAGTAGCGTCGGTCTCATTTCGCGGTATGCATTATCGGAAGGATATTGGGGCAAGGTATGTTCAAGCTTGCAATCTAATTTAAATGTCTATTAATTAAGTACTGACTACCTGATTTCTCCAATGATAGAGCACTTATTCATTCCTAAAAATTACTACCACTTCCAATCTTAGGGATTGGATTAAATTAAGAATCCTGAGGAAGTTATGATAAAATGAAAATGGGGGAGTGCATTGATGAGGTCGCCAATGATTGCCAAGTAAGAGTGGAGGGCACCAAGGGGAACTCTCTCGGAAATGATTACACGGTCATGAATAAAGTCGTGCTTAGGACCAATATGAAGACAGCAAGAGCCTTAGCCTTTATTAACCACATGACCTTGGGAATATCGAATTAGTATTATACGCAATTCCCACAAATTCGTGAGGTCTTATCGCGGTATAGTATAATATTCTAGATCACATTGGCTTCAATGAAGGTTAAGCAGTCGTAATATAAGGTATTGGCGTCCAAACCATCAACCTTCCGGATTTTTAGGGTGCTCAGTATCACTCCCGAAAACTGTAGACTTTGGTCACCTAAAAATATTTCAAATTCTAACAAACAAACTATAAATTATTTTGTTTGGGCCAAAATAGATATATGCGCCGAGAAGCTTTTACATGTTCACATAAGATGATACCAAACTTATCAATCTTATAGATATCATAGTAAAAAACAAGTGCAGTAGCACCGATGAAGACGAAGAACACTCTAACAACTAAACCACCTTAGTAACCGACATCAAACTAGGGAGCAACTAGGCGTCAAGGACGGTTCTAGGCACATATTTACCTTGGCCAAGAGAGAATAATATTTTTAGCTACTTGGCGAGTGTAGCATCATGCTTGAAACCGAACTCTCGAAAGTCTACGAAAATATGAACCTCACCCTCCTTAACAGACTCCTACTATATGTCTGCACAGAGAAAATCATAGATAGATCTTATATAGCATGCGAAAAACAAAGACAAAAGAAAAACGAAGTCTCATACTAGAGGATGAGTTAACTAACCTGACCACTAAGCTACGCGGGATGAGAAGTCCTATAAGAAAATAAAAGGGGGGAGAGCAAAACGTAATTGCCTCCCCTCAGCCTCTTAACACTATGACATATAGCTACGAATGTTGATCTTAAGTATAAAGTATGTAGTCTTAGGTTCCTACCAGCTAAGTTACGGATAATGACCATAGTTGCTACGCTTAGATATCGTCGATAGGGATCTTGGCTACTATAAATTATCAAGAGGCTCTAAGAACTACGAATGCTAAGATAGGGACACAAACTGAACACTTAGTTGATTTTCACTGCAAAACTGTAACAGTATGAACATATTTGACTTTACCACCTTCTAGCCGAACCTCGTGAGAATCCGGCATATTCCCAAGTGAATCGAAGGAGCAAAGAACGTCCACGGACCCCATAGTCTCATCAATCACGTATCGCCGGTTGCCGTTCGGCTTCTGGCTTCCGCCGTGAGGGAGCGTCGATCCACAAGGCCGTGTTAGCTGAGACCCCTCGACACGCTCGCAGTCCGTGCCCCACGGAATGGAGTCGGCGGCCTTAGCATCTGTCCACATGTCCAAATACGCGTCCCCCACGCGCTTGAGTTCCTCCCTACCAACTCTTTGCCCCTCCTCGAGCGTTCCCCAGTTCTCCTGTTGGATGTATCCTAGCGTCTTCTGGGCGTTGAAGAATAGCGCGCCCGTCGTTGCTGCGATGGTGTCGATCAAAGCGATTGAGCTAGTGTCATTGTCCTGATGCCGAATCTGTGTCGAGATCACGTATGGCTTAGAACCGGTCGTCGAGATCAACATCGTATAGCTCGCACAAGCTACCGTGTCTGCTGTAGATCTGTTAAGGTCTATCTTCAATGGTTGGCTTAGCACACCAGTCTTGATGTCCGAGACCTTATTGTTCTGCTGGTAGGTAAAGTTGGCGGCAGATAACTTGAGCCCATCGATACTTCCGCTGGTTTGAGCAACAATGTAACTATTTGCTGCAGCCAGTAGTCCTTCACGAGTGCACTCTGCTGAAACTAAAGTCACACCAGTCGCTAGAATCGTGACAGCCGCGACGGCTAGCCTAGTGCTTAGTCTGAACATGGCGAAAGTTCTCTATTATTCGGGGAAGGATATTCCACCACTATAGATCCGTGGGATACTGTTGTATCTCCTGAAGAGTCGTATGGGGCTAACAAAGTGGGTGTGGTGCGAGCCAGTGGCATTAAATAGTAATATAGCCAGTTCTCGACGGAGACATTGGACAAACACCCAAGTAATATGCCGTGCTCCATGCGGAGTAGTTCCCTACTATATTGACGATCCCCGCGTGAAATTTATTAATGTAACCTCGATTTTGGTATGCTTTGAGAACCTCTCTGAATTAGGATCTGTATTTCTTCAAGGTCGAAGCAAACGCCCATCACTTCCATCATAATTATCCAGCTTCGCTAGATTCCCCACTACGAGGTAGTGGATAGACCAAGAAAGTAAGGATATAAAGGATATAATTACAGTATACGCATTATTAAGACCAATATCTTTGAATTGTTTCTATCAGATTTCTAAAGCAACCAAGATTTGAACATGCAAAGACATTGCTACAAAGAAGCTATAGCGTCAGAACCTGTCAGAATAGACTGCCTACAAAGTATAGACAACTTCCCAGAAACCTGGAATCTTTTATTTGGATATCCATGTTTCATTTAATAGAAATATTTATTCCCAGGATTGCTTTATTTCGCCATTTTATTCCACTTATGTTCCCGGCTAAGAGAGGTATATAATGTATTCCATGTCAAGTATTTAGCTTCCTTTTTTTTCTAAGTGACTACCAGGTCGAAAGGCATACGCTGATCTGATATCCCATGCAACATGCCTGCCGGCTAAATAGTCCGGGAGAAACTCACGCGGAGCATGCAGAAGATGGTGATATCGAGCCTTAAATGCCGCCGGTTGTTGTGGGGCAAATATGCCAATTCAACGTAAAGCCTCCTTTTCGTGTCGATCATCGAGCTCAAGAGAGATAATGCGTAGTATTTTCTCCAATATTATTAGGGGGTGGATGTTATGTACCTTGAGCAAAGTCAGGTACGTCAACTACGCGGCTCATCTCCCAAGAATCAGATACAGCTCATCCGGTAGGCTATTTTCTGAGCGAATGCTTAGCTGGAGATCTCTAGCGAAGTATTCAAGCTTGAAAAGGGCGGGCTTAGAACACCACGTCGTTCATTATGACTCGTAGGTCTCATCCTAGCAGTTTTTTTATTGGATAAATAGCATTATGAAGCGTCCAGCAACGTCGTGGGCCTTTCTATCGCTCCTCAGCGCCCAGGCGCTGGGAAAAATGACCTTTCCTGACTGTGTTAATGGACCTGAGGTCTTGACGACAAATCTCGTCTGCAACACATCAGCTAGTCCCTCAGAGAGGGCAGCAGCTCTCATCAGTGCTTGGAATATTACAGAGAAATTGGTTAATCTCGTAGAGTGAGGAAATCCTAGAAGTAAAAAGAAACCCCTATTCGGAACTAATATGGCATTAGCAAGAGCCTTGGAGCACCGCGCCTGGGGCTAGACGCCTACGACTGGTGGAACGAAGCCCTCCATGGCCTCGGATTTTCTCCCGGGGTGGGATTTGCACAGTCAGGGGAATTTTCTTATGCTACCTCCTTCCCTAGCCCGATCCTGTTGTCGGCGGCATTCGATGACGACTTAGTCCATGCTGTAGCCGAAGTCATTAGCACCGAAGCCCGAGCATACAGCAATTCGGGACATGCGGGCCTCGACTACTGGACACCGAATATCAACCCCTATAAGGATCCAAGGTGGGGACGAGGTTCCGAAACTCCAGGCGAGGATCCGTTTCGCATCAAGGGTTATGTCAAGGCCTTGATAGATGGGCTACAAGGCAAAGAGAATGTCACAAAGGTGATAGCAACTTGCAAACATTATGCAGCATATGATCTTGAGTACTGGGGAGGCATAAAGAGATACGAATTTGACGCGATCGTCGGAATGCAAGATCTGGTAGAATATTACCTCCCTCCGTTCCAGCAGTGCGCGCGGGACTCCAAGGTCAAGTCGATCATGTGCTCCTATAATGCTGTCAACGGAACACCCGCTTGCGCTTCTACGTACTTAATGGGGACAGTCCTTCGCGACTTTTGGGAGTGGAACGACGAAAGCCAGTACATTACTAGCGATTGTAATGCTATCTTAAACTTCCACGAGGATCACAACTATACGACCACAGCAGCGCAATCAGCAGCGATATCTCTGATCTCCGGAACGGATAGTATTTGTGAAGTCGGCAGCAACACCGATGTCACTGGAGCATGGGATCAAACTTTACTACCAGAAAACGTTATTGACCAAGCACTTCGACGTATGTACGAAGGACTTATCCGCGCGGGATATTTCGATCCCCCAGACGCTACTCCGTACCGGTCTCTATCCTGGAAAGATGTTAACACCCCCGAATCCCAAGCCCTTGCTATCCGGTCTGCCGCTGAAAGCATCGTACTGAAGAAGAATGATGGGATTTTGCCCCTTAAAGTTGACAACGCCACTTCGGTCGCTTTGATTGGTTTCTGGTCGGACGCTGGGAACTTTGCTATGCTCGGCGGATACGCAGGGATTCCATCGTATCTTCACGGTCCACTACAAGCAGCTCAGAAACTTGGATTTCATGCAGTAAATGCTACAGGTCCTATTAAGCAGAATACCTCAGACCCGGATGGGTGGACTGAAGCCGCTCTAGAGGCCGCGAATAACTCAGATATCGTGATATACTTTGGTGGTAACGATATGACGATAGAAGCAGAGGAGCTCGATCGATTCTCTATCGCTTGGCCCAGTGCCCAGTTCGCTTTGATTCAGAAGCTTAGCGCATTAGGCAAGCCATTTATCATCGTCGAGCTAGGCGATCAAAATGATGACTCGTCGCTTCTTAGTGATGATAACGTCAACGCTATTCTGTGGGCAGGTTTCCCCGGTCAGGATGGAGGAACGGCTGTCTTTGACGTCTTAACTGGTAAGACGGCACCAGCTGGCCGACTGCCTACCACTCTGTACCCTGCAGACTACGTCGACCAAGTTCCGATGACAGACATGAGTCTTCGCCCGAGCGAGACAAGCCCTGGAAGAACGTATAAGTGGTACGACGAGGCCGTATTACCCTTCGGGTTTGGTTTACATTACACTACGTTCGAGCCCTCATTCGCATCTGATGCTTTTGAGGGAAAGACGTATAGCATCAGCGATCTACTTACTGCGTGTAGCGCGAAATACTTGGATCTCTGTCCCTTCGATACTGTAAGCATATCCGTTAAGAATACCGGAAACGTGACCTCGGACTTCGTCGCCTTAGCTTTCCTATCTGGAGAATACGGGCCTGTTCCCCATCCGATCAAGGAGCTTGCCGCATACACGCGAGTTAAGGGGGTAAAACCGGGAGAAGCAGAAGAGGCCAAGTTGGGGTTGACATTAGGGGACTTGGCTCGTGTGGACGAGCGAGGAAATACAATCCTATATCCTGGAACGTATAACTTTCTGCTCGACGTGCCGACACAAGCTACCACCAGTTTTGAACTGACTGGGGATCCCAAAGTGCTGATCGAGTTCCCACAGCCCCCGACTGATCTTGGGGAAGGTAATGGACACGAGAAATATTCGCCAAAATGAGTACCCCTGGCACATGATTCTGCTCTAAATCAACTCATAGGGGTAGGAGTTGTAGATTACCCCGTGCTGGACGTGCTGTTAACGGCTATTTTCGAAGCTTCCCAGTTACCTATTATTAGTTAAAGAAATAGTTTAGCTACAGTGTCTATTCAGATCTTTTTGAATCCCAAGTACTCATAATCAGCGTCTTTATTTCCGATACACCGTGTTATTGATAGGTATGAACAGCATCTATTGTTCTTCCACTATTCTGCTTCGTTGAGCTACAATAAATTCCTAGATAGAATATTTAAATTTGCAGGGTATCTTACTTCTAAACCTCAATAAAAGCCACATCGAACTCAATACTGCAGAATTTATAAAGTAGACAATATCGGTAACTGAACCTCAAAATGTCTAACCCGCCTCACCTGGGGATAAGCGTCCCTTTTTGGGAAGAGATTCAAACTAAAATATCAGATGGTCTCGCACGAGGCTCGGCATCACTCTACTTCAGAGCATATGGCCAAGCAGACCGTGTCCTTCCACCTAGCCAGTGGCGAGATGTAAGATGGACTCTCCAAGACTTTGCTTATTTTTACGACTCCCCTGAATATGAGACGACTAGGTTGGAATATATAGACCAATGTCTTTTCAGATATCCAGTTGCCGCGTTTCCAACGTGGCAGGAAGTTGTTGACGGAATGCAAGTTCTTTTCACAAGACCTGCTGTACTCATTGATTACATGTTTGCTAGGCCCAATGTATGGGTAAACAAGGAACTCTGGCGACCACTTGACTATGCTGTTGCGTTTATCTTAAGGCTTCTTAACTATCGAGAGCACATTCAGACCGACGTCGTTGACAGAGGTGAGCTTGTTGAAGGAAATGAGTACTGGATGGACTGGCAAAAGGCTTATTCCACAATTCTCGGCTCGGTTCAACCGTTCTATCAGCCCTGGGATGGCTCAGACAAATGGACCGCAGCGTTCCTTCTATACCTTAAGCTTGAATATGAACATGCGGCTCACGTGAAAGAACTTCTAAATGGCGACCCTAAGGTCCTTGCCACTGCATATACGGAAGGCAAGGAAGGGATTGAAGTTGACCCTAAAGTAAAGGAGAGGTATACTCAGATAGAGGCTATGGACAAGTATTATTCTTAAGCTATGTGTACCCAGCCCCTATAATGTTGCTTCAGTTAGTGCTGATTATCCGACCTGATACAAGCAGCATTTTGAGTGGCCTAAGGATACCTTTACGGATACTGAGAGAAAATAGGGTCTTAGACGTATTATAACTATCCAAGATTTGAAGTAAGAATAAAGTTTTAGTTAGTTATTGTATTGAAATATAAGCAAATTGTCTTCGAAAGACTATATTTTAAAATCCCGCAATGGGTACCTAGTTATGAGAATTAGAAAAGAAAAGTATGTAAGCTACACTCCTGACATTATAAAAATGCAATTGTCTCTTCTATTAGCATCAAAGAGTCATAATTAGACAAGAAACTTAATAAAAACTAAGAAGTGAAAAGAAAACCAATAAAGAAGGTAGCTATTGTTCAGAGAATTACCGGGTGACAAAGAGCCTATAGGTATATAAGCAGCTTTGCCGAAGAACGATGTGATTCGGATTTTTATATGAATTAAGTAACATCGTGAATATACTACAAAATGGACTCTAACACATCTACGCAAAATGCTGGCATTCAGCAGAACACCTGGCAAGGGGGGAATGGACGAGTGCTTCTACCTTGGATGGACGACCCCGAAGAGATTAAGAATGAGGTCCGACTTGTCTACAAACAGAAGCAACCGCATCTGGATGCAGTTGCAGGCGAGCTGGCATCTCTCCTCGGTCTTGGCGACGGCTTAATAGCCAAGCAGCGGATGCAGAACCTGTTTACACACCCGGCACTTCTCGACGCCTTCGTCGAATTCGCCGAGACGTATCTCGAAGGAAAATGGGACCTTCCGGTTGGCGAATGGGAGGCGGTCCACAAGCTCGCACACGCCCATGCCGACGACGCCAACTGGGGTTCTGACGCACCTCCGTCCCGGGAGGATTGGAATGTCAATCATTTCTACGCCCGCTTCATACTCCGGACGTTGGCAAGACTCAGAAACCCGGACGACGCCCCAAGAAATCTTGCGTACTGGCTCGGGGAGGCTAACCCGTGCGACGCGACGTGGCTGCTCATGCACGTCCTGATGTATATGCAGTGGGATGCGATGCGGGACTATAAAAAACATGCTCCCATGAAGGATCGTATTAACCATTTTGTTAATGTGTGGAAGGCGGACATGGCGTATAGAGAACCTAGTAACTAGGTAATCAATGCATCTCGACTCTTTTGATAGTAAATGGAAATATAGTAGGTGCGTTAGCTTTTAGATTAAATATTATAATTGGTTATACATTTGAGTATGTTATTTAAACTAATTCTTGATATTATGTTTCGGTGGTGAGTGTTGAAGACTATTCTCGGTTTATTCTTTATGTTGGAAGTTTGTAGTAGGTAACGTGATAACTACAGTAAATAAGCCTTAACTATGGGTAATATTGAAATTGCTTTGGAATTGATAATGGTCTTAGATTTCTAGGTTAGTTAGTTGACTTAATCTCATGACTCGCAATAGGCTCAACACTATAAGACACTATCAAGATAGGATAGACAAAGAAAATAGAAGACAAATGTAAAATCAAACGATGAGAGTCATGTGTGCAAAGCCAATTTAACAATGACTCGAGATGATTTATTATCTGTTGTTTGATCTTGGCTTCTAATTACTAGGTACGTTAGGTAGTTGGTACGTGCAAGGGATAAGTAACAAGGGATGTGTTTATCAGATCAAGCAAGCTGCCGGCCGGCAAAGAATACCTAAGTAAAGGTACCTATACCTACCTAATTTATGCCTATTTAGCCAATCAGAGACTTAGTTATTAGTTCCACATTTAGCCGTTCTCGCTTTCAGAATAACCCCCGGCATCAGCTCGAACCCCTTTGATACTTTGCCGGGTTTCATTGCTAGTTCCTCGCTCTTTCGCCTCTTCGCATTAGTGCTCCGGATATAGGAGCATTACCAATCTTTTGCTCAAGCGAGACCCTTTCCCAACGAATAATCTTTTTTTTTTTCTATCATGGTGTTTGCATATTCCATACAGCTGGAGAGCCGTAGTTTTGGGTCCAGATCACTAGCGTATCTCTCGGTCGGCAACATAAATAATTATAATTATCATATGTCATGGACTTATTCATTCTCTAAATATTCCTTTTAGCGACGTTGAAATGTGGTGAGGGACGTAGACCGTCATCGATCTCATCACCGACTAGCTAACCATAGATTTCATCTCCCCGGCTCCGCTATTATACACCCTTGTTTATTATACAGATCACCGCTACTACGTTAGGTAGGCAACTAGGCACCTAGGCTAGCTCACCGGCTCGGAGATAATAAATTTTCTCCTTTTTGAGCTGTCCTCGCCTTAAACCTCCTTCGCTCTTTGCTTTATCAACTGGCTGGGCATACATCATTCGTTGACAAACAGCATCAACGAAGACTTGCTTGAGTCCGCCTTTAACTGTTTCGCGTCGGGATCATGTCGGATCATGAGGCTGCCACGCTAAACGTCCGCGACGACGAGAAACTCGACGATTTAGAGCAAGGCGCGAAACCATCTAGTCATAACACGCGCCGAAGCTCCTCGGCGAGCACCGCGCAGGATGAGGATTCTTCAAGAGGAGGAAATGTACCTGCTGCCGCTACTACAGCTGTAGGTGAACCAGATAATGCTCCGTCCGAGGGTGTTATCCCTGCCGTTCAAGGTGCGGAGCCTGAGGCAGGACGCACCAAGTTTCAGACGACAGTTATTATTTTCGCGTTGTGCTCAGCACTGTTTCTCGCCGCCCTCGATGTCACTATCGTCACCACCGCGATCCCCACAATCACCGAGCAGTTCCAGTCGCCGGCCGGTTACACGTGGATCGGTGCGGCTTACCTATTGGCAAACAGCGCCACGGTCCCCAGCTGGGGAAAGATCAGCGATATCTGGGGTCGTAAGCCGGTGCTCTTGGCGGCTGTCGCCATCTTCTGGATCGGTTCGCTGATATGCGCGTTAAGCATTAACATCGGCATGCTGATCGCCGCCCGTGCCATCCAAGGCATCGGCGGCGGCGGTATCATTGTGCTCACTAACATCTGTGTTAGTGATTTGTTCTCTATCCGCAAGCGTGGCATGTACTATGCTTTCTTTGGTATGGTCTGGGCTATAGCTTCTGCGATCGGTCCTATCCTGGGTGGTGTCTTCACTTCCAAGGTCACCTGGCGCTGGTGCTTTTACGTGAACTTGCCCATCAGTGGCGTAGGCTTCGTCATACTTCTATTCGTGCTTAAGTTACACAACCCGCGCACGTCTGTCCGGGAAGGCTTGGCTGCTATCGATTGGCTCGGTAGTCTTCTCATCGTTGGCGGTACTCTTATGTTCTTGTTCGGGTTAGAATTTGGTGGCGTCACCTATCCCTGGAACTCGGCGCCGACGATATGCTTGATCGTATTCGGTATAGTAACGGTCGGCCTGTTCGTCGCCGTTGAAAAGTGGTATGCTAAGTACCCCGTCATCCCGCTTCGGTTATTCCAGTTCGGGAAGAATATATCGACTTTCGGCGTTTGTTTGGTTCATGGTGCTGTCTTCATTTCCGGAAGTTATTATTTGCCATTGTACTTTCAGGCAGTCTTAGGTGCATCGTCGCTACTCTCGGGTGTCTACTTGCTCCCATACGTGCTCTCGCTTTCGTTCATGTCGATCGGCTCGGGTATATTTATGAAGAAGACGGGCAAATACCTACCAGCCATCATCTTCGGTATGTTCTTCATGACGCTTGGATACGGGCTATTTATCGACCTCGGTGCTCAGGCGAACTGGGCAAAGATAATTATCTTCCAAATTATTGCGGGTATAGGTGTAGGACCGAACTTCCAATCACCGCTCATAGCTTTACAAACGACTGTCGAACCTCGCGATATCGCAGCGGTAACGTCGACCTTCGGATTCGTCCGTCAACTCTCGACATCGATATCTGTGGTTATTGGGGGTGTAGTTTTCCAGAACGGAATGGAGAAGCAGTACCCTACCTTATTAGCTCAACTTGGACCAGAACTAGCCAAACAGCTTTCCGGCGGGAGTGCAGGTGGTAATGTTGGTCTCGTAGCCTCCTTACCCGGTATCCAAGGCGAAATAGCTCGCGCAGCTTACTGGAACAGCTTGCGCGATATGTACATTATGTACGCAGCCTTCGCTGGGGTGGGACTTCTCATCAGTCCATTTATCAGCCAGCGACAGCTCAGCACTCAGCACCACGAGCATAAAACAGGCCTTCAGAGCCTACGACAAAACGGCGAGGGTGATAAGCCTATGGAAAAGACTGCTCAATAGCGTAGATTGGTTTATATTAATAGGTGAAAATTTTTCACGATAGACGATGTGATGGGTCACCGGCATTTAGGTTTTCATGAATATTGAGGATATTTAGGATCGGATAATAAAATGTAGAGGATTATATAAGTATCTACTCATGGCTACGACCTACATATTGATACCCAGGCTTCGCTATTGACTAAAGGCTACATTTGCTAGGCTATATATAATGAATTAATTTCTTCATCCACACCCTTTCCTCGGGCTGTCGGTTAGTGAATGGACTGGTGAATAGTATCCATATGTGCTTAGATGTACTATGTAGTAGGTCCTACTAGTATGGGAAATCAGATCTAGCCGTTACTATAAGATAGGGGTAACGAGACCTAAAGTTGGTTCATATGTTTATATTCTGTATGTCATCTTAAGGTGCTATCTTATACTTCTACAGCAGACCCAAATGCAGAAGATCATAACAAGTCCGCCAGAATTTTATGGCATAGCAGGCCCCCCCGTCGTATTTAAGATCGTAGCTAATATGACTGAGTTGACCAAATTTGACGTTCAGGTCACCTTAGCAATCCTCTAAATCCCCTTGATTTAAAAACGTCGAGTCATTCATTAGAGACACATTGAAAACCCCGGATGAGCGTACATCCCTTCTTCCGGCCCCCAGCAGCATCGTAGAATTTTGAGTGTTCGTTGATATGCCACTACCTTTAACTGACCTCAATAACATCATCCCGCGTTTGTAGCCACGTAATTGATTAGACGGTGCCGATAACCAGTAATTCTCTCGATACGGGAAGAAAACTGAAGGTAGTTCAATGTAAGAGTGGCGGAGGGTTTCGCTTAACTCGGTATCAAGCCAATCTTCCTCCATAGCGCGACGAGGAGCCGCATTACGGCAATGACAATCGTTAAAATAACCGTAGCGCCTATGGCGAAAACCAATACACACCCGATAAACATCCCAATCCCACGTCCAAGTTTCATAAGCAAGTCATGTCCGGTGGAAGAATCCACACTTGTCTCCTGGGACTCGAGGGTGGAGGTATTTTGTTTGGAGAGGCTGATGAAGGGCTCCTGCTCCTCGACCTCCGTGGATGTCGATTCCTGGTCGTACTCAAGGGACGGCTTTCCGCGCTCATTTCCGTAGTCGCCTTCTGCGGGGTTTAATTGGTTGAGTGGGATAGACATGTTCTTGTTTTGTTTTTATGCTCTCTGCAACTTCGTAGACTACCCAAAGTTAGGTACCTGTTATGAGGCTAAGATAAGTAAATCGATCACGTATATTAAGTCTGGCGTGTAAAGGGGTAAGTTGTAATAAGGTTTATGACAGCACCTTTTACTATATATGTAGGAGGTAGGTATGTATGGAGAGACTAGGATCGATGGAGGCGGAGCTGAGACAGCCAAGGAGCATCGTACTCAGGCTGACTTATGAGCCTTACATGCCACGCCTACGCTCGGTACCGAGTTGGTACTCAACCTACGAACTAGGTATATGGGCGTAGGACTTTCAATTACTTATCGAATCTTTTAGATTACGCCACCGGGTATATTAAGTATCCTCATGAAAATATACAATTAAGCAATATCAAATTGGAGTAAATATAGTGCAACAAATGTTTACAAATGGCAGTAGGATCTAAAACTATCTACGCAAGTGATAAACGATCCTGAAAAGAACTCATATAATACCTCGTAGATTTAAACGTAATCGAGGCATATCTGTACATTCAAAGGATGCGGCTTAGAGTCGTAGCTAGGTCAGATGCAGACACCGATCGATCCTAGTTATACCGGGTTGCTTACTATGCACACGTACTTTTAAGACATATTAATTGACCTAACCCATATTAACAAAGTCAGTTGCCTTCTATTAAATCTAAACCATTACGCCTATTGCCTACAAGGACCAATGTTCTATCTAAGTTCCGATATGATTACTTGCGCACACCTCTATATGTTTGAAAATCGCGAGCGGGTATCTTCCGTCTCTAAGCTCCCTTTGCTCCCGATCAGGTTTCCTTTTTATTGCGCAGACATGACGCGAAATATTTAATCGCGAATAACGATAGTAAAAAAGAAACCGATATAACCGATACTCCTTAGCGACATAGTTACGCCGTATATACCTCTTAAGCACCCAACTAAATAGCGATAGCGACGAGTACATTAGCAGTCAGGTACACTGACAGGAATGTTAAGCGGTACACTTGTAGCCAGTCCGCTGAGACTTGTCTCTTTGAACTCATTCCGCATCCCTTGAGCTGTGACACGCATGGCACGGATAGCATCGTCGAGCCTGACCTTTGACGCGCTAGCTTCGCTGCTGAGGGCTAGATTCGCGCTTGAGATGGCTTTAATAGCGCCTAAAGCATTGCGCTCGATGCATGGAGCTTGAACTAACCCGCCGATGGGATCGCAGGTCAAGCCGAGGTTATGCTCGATACCGATCTCAGCTGCTTGTTCGATCGTCTCGGGGCTAGCACCCATACAAGCCGCGAATGCCCCAGCTGCCATCGAGCAGGCGACGCCAACCTCAGCCATGCAGCCTCCCTCGGCCGCCGAGATGGTGGCACCACGCTTATACAACATGCCAATTGCCGCTGCTGTTAGGAGGAAAGTGAGGACGTCGCGCTCTGGATCATCGCTAATGAACTCGACCGTGTACTTGAGCACGGCTGGGATAATACCCGCAGCACCGTTAGTGGGTGCTGTTACGATTCGGCCCCCGGCTGCGTTAGTCTCGTTGACTGCAATTGCATAGACGGTTAAATAATCCATAGCAGGAAATGTGGTACGACGTGGAGGCGACGGCATGACTGGATGATAGAGGGAGCCAACCATGCGTTTAGGGCCTTTTTTGATAATGCTTCCTAGTGCTAGCGTTTTTGGCTTCGGGGACACGGCTATACTCGTAACTGCGGATGATACCTTGCTATTGGCCCTATTTGGGGAAGACAACTGAGCCAGCTGGTCGGCTGTGCTGGGAGTTTGAGTATGAGAAGGATATAGGCCCCTTGTCAGTCGTTTATATAACCCTGGCGCCCGTCTGTGTAGCTTGAGTGAGCCTGGTAGTATAGAATCGGTAGGTGCCTGAACCCCTTCTAGTATACTATTATCCATGACTTCCCAGATGCTCATAATCTTTCTATAGATTTCGTCATCCGTGTATCCATGACTTTTCTCATTCTCATATACCAATTGCGCAATAGTAAGATTATGCTTATTACACAGTGCCAGTAGACTTCGAGCATCACGAAATGGATAGCTGGGTTGTTGCGAGGTGGGCTCAGTCCCAACAGCTTCGGATCCTGATGCTGCAGATGAGATGGGAGAGCTTGCAGGGGCCGCCTCCGGACCAGTAACGGCTTTCGACTCGTCAGCAGAGTCGCCATTGAGTAATTTGATCTCGGAGCCGGTTCTGCGGTCTCCCGCTGCATTTGCTCGTTTAATCTCTTTATAAAATAAATTTTCGGCCAAGTCAGCCGGGTGTCCGCTAGTACTTTCTGCTTGAAGGTCTTTAGCATCAGCCAAGGCCTGATCCGCAACTTCACTTGCTGCCGCGGTAGTGGACGCTGTCGAAAGCGCACCGTTGACGACGAAACCCCCGCCAACGCTAAAGAAGTCGTTGGTTGCTAGAAGCATGCCTTGATCATCGAATACCATGAAGCGCATTCCGTTGCTATGCAGGGGTAATTTCTTTCCCCATTCCCATTTGAAATCACGCTCATAATCGAAGTCAATTTCTTTACCTTTACCCTCTGCTAGGCCGTGGCCTAAGAATAGCTTTTTACGTTCCTTGATCTGCGTAAAGCGAGTAGGTACATAGGCCGTGTCAATAGTCTCTACGTCTGCACTCTCAAGGCCTAGTAGTAGCGCGGATGGTGTCATGCTATTAAATACTAATGTCAGTTAAGATCCTCAACACGGCAGTATCAGAGACATGAGAAACCAATTTGACCTTGGTATGGGTAAAATAAGAAACAGATAGATTACTTACTGGCCCTCGCCCGTGAGCGCAAGACTACCATAGATTGAGATGCGTATCTTATGCACTTTGTTAAGCAAGTCGGCCTCGGCTAGATCAGCAACAAAGATGCCACCAGCGCGCATTGGTCCAACTGTATGGGACGATGAAGGGCCAATGCCGATCGAGAATAAATCAAACGTCGATATAACGGCGTGCTCATGGTCGGCTTCACTATATGTGCCTGATTGTGCATCATCATTGCCTTCTGAGCTCGATGGTGCCGAGCTGAAATATCGTGTATGCAGCAGACGTGATGGACATCTTGTTACTTGTTCCAATCTGAACTGCTTCGTCTCGACTAAACCAGGCCGCCATCTGTTTGTTATTCGCCGTGATGCTACACTCACAGCACCATGAAGCAGGTTGAGCTGCTTCACCGCTGCGCGGTTCATCGTGTGACTCGATAAGGAATACGAATAAATATGGATAAAGGGTTAGGGATAGTGCCTGATACTGAACGAATAAGTACCTCTTAATAGGAGGTAAGTATAAATGAAGTATCTATAGCAATAATAATGAATATCCTCAAGGACCTTAAAGATTTATTTATTTACTTGAATCTGATCGGCTGAACGGCCTGGCCGTCAGAAAGAAAAAAAAAAAAAGTTGATGTTCAATCAGTAGGTAAATGTTGTTAGAAGTAAGCGTGATCCAATAATATGCCGCTGATTTCCAAAAATACGAGCTTGAGTTTCCAATTGGAAGCTAGGGCCAAGGACTTTCCTGGAGAAGATCTATGATATCCGGATCTAAATTTACGGCGGGGTGCTTTAATTCAACGGCTAGTCAAGCAGGAAGGTACTCCGCAAATACCCGGACCCGTATAGATTTTATATGGGAAATCACAAGGAAGTCTAAGAGATAACGAAGTATATCGGCAGTTACGATAATGGTAGATCCATTACCTGGAGGTATGTAGTGTAATAAAATGTGGGCACATAACAGAGAGTATCGAGTCAATCTTATCTTATTATATTTGACTTATGCCTTTAGTCATATATCAATTCATTATCGCCATGTAAACATATTAATGCAACTCTCTTTGTTAGAATTCTAGATGAGACATCTAAAACAAAAAAGTTGCTTCCCTACTGTTTAGTTCCACCTTGTGACACTCTTCTAATTCAACACACAATCACTCCTAGCATCTAGTCTGAAATTTCCGTGATACCCAAAAAATGCTCCTTCATCTACCATTTTGAGGTCGAATTCCAATCGGCCCTCTTGATGTATGTCGAATCATATGAATACATATACTCATTCTTCGTAACCGTCGTAGTAATGTGATATTACTTAGATCCCCATCGAATATAGTAACCATGGGTCGATGGTACTTTCTGTCTCATGTCTGGTAATTATGAAATAAGTAGAATCGCCTCTTGACCAATCGATACAGTGATTATCGAACGTTAACAATTATTCTGTCCTGGTTCTACAGCTTTGGCGCCTTTAAGAGCCTTGACTAAACTCGTCCACTGGATCTTTAATACCTTCGCGTTACCTCTCCACTCCCCATCACACTTTTTACCTGACGGATGAGGGCGATGGAACATACACCAGAATTTTGAGTGATCCTCGGCATCGACGAATAATCTGATCTTAGGGATTTTGGACTCTTCAAGAAACTTGAGGAAGTTTTGGAACGGCTCTTTCGTGATGAATAGAGGCGCCGATATCACCATTCCCTTCCACTTTTCGGCTACAATACGAATATTATCGTACACGAACAGTTCGTCTTCGTAGCCCCAGAACTCGTAACATGGAAAACGACTTCCGATCTCAAGTCGTAGGCTTTGGAGTTTCCCATTCGAGGTCATTTCTTGTAAAGCTGTGCCGTACACCTCCCCAAACAGATGCATCTGCTCCTTCATTAAGAACCTGATGATCAGATTTCGAACGTAAAGCCGAGGAGTTACCGCAGTGAGTGAGCCGGCCAAGAATGGATCAGCGGTCCCTTTCAGATGCATATTATCAAGTAGGACTTCATAGTAAAATATCGAAGCGGCTTCCGCGTATATTCGTTTATTCGTAAGGAAAAGGTAGACAGCATCCTTGCTAGTAGAATCCCAGTCGAGCAGGATAAGCTTCAGGATGTGGTCTCTTAGCTCGGGAGGAAGATCAAAGAACCGGAACGGCCCCTTCCAGTATTTTACGGGAGGTTTTCTTGCTGGTGAAGCCTTTGGGCGGAACGCAATGGATCTACTCCCGAATTTTCCCATTGCTAGGCCCAGGCTAGGTCAGGGAAATCAACCGGGGCAGCCGCCAACTTAACTCTGGATTTCAGCTCTGGATTACTCTTCTAAAAATAAACAAAACTCCTTACTTTCTAAAGCTGTCTACCCATATATCTAGATTTGCTATATTGCGTAGACGGCTTGTGTAGGTGAAGTGTTATTCAAAGAAATACAGAAATACAGAAATACATATGAAAGAGTTGCGGAGTGACGGATTGTTTGTATATCTTCACCGATTTATGTAATCTATACAAAGGTACTTTTACCGTACCATTGATCGGTTTCCAATTGTTAATCACCCCACTTTAAAGTACAATGCAACCGCGTTCGCGTCCTCCCCTGTTCCCTTAGACCCACTTTCAAGTTCCCGAATTTCGTATCGTCAATTTTATACTTGATGCATAACTTCATTCCGTGATGCCTTAGAGTGTGTATTGTCGACATTGCAAATTTTGATTCCTTTCATGTCTTTTTATTAGCTTGTACTGTTTCAGGCATATCTGCCTGAAAATTTCTCACCATGGGTATCATTTCTTTCGCACGTTCAATGTACTCTCTCGATACCCTCGACACTCGTTTTACGAACCCATCCTCGACGCCTTACAAGACCGTTATAGAAGAGCGAGACGACGTAGTGGCTAGAAAAGAACGGGCGGCAGAATCAAAGAGCCGAGGAAACCCATCACGATGGAACACGCCGGAATATTATGTATACCGCTTCCTCCTCTGGTTTATCATACCATACATGTTCTGGGCATGCTATGATGCTTCAAGACGTATGTACTGCCATCTTCCAGGAACCTCTTTTGGCCTGTATATAAGTTAACCATACTTGTAGCCGAGGAGCCCAAATACCAAAGATACGAGCAATTGCTCTCGCCAGGGTGGATTCCCGGGCGCAAAATTGTAGGCGGCCCCTGATCTGAGAGATATCATATGCTAACAACTTGGAGGATGCCTCGGATCCGCAATACGGTACTTTTCGAAGTAATATCCCGTATATGGCGGCGCTTCTTATTTTCCATCCCCTTTTGCGCCGAGCATACAATGCTATCGTACACCCAATAAAGTCGACAGGGCAGTTGGCGCGACCGACGCTAGAAGAAGCGGACCAGAAGTTGAACCAGCGAGCTTCGTTCGACTTTGGTTTTGCGCTGATATACCTCGTTGTGCTACACGGGATTTCAGCCTTCAAGATACTTTTTATCCTCCATTTGAATTACCAACTTGCAACAACGTTACCCCGGAAATATATACCGGCTGCGTCCTGGATCTTTAACGTCGGCATCCTCTTTGTCAATGAAATATTCAAGGGATTCCGATTTGGTGATCTTGCTGAAATAATCGTTGGTCCTGCTGACACAGTTTCACTTCTCGACAATGGTCTGGTGTCGTGGGGCCAATGGCTCGATAGCTACGGCGGGCTCATGAGCCGATGGGAGATCCTCTTTAACATCACTATCTTGCGACTGATTAGTTTCAACTTAGACTACTACTGGTGCTTGGATCGTAGAAGTTATAGCCCGATCGAGGTGAGTCTTATCGTATAGATTACTTGAAATCATTAACAGCATACTGATGCCCTCAAGAAGAAACAAGTCGATCCTTCTGCCCTGAGCGAACGAGACCGGATATCCATCCCAGCACAGGAAAAGGACTTCTCATTCAGGAACTACATTGCATACGCCATCTACGCTCCTCTGTACCTGACTGGTCCAATAATTACTTTCAATGACTTCATATCGCAGTCGCGATATAAGTCCGCCAGCATCGAGACGGCGCGCACGATACGTTATGGAGTGCGCCTTGCCTTGACCCTGCTTGCGATGGAGGTGATCTTGCACTATAACTACGTTCAAGCTATCTCAAAAGCAAACCCCGTGTGGAGTGAGTACACGGCGCCGCAGCTTAGTCTGCTTAGCTATTTCAACTTGCATCTGATCTGGCTTAAACTGCTTTTGCCGTGGCGATTCTTCCGGCTCTGGTCTCTCGTCGATGGCATAGACCCGCCCGAAAACATGATTCGCTGTGTCAGCGATAACTGGAGCACGCTCGCCTTTTGGCGCAGCTGGCATCGCAGCTTCTATCGCTGGTCTCTCCGATACATATACGTGCCACTCGGAGGGTCAAGCTTCCGCACCCGCCGCGATGCCGCCCGATCACTACTTACGTACGTCCTCGTCTTCACATTCGTTGCTCTCTGGCACGATATTGAGATGAATCTACTGATCTGGGGTTGGCTCATCGTCTTGTTCATGGTACCCGAGATGGCGGCCGGATTTCTCTTCCCAAAACGCGCCTGGGAGAACAGACCTACAACTTATCGCATACTCTGCTGTTTCGGAGCCATAGTAAACATTTTCATGATGATGACGGCAAATCTAGTTGGATTTGCTGTCGGCGTAGATGGGCTGATGAATATCATCGCGGGTATTTTTAAAGACTTTTCTGGTAAGCTATCTTGTTCCTCTCGTTTGTTTGGATCTCGTATTTAACTGTATACTATAGGGTTCACATTCCTCATTACCAGTTTTATGGCGTTCTTTGTCACCGTGAATATCATGTTTGAGATTAGAGAGTCAGAGATAAGGCAAGGCATCAACCTAAGATGTTAATCTCGTATTTTCGTGGTTGGTATAATCGATTGCAATGCATCGCTATCCCGTCGTGGTATGAATACTCATAGATAGAACAAATATCAAAATTATTAGTGATTAAATTTTGACTCGATGCGTGTACTTCGTATGATTTGAAATTCCGGCTGAACCCCCCTATTTCAGTAATTCCTTTTTTTTTCTCAACCAAGGGTATGATATGGCCTCTTAGCAGACTCTAGGGCTATCAACTGCACGCCTCTAGTACCTATCGATAGTCATCTACTATTGACGTTTCTTCTCTACCAAAAAGATTTACCCTGAGACATTACTTCGTAGAGCTTATCGCGATTAGTATAAAATGATATTATATTTTGAGGGTACTTTAGTACTAATTTGCTTTTTGTGATACTGCTGTGCTGTATCCCTACCAGTTCATGCCTAAGCGTAAACGCACATGGCTATGCGAATATGCTTCTCAACCAACCAACCCAGCCCCCATACCCCATTTTGACTGTCAAATTCATTTCCATACACCGTAGGGAAAAGATGCCCCAACAACACAAGACAATAAGTAACAACTTGGCGTGTATTTAGCCTAGATATGCTGATGCTCAAAGTACCTCTCACATGACTACCAACACCTTAGTCTAGTGGAACCTGACTTATATCTGAGATCCAGTCAAGGTACTGAGACGGATGCTCACGGCTCTCCGGTGGGCTTCGAGCTCTTCCACCTTAGCCAGCTGCATAACCGCATCTCCTACATTCTGAAGACCCTCGGCGGTTAAGTTCGAGCTTGTGATATGCTTGACGAACGATCCTAGGTTAACTCCCGAGTATTGCTTGGCATAACCATATGTAGCTATTATTTGTTAGCCTAATATGTTAGATAAAGACACAGAAAACTTACGTAGTGAGTGGTTGACACCGGCAGAATAATCACCCACGCTTTCGGGAGTCCATTGTCCGATGAACACACTACCTGCGTTCATGACTTGGTCTACTACCTGCTCGGCATTCTTAATCTGTAGGATCAAGTGCTCAGGACCATATTCATTGCTAATCCTCATCGCCTCTTCCACATCTTTGACGACAAATGTGACGGAGTGACTAATAGCACCTCTGACAATATTTACTCGTGGCAAAGCCATGGCTTGCTTGTGGACTTCGTCTTCGATCGCTTGCAATTGCTGCTCATTGAGATCAATTGCAATACAAACAACCTGACTATCCACACCATGTTCGGCTTGAGATAACAGATCCGAAGCGACGAAAGCCGGATTAGCATCCTTGTCCGCCACTACGAGGACTTCAGACGGGCCAGCTGGCATATCGATGCTAACACCAGCGTTGGTGTCATTGCTAACGAACATCTTGGCTGCAGTCACGAACTGGTTTCCGGGGCCGAGAATCTTGTCTACCTTGCTAACACTTTCCGTACCGTACGCCATTGCTGCAACAGCTTGTGCGCCACCGGCTAAGACAATGCTTTCGGCGCCAACCTTGTGGGCAACGTAGACAATTTCTGGCGTAATGCTACCATCAGAACGCGGTGGAGATGCAATAACAATCTTCTTACAGCCAGCAACCATAGCCGGCACACCAAGCATGAGTGCAGTACTAGGCAAGACCGCAGTTCCGCCGGGCACATAAAGACCAACTCGTTCAATAGGTCTAGAGAATCTGCTGCAAACAACTCCCGGCATTGTTTCTACCTTTAAGGGTTGTTCTTTCTGAGCAGCGTGGAATTTGCGAATATTTTCGAAGGAGACATCAATGGCTTTGATAGTCTCAGGCGGGAGATTCATGAGCGACTGTGGGAATGGGGCCTTAAGAACGGGCGAAGTTAAGGAGGTCGCCTTTTCAAACTTGTGAGTATAAGATAGCAGGGCCTTATCTCCACCCTTTCGAACATCGCTGATGATAGGAGTAACAATATTCAGGATTGCATCTGCTGATTTCTGGGATGGTCTCTTCAATGCTTCTGAGACTTCGATTGCGTTGACCTTACTGACATCTACCCGCTTTAGAGTAATTCTGTCAGTATCTGGTGTGGTGTGAGCTTCGACAGCGGGTGCAGATGTCAATGGTGTCGCAGATTCTTTTGCGGCCTCCTTAGCCTTCTCCGCAGTGCCATTTGTAATGCCTTCTTTCTTAGCCCACTGACCCTTTGCATTTCCAGGTCTTCTTTTGACCTTCAAACTCTTGGCATCGAGATTCTTCTCAATATCCGAAAGTCTTACTCCAGCACTAATAGCTTTTGTTAAGGCAAAGTAAATTAGGTCAGCTGCTTCGAATGCAACTTCTTCTGGTGTCTGCGCGTCGCATAATTCTTCGGCCTCCTCCATTATCTTCGCGCGAAGCAACTTCGCATCTGAGAAAAGCCGTTTTGTATACGAACCTTCGGGGGCTGATTGTTTCCTCGACAGTAACGTTTGCTCCAGCTTCGAAATCCCCTTCAGATCACCAAAACATCCGTATTGGTCGAGGTGACAAAACTTTCCTGTCTGTCTTACTACGAATCTTAAGGCATCGTTATCGCAGTCCAACGATATTCTTACCAACTCTTGAGTGTCACCAGACGTAGCACCTTTATACCAGAGCCCTCGTTTCCGACTCTGGTAAACACCTGTCTTAGTCCTTAGCGATTCGGCAATGCTCTCTTCACTACTATACACTAAACCAAGTGCCATTCCTCCTTCGTCACAAACAACCGTAGGTAGAAGCTTATCTTGTCTATCCGACTTCCACGCGATGGAAAATAGTTTTGCGACGAAAATCTTCTTTTCCGCTTCTTCTTTCTTGGTTGTTAGTTCCGTAGATGGAATAATGGGAATAGCGGATAGCTGTGAACATATGTCGACAAAATGGTCATAGATAGTATCTTGGATGGGTTTGATGTATAGGGGTGGCATCTTGGTGGCCTTGCTCGATTCCATGAAACCAGATACATCGCAGCTTCGTTGGTCGAAGTCTTTGAGGAGTAGCCCGTGCTCCGTCCCATAAGACAACTGTTTTAGATTTGTTATCGCCGGGGCAACTCTTCTACCAAACTCTGTAAAATCCGGCAGCCTCTCGGGTTGAACGAAAACCTTTCGGGCGCCGTTGTCTAGTAGCGTGACAACATCATCTTTCGATTCCAGGCCAGTGGCATCAAAGAAAGTATGAAGAGTTGCAACATTGAGCTGACCCAAGTTATCAAGGAGCTCTTCAAAATTCTGTTGAGTCACCTCAAAGAAGACGCAACCTAAACATGCCACTTCCTCTTGACTTAGACCTTGCCCCTCCTCGTTCGAAGCCCAACTAGGAGGGACTGGTACAGAGATGAGAAAGGGGAGCGGAAGTGTCGTCTCCATAGCTATAAACTTGTCAAGTTAGAACTGAATAGTAACCTATATTCAAATTCCTTTTGACTACTGGAAACTAGTGCATAAGATGACGACTAAAATTGGTAGATATGAATTGTTAAATGGAAAGAGAAAAATAATTATTTAGAACCTTGTCAAGAATGTCACTCCTAAAATCGGCGTAACATGATCTAATTGCCCTTAAATTGTCCAATGATGGAGGGGCAATTAACGAATTACCCCTCCATACGGAAACCTGCACCCTATTTACGCCATAACCTTAGGTACATCCTAACCTAACCCACTACGTGGTAGTACAGTAGTACAGGCTAGGTACATTTTTGGGAGGTACATTATGTACATACTTCTCTACCACCGTAGTATGGGACCCATTAATACAGGCCCACTTATTGACACTAGATCCACTAATGCTGTGAGGCTCAACTTGCCTTAGAGCTTGCTTTAATCACTAAGGTTTCTTTCTATATGAAAGGTACATGTATATTTCATCCTAAACATCTAATTATTATAATTCTAAGCTCATACGTTGTCAAACACACCCAACACGAAAACAAATAAATTCCCTAGTTCTCCTGTCTAATAAAAGTTCGATAAAATTTTCCTTTGCAAGCTGAATCGGTCAGGGAATCATTGTGAATTCTTTAATTCGCAACTTATTTAGTACATGGAGTGAGGAACGAGGCCGCAAATATCCATTCAATCAACGATCCAATCACAAGTTCTCGAACGTCTATCTATTTAAATCGACTGCTCGAATTTAATATTATATCGTCTTCCTATACTCACGATGGCATCCGTGTCGCAATCTCAGACCAACGGGGTACCATCATCCTCGGCAGCAGGCCCGTCGCAATCTGCTTCGCAGCCAACCCAGAACACCGCAACTAGCGGATCGACTACCGTACCAAACACACAAGTGACCAACGCCTCGGCAGGAACAGGAGCAGGCAGTAATAACACGCAAGCAAGCGTATCGCAAACTCCCCCCTCCCCGTCGCCCTCCCACGCTCCTCGGCCACGCGACGCCCGCACAATCGAGCTACTTCTAACCTCCCAAGGTGTCACATCTTTCGACCAGCGCGTGCCCCTACTACTCCTAGACTTCGCCTACCGGCACACATCGTCCGTGCTCTCCGACGCGCTACACCTGTCCACAGATCCGTACACCACACACGCCGGTTCCAAGCCCAGCGCCGCGTCAGGCGCCGCCCCCAGCGCCCCGAGCGCCGGCGAAGCTGCCGTTACCACCAACGCCATCAACCTAGCCATCGCGTCGCGACAGTCCTTCCAGTTCCGCGGCGCGTCCGGCGGCACGGGCGCGAGCAAAGAGTGGATGCAGGAAGTAGCGCGGGACCGCAACAAGATCGCCTTGCCGCGTGTCCTCGCCAACGAGTGGGGTGTGCGTCTCCCCAACGAGCGCTTTGTCCTGAGCGGTATGGGCTGGAGCCTCCGCGATCAGTGGGCCGAGGAGGGCGATGGTGATAGCGATGAGGATGAGGATATGGAGGAGGTTGATACCCAGAGGCAAACGAACGCTACCGCTGGGGAAGAGGGTGGCTTGGAGGAGCTACTTGGTGATGATATGGGTGATATGGGCGATGAGGATATGGAGGGAATGGAATAATCGATCGACTACATTTCACGAAACTCTACCATCAGCACATCAAAGCTGGTTTTTTATAGCAGAAGATACTGTGTGGCCGCATCTCTTGTGCGATAGGAATTATGGATAATGGCGTTACGGCGTTGGGTACAAGTTGCTGTAACAGATTCAGCACGTTGCGCAACGATACAATCTAATTTTTCTTCCGCATACAATACGTTTTTAAGGGTGCTTGGACCGGCCAGAATATACTAGGTTAGTATAACGTACACATTATATAAACCGTTAGAACTATGGGGTTGAGATGAGAAGAGCGCACGATATATGAAGGTAGTCTATTTACTACAGGTCGCCAGCAATGCGTCGAGGACTAGCTAGGACGGTCAAGATGCAGGGGAAACAAGACAGCTTGTTGTACATTTTAGTCTACCTTGACAGATGTGCCCCTCATCCTTCTATAAAACGCCAACGCTATGCAAACCAAAATACAACAGCTACTCATCACGAGTAGCATACAAAAATAGACCAATCTGCCTCAGCAAGAATAATCGTAACATGATGCAGGTTATGAGTATTAGATGATCTAACATATACCGAACGCTCGTAGCAGCCCTTTTTCTGTGCCGACTAATGCTGAAAACGGTTGATGCTTAAGAGCAGGTCTGCGCGTTGAAGACGATCCTCGAGGTTAGATCATGTATTTTCACTGTAAATTGTTCGTGGTATTTGATCCTTCTGACATAGTTCCAAAGCTACGTCATCTTTTCATATCTTCATCGACCGCCATATTTTTCATTCCCGTGATAAGCTCAGCATCGACGTCCCGCACCGGAAGAGCAGGCTCGCTCTTAAACCCAGGATTAAACGGACCCGGGCTAATGTCTTGTTCATCTTCGACTTCGTCTTCTAGGTAACCCTCCTCGTCATCGGCATCGTCGGACCCGTATTCAAGAGGGTCCAATACGTTTTCATCTCCTTCATATTCACCGCCGAATATACTCTCTTCAGCATCGGCGTCTTCATCCTCCTCATCTCCTCGGGAGAGATAGCTATCACCCATATTTCCGACGTCTTCATCTTCGTCTTCGTCTGCGGAGCTATCGTCTGCGCGATCATCGGACTCACTCGCTGAGAACTCGTCTAGCTCTAAGGGAGTGTCGCGCCAATACGTGAAATCGGTGTACTCGACACCACCGCCCTTAACAAGAGTGCTAACAGGAGGAAAGTAGTGATTAACAACTTCCGTCATGTTGACGTAGCTAAGTTTTAACTTGTTAAGACTTAGTAAATCCAGTGACACCTCGGCGTTAGAATTAATCGTGAAAATTCGATTCCTTGGCACGTCCACAGTCCTATAAGAAATTTGATCCGTAAGACGATTTCCGAAGCCAGCATAGAAGCAGTGATTGTCAGGGCCATATAAGCTTCTAATATCCCGTAAGGTTGCCATTTTAAATACATGCGGCTTCCGTAGGTAGATCTCTCGCCTCAGCGCCGCCATTGTCCGATCAGGTGATAGGATCGTTGGGCCTTTAGGCAAGCGGTATCCGTCTTGAGTAATACCGTAGAGATAGGCCCTCGTTGTATCGGCCTGTCCAACAGAACGACTTGTCAGGTACATGATATTGTACCCATTTTCGACAATATCGCTGTAGAGCTTCGCAACCCCCGTATGTGTCCAGTCTCGTCCGATCATATTTAACACATGGCCCAGAGCATCGGACTTAGTTATAGTACCATCGATATCAGAAATGACAACGGGCGTATCATGCTGCCAGAGGAACATATATGCTTGGCATGTGGCGCGATTTACAGTAAAGCTCATCGAATTCTCGCCAGGTTTCAAACTTAGCGCCTTCAGCTGATCGCTGGTCAGCCGTAGTGTTTTCGCATAGTTTCTATTTGGATTTCCCGCCGACGATGATGAGCCCGGAGTTGTCGGTGGCGTCTGAATGAAACTCTGGCCAACATCTGACTCACTTCTTCTGTGGGAAGGTACTCGTGTCGACGTAGTAGAATCATCGCTTTGATACCCGGGATCAGAAGCGGCATCAATAGCAAGCGTAGGCGACGGTCGGAGAGACGCCACAGTCTTCTTCATTGCAGCTTCCTTCGCATCCTCACTACTGTATATCCAAAGGTTTCCTTCTTCGTCCATTCCAAACAGTGCGCCAATATCGTAGTCGCCTTGGAGTTCTTCAGACAATATCTTCCGAGCCAGAATTTCAGCTTTGATCGCGTCTTCTTCACTGGATTTATAACCGGTCATATCTAACATAAGATCACCCGTTTCAGTCACTCGACTAGGAATATTGACTGCCGAGAGTTCTTTCGATAGTGTCATGGCTCGCCGAATAGCCTCTCGGGGTGCTACAGGAGGTGGGCTTCGTGACCTTTGGGAAATTGCGCTATCGACTTCGTGTAGGTCGCCATTCGAGTCATCTTGCTCGTGGGTTTCCTGCGCAGGAACTGGCAATATTTCCTCACTATAAGATGGATGGTTGGGGGTATTAGACCACCCTCTTGAGACGGGTCGGCCGCTACCTAACTCAGGCGAGGACGCAAGGGGTTCAATTACGCCTACACAAGTATTAGTTATTGTCTAGGGGGTTCGGATGAGGATTTTGTGGTGACAAACCTGGACGGGGAAGAACTGTGGGTTTAGGTCGCAATGCAGTTGTAGACGGAGCAGTTCTAGAGTCGCTATCCAACTGTAAGAAGTCGGGTTCCTGGAGTTCGCTGGATGAATAGGACCTTTCGGGCTCGAGGGGTGGACTGGAAGCGGGAGAGCTAAGAGGCGAGGTTTGGAGACTTTGAGGAATCGTATCGTTGGTCTCGAAGACGAAGAAAGCTTCACCCCCTTCACCTAACTTCATAGCATAGTTTTGCTTGACGCCATTAACCCTAAACTCGACCTTCTTCTCGTAAGGTCTTAACAGCGAGAACTTCCCGAAACGGACGTGAAAAGGAGAACAACATAGAGTGCCATCTGCGTGCTGTACTACAATCACATCGATTGCTCCGCTCAATGTAGCCGGATTGATCGAGTTCCAGGCGGTAGAAACCGAGTCGCTTATATTCCGAACGTACTGCATCTTCGAGAAAGGTTGACGTTGTTCAGTTCACAATTAGGAAATCGGCCTCGGCCCTGAGACCATGGAAAGGGGATGATGATAGCCAATTAAAATTATAAATCGAGATAAACCCCTTGCGAAGCCAAACTTATTCTAAGAGATCTATAATAGCGCGATTCGACGTATATTTCAACGTGGTCGACTCTGTTTCGTTCGGAACTGGTGATAGTGATTTAAAAGCTACGGTTTGCCTATCGCTCGTAACGATGTTGGGGGATTGCAGATTAAGAGAGTAAAGGATTCCGACTCTTCGGTACAGATGCACGATGGTGACTGGTGACGTAGTTACGGGTCTTAATATTAACGAGCTCGAAACAAAATATAGTATAGCGGGAATTATACGGTTGTGTTTTTAGGAAGCTGTAAATAGTAAAACGAGCGTGAGGAAAAAGGGGAGAGTCGAAGGTAGGATTTATGACGAAGGTTGTATAATTAACCGGGCTGGTGGGACGAGGCGGGAGTATCATAGACAACGGCGACCTTGTTGAGAAAAGGCGACCGGCTACAACTTTTATGCAAGCAAATTTGACACTGCAAGTTGCACATGTCGTATTTTTTGGGGGTAAGGTACCCCTGTACATCAGAAGTATTATTGTATTAAACTCAACATAGCAGCGTAGCCAAGCAGAGCCGCGGGTCAATGACACATGCTTCTCTAAAGTGGATCCGCCACGCGCGAAAACTTACAGGGTGCTTATGCTAAAACACCGCCTAAGATGTGCTAAGATGTGCTAGGGACCAATGTCAGCTTCGCACCACAGCAGCTGATTGATGGCCTCCAGCATCTAGACTTTAGGTACATATATGCAGCTGACTTGCTTCATCAAAAATGCGCTAACCGCCACAAGCCGAGTGGCTCCCGTTCCAATAATTTTATCTTGTGCAATCCCGAAACTATGGTAATGCTGCAGCATGCTCGTGATTTTCTAGGTGTTCTTAAGTGAGGCAATTTCACTTCAAGCTTCTGCTATGTACTTATTTAAAACATTCTTAAATATATTAACCCCGAGCTGTTATCAATCAATAATATTAATAAACTTACCTAACACAGTAACTTAATGACAAGATATTGAAGTAAATATATGCTGTTGGTAAGAAAATGGAAGAGACTTTTACGATATGCTTTCTAATTCTTATTGGAGAGCAAGATCCAAAAGACATCGACATGCATAAGATGGGTGATGACGAATGATACACACCTCTCATACGTTGACAAATGATGACTTTGCCTTTGCTCATAAGGTAGGGTATAAATATGCGCAGGATATGTGAGGCAAGACATTATAATCTCGCTGTCTTATAGTTGCGTATGTACTATCTTCGATAATTCCGTTTCGTTTATATTGAGAAGGAGTTGGGGGCTGCATGATAGCTACCTTAGGTAGGTTTGCTCTTCTCGTCTATTCGCATACCATACTGTAACATTAAAGCTGCCCAAAGTGACCAGTAACATCGGGATTGAGCTTATATGACAACATTTATCGTGTTGCTTCCGGTATTTCCGTTGGCTTCTCGCAATAGTCCCCATGGGGTTCGGGAGATGGGCAAACCATAAATGGTAATGGCGAGAAGATCTTTAGACTTTCGGTTTACATCCGTGCATTCTTGAAGGAGAGCTGCGGTGTTCAACCAGTTATTACCTATAAACCACAAGTCAGTAAGCCGGGTATAAAAGTTTGGGGCATCGGGGGTACGAAGCGAAGTGCATATCCAATCCTTAGCGCCAGTTCGCACTGCCGGACCGCTGTTTCGATTGGACAAAATTCTCACCAAGCTTCCTAGGCATTGTCGCACAACGCTACCGAGGTGTTGATTAACTATACCTAGGTACCTAACCTATATATCCGACTAAGTATCTGGCCGTGCAGATCTAGGGCACGCTTGTGACATGTTCTATTTCTAGGGCTTGGTTCCACGATAAGTGATTATGAAGCCTTTATTCCATAGGTAGCTACAAACCCCTAAGCTGACTTTTCTTATTTTTATTTAATGAAAACCCTAAAATAAAAAGAACATGTAGCTATCGTATGAGAGACTTTAGTATTATAAAAAATAGTTTAGACTATAAGCTACACAATTAAATAAACTTTATACCGGTTTAATTATCAAAGCCAACCTTGATTACCTAGTTCTTTACTAGATTGAGATTAACGTGAAATAGGGTCTTTTAAGGCAAGCCAGATATTATTGGTAAGGCAGGCTTAAACAGCAATAAGCTTAATCGTACTTGCCTATCTAGGTGCCTAGAATCAAGTGTTAGGGCCGACGAAGGAAGCTCTAACCCGCTAACGCCGTATGCGCACATGGTTAATTCCCATGTCGGTGCAGCTTGTGCGTCTCAATTTTTAGCGCTCTTTGACTGCTTAGGTGCTATACGTAGCCCGGTAAGCCTCCATTGTTCCCCCAAGCTTCAGCCGGGGTGCCCACATTTTTTAGAGGAGGCAATTCGACGGTAGGAGGAAACATTTTCCAATCATTTTGTATGTTTTCAAGTTCTCTTTTCTTTTAATCCTCCCCCCCCTCCTCTCTTCCCTCTTGGGCAATATTTTTTTTTTCTTTGTTGATAGTCTGGCTTCTCGACCACGGCGATATGTTATGGACCCCATGGCCGACGTCTGTTCCTACCGTCCTCTTCGTTTGCGCTTTGCTGGCCTGGTGGTTTATTGAGCCTAAGACGACTCATCTAAACCTGATAGTTGTCATCGGTTGCGTTCTCTTCTACTGGGCTGTAGCACCCGAGCTAGCCCAGGCGACACCCTATCAGATCTACCAGTTTAGCATCCACGCCGCCAAAATACTACGACTCGACGTTTTAGTCTTGTATCATGCCAATATGCTCGTCACTGGTATAGCTGTTGTGTGGTATGTATATTTCTATCCTGTAGCCTGCAGCCTGCAGCTCTCCGTATCTAATACCGTCGCAACATTACAGGTTGGCCCACCGAGCTGTCCAGACCTTAAGAAAGTCCGTCAATGAACTCATCGGCGTTCTTGGTGTCGAGGTACCTGATGCTCCTGATGTCTCGTTGGCTGGGATCCGTGCCGATGCTGCTACGCTCAACTGGACACGTCCGCTGCCTACTCGGCCTGTTGCAAAGTTCACAATACAAGTCAATGGCGTCAATGGTGAGTTATAGAAATGTGGTAGTAGTAATTCCGCACGCTGAATTAACAATTGCTGCTCCAGTTGGCGATTCCGCAAACCAAGAGACGGCTATTACGGTCACGGGTCTAAAGCCAAATCACTTTTACAACGTGCGAGTCATTGCTGTTGGGTATAACAATTTTCAAGCGGGCAGTCGCGTGATACGCCTACGAACATACGGGAGAGATGGTCGTCCTCAACTCGGAGACGGTCGTCTACCGTCCAACTTTGTCCCCGAAGAGCAGCAGTTAGCCATGCCCAGTGATCACGGGGATGAAGATGGAGCTACTAGGGGCTCTGCTGCTGGCGTGGAAACGGCGTCCGTTCCAGATAATTCTGTAGTATCTATACGGGAAGCTAACCCGGCCGTTCTGACTGGCCCAAGACGAAATACCCTAACACGCAAGCATTCGCCTTCTACGACTAGTATGGATCAATCTGTTAAAGATGCCCTAAGTAAAGATTCGGAGGAGTCGTTACAGGAGCTGGGAGAAAAATTTGAGAGTATTCGAAAAGAAATTGACGAGACGCAGGCGCAGATTTCCAAGGATGAGAAAGAGCACAAGGAGTTGATAGATGAGTTGGCGGAGGAGAAAAAGACAAAGAGGCGGATACAGAAGGAGAAAGATGATACGACTGAAAAATTGAAGAGGGAAATGGGCTCGACGGAACGCGCTATGAGAAGCGCGCAGCAACGGAAGTCACAGAAGGAAAAGCTACTAAAGGAAAAGCAAGCCGAACGACAAAAGCTGTATGATGATATAGCAAAATGGGAGAAGGATATTGCCTCGATGCAAAAACGCCAAAGCGCCTTTGAGAAGGACCGGAATACTTGTCAGAAGGAAGGCGATGGCCGAGCTGAAGAGCTACGTGCTGAGATTACCCAGGCACAGGCGAGCCTAGCCCAGGAAGAGATGGAGCTCAAGGAAAAGAGCAAGGAGTTAAAAGAGGCGGAGGAGCAGAGGAAAAAATTACCTGGTGGAGAGGAGAGCGAGGAATGGCGTGAGAAAGACCGTCAGATCAGGAGAGATTGGGAAATCCGCGCCAGGGACTTGCAACGACGGCTCTATGCCGCCAACAGGAAATTACGGATGGTCAGCGATTACGAAACTGTACTCCAGACCCAATTAACGGCAGCGCAACAGTCTGGTCTTCCTTTTATGTATAATCAAGCAAATTCATCAGGGGTTGATTTCGACCTGGGAACGCAAAACCAGCTCAAACGACGAAGCCGGAACAGCAATTCGCTCTCCAATGTAGCCATGCCGTCGCCTGTCTTGCCATTTTCAATGGCAGATCGGCAATATGGAGCGTCAACCACGTTTGGTCCCTCTCGACCTCCTACCATCCCTCCCGGGTTCGCTCAAGGCCCGTACATAGAACACAATCCCGACTTCTCCGGCCTATCCGATGAAGAACGCTTGCGACAACTCACTGGTGGTGCGCCGCTTAGTCCAACGGCAACCTCTTTGTTACCTGCGGGAATGCTTGACGATCTTGTGGACGACGAGCCCCCCAGTCCCAACTCTCGACCGTCCCGCCATAATACATTTGGCTCGGCATTTTCTCCCGAGAACAACCCCCAGTCACCTACTTCTTCAACTCGCTCACTTAGCATCTTTTCTAGCCCTCAAGGTTCCTCTCACCATTTACCATTCTCTCAGTATACTGGTGAAAATAGTGAGCGGCGATCACTCAAGGGAATTAGAGAGCTCAATGCAACCTCATCGCCCATTGCCCCGCCGCCTCAATCTACAAACAGACGGAGCTTCTTACCATGGCTTCACCGTGGCCCTAAGACGACCGAGGAACCGCCAGCTCTAGGGTCTTTGAAATCTGTCCAGACTCAATCATTGCCGCGTTCAGTAGAAGATGGAGACGCTATTCCGACTAGGCGGCGAATTAGTCTTTCGTCTGGTTGGAATGTGTTCAATCGGAACTCTACGGGATCAGAGATCCTAGATACTGGCAGCCCTAGCGCGAGAAGCCTGCATTCGCATCGATTTGGCCTCGCCGCGAACGCCCATAGTATCGGAAGTAACATATTCTCCGAGCGCGATCCAAGCAGCCCTCGGCCCGTTTCTATCGCCTCGTCCGAATTACCTCGTCCATCTACCGAGAACTCTTCCATTTGGACCCGGGGTCCTCAACATAGTCGACTCTGGTCTGCCGATGACAGTCCATGGGCAGCCTCGCGGAATCCATCTAGGCGACCTTCCATTCATGGCTCCCCGTCTGCTCTAAAAACCACCCTAGCTGATGCCGATGACGAAATTCTTGACGACTCTGAATTATTACACGCATTGCCTAGCCAAGTGGGAGTCATTGGCACCAAGCCGTCCTCTAAGACACTGAGCCAACGTCTCAATCCTGCTGCGCCTACTTTCATGGCGGGGTTATTCCGTACCAAACTTGATAAGGAAAAAGAATCGGATAAAGACTTGAGGGACTCAAAAGATAAGGGAAAAGGTAAAGCTCGAGATAAGGACTGGGCTAAGGAGAAGAGGCCTCGTGTTTCCTTATCGTCAGCGTCCGAAGCTGCAGCGCCTTCTATAGATGAGTCGCCATCAGAGTCTCGCAAATCCCGCGACGCATTCAGCATCGGTACACCGTCTGTTACCGAATCGCGCGAGTCACTCACTTTAGATCAGCCGCTATCTAACACTCTTTCTGACCAAGCATTCGCTTTTGGGAATAAAGAACAGGAAAGCGGGTTTAGAAAACTACTACGTAAGGGGAGCTCTTCAAAATTTAGCTTTACATCATCGGTACGCGGTCTGGGGGCTAAGAAGGGTCCAAGCAGCGTCACCAACTCTGATAAAAACGCATCAGTCGAACGTAGCAGCTTTGATGAATATGCGGAAGACAGCAGCGGTAGTGGCCCTGGATTGTCTCTTGGTCGTAGTTATGAAAGCCTCCACAGCAGCCCCTCTCTGGGACCTACGAGCGTGAGCAGACATGCTAAAGATAAGTCAGTCAGCTGGGGTTCACGGTTCGCGATTAAGAAAAAGACGGGTAAAGAAAAGGAGAGTCTAGACCTTGAGAGAGAAGAATCTGCGCCGAATACACCTGTGCTGGAGTAAGCTGTTGGGTGAAAACGGTTATGTGTTTTTGACAGTTGGGAAAAAGCGGATGTAGCGACAAGCTATAGCTACAGAATTCATCAGCGCCTGAACTATTTATTCTAAGAATCTCCGAAGTAAATGCTCATGTGTAATGACATATAAGCAAAAAATATACAGTATATCTATCCTCTTATAAGATCTAAGAGAACCAAGCTACCTATAATTTATTATCTCTTATTTGCATATTTACGGATGATCCGATGTTAGCATAGTTATAGTAGGCGGTGAAATATGGCAAAATTAATTAATGCAATTATAGAGCTACGGAGCTTCGCCGATCTCACCACCACAATCGATACGATCAATACGACCGAACGATGAGTTAAATAAGATCGGTAGCTCAAAATATTTCAACATATAGAGAGCATATAATGCTAAAGTGACAAAAAGAAAAAATATATCATAATATCCCGACGACTTCCAACCTTCTCTCCCTGCCAACAGTCGATAGTCCATGGCCGCCGCAATGGCAGCTCAACAACCTCCGATAGCCCCCGGCGGCAGCAGCAGTAGTCGTAGTACAAGGAAGACAGAAGATATAAGCCTGCCAATGCCTTCCCGTAACCCGCTACCGCTATCAGCAAGTCAAGAAGCGCAGGTTCGAGAGATGTTCAACCAGCGCGTGCGGGATCAGTGCGCAGACGAGATTAAAGGTTAGTTCTACTCTTTCTACGTATTTCTTCACCTAGGTACATAGCAATTCGATGAATAAAGTCGAACCGTACTTCCTAATAACATACTTACCTATCCTTGATATACATATGAACTCAATACTAACACCATCGGCAGCCTTCGCAGACTGCGCACGGAACCGAACCCTAACGATCGCCTTCGCATGCCGGGACGCCTCGCGACGCATGAACGGATGCATGCTAACGTACGCGACGCCCGAAGAACACGACCGCGCGCGGGAGCAATGGTTCGCCCAGCGACAACAGCGCGCCCGCGAGCGCGAGCAGAAAGAGCGTCGGAAACTCGAGCAGGAGGCTTTCCATCGCGAGTGGTGGGGCTTGCCCCAGCGAGACCCGGAGGACGTCAAGAAGGAGCTGGAGAAGCTGGGGAGGGCGGAGAGGATCGGTGGGCAGACTAGGAGAAGACCGGCGGAGGAGGGAGGGGAGGGGAGGCGGTGAGAAGAGGTGGGGAAGGGGGGAGAGGGAGGATGTGTATGTGTATAGGTATAGGTACGTGGTGTATATGCATCTCCGGCGTTTACTGGCGGGATAAACTTGTTAATGAGTTCGAGGTTTGGTTCTGAGATGCTTCTCTGCAACGTTTTGTGTACCTCGTGAAAAAAGAAAAGGGGGGGTTAATAGACAATACACAGTCCAAGATTAACAACTACTAGCACAAGCCTATATGATACTACGACGGGGCTTACGAATTATAAAGAGAACTTTTCTATGTCAATATGTCAACTTCAATCATATGGCATTATTATGGAATACATCACAACGCGGAAAAAGGAATTTCAGCTATGACTCTCGGCCCACGCTATTTTTATTCATTACAGCTCAACTACTCTTGCGAAATTTTCGAGTGATTTCTCTACCGACGGTCTTTTTGTCTACATTGTCCCATAACGCCAACCTATCTTTTCCTTTTATTGTGGAAATCACATCGCTGCAACCTATATGTCGGTCAATCGATCTAGTTTTCTAGTGCCTCCTTGGGTAGCGTCGCCACCTTCTCCTGGAACAGCTTGTAAGCACCGGCCCACACCGGGTTGTTCTTCCAGTCGTTTAGCTTGAGAAGATACGGCAGTAGATCATTGCTGAACGACTCGGAAGATTCCCGAGGTAGCAAGCTGGGTAAGTGGTCAATGCTGATGACGCTCAGAGGAGGGTTCTCTAGTCCCTCGACAGGTACTGTAGGTTCGGTGAATGTTGTGGCAACAGTGTAGATGGGGACTATAGTACACGTCAGTATTGAGTATAGTTGATAGAGGACTCGATTTCAGGGAACATTGACTCACCAGGGTTGTAAGGGTTCGTTGTGTCAGCCGAGACATCGCACACGACACTCAATTGACGTCCAGGAGCCTTCAGCGAGTCCAAGTTGACGAAGTGGGGGATCTTAGATGACAGGTAGATGCAGTTTACAAAAATGTCGCTCTCGGCAATCTCCTTGAAAGGACCACCCTTGGCCGTCTCGGCTAAGTCCCACTTGAGGATCTGATCAGTGGGCACGCCGACCTTGAGGCACAAATCAACCGCGCCACGACCGCATCGACCCAGCGCACCGATTACGATGACCCTAGGTAATTTTCCAGCCTTAGCCTGTCCCGCAGCCAGATCTTTCTTGATATCAGCGACTAGCGCGTCCTCATTAGGATAACTCTCAACGCCGGGGAGAGGCTCGCCCGGATGTGTCAGTTGCCAAGCCCAGTTCTTGATAGCCAGAGCGCTGCCGCTAAATCCAGCCTGGTATCCAAAGGCTGCTACACGACGTCCCGTCTCGGGCTCCTGGAGAAACTCGAGATCGAGAAGGGTGCCACTACCGCGAGGGAAGCGGGCAAGGACTTCTTCCCAGCCTCGTTGTTGCTTGTAGCAGTGTGCAAAGTGAATAAATACGTGCTTTAGAGGGACTATATAATTGAATAGAAATTAGCACCGAACTAATTGTTGAAATATCCGAACCCTAACTTGATTCAACTTACATTTCTCTTCGGGGAGCTCCTTAAGACCAACAATAATATGGTCTTCAGGTGCCTCCCGCCAGCTTCCGGTAGGAACTAATGTAGCTCCCACGGCGCTGAACTCTTCATCATCGAAGATTCGGACAGGACTCTTCTCGACATTGACGACGTAACCAGCATCGATCAAGGCCTTAGTTGTGGTGGGGGTGAGTGCAGAGCGGTGCTCAAGAGGCTTGTCCTCTGAGCGTAGATGTAGGATTGTTGGAGCCATTTTGGGTTCTTATAGAATCAATTGAGTCGAATGAGTAAAGTTTTACCACTCACGATACCTATTATTCTATGTAAATAGATAGATAATAAATAGTCAACTTTACTATCACTTAGAATAGGTGATGCTATGGCGGGGCAACGATAAGTGATAAAGTAAGTGGGTATTGGTGGGATGATTCACAATTCTAAAATTTCACCGCCGATGTCGCCTGGTTTGATACGCTAATCCTAAAGGAGGATAGGTCCCGGTGTACTGGGTAGGGGTTAACTCAGGGGTCTTTTATATGAAATTATAATCACGTAACCTCCGACTTAACGTTATTTACGATTAATACAAACCACAAATATCGTTAACTATCTATTAGTCGATCCAATACCATACAAGCCATTTTCTCTTTTCTAGCCAATCCCTATGTACCAATCCTAAAAATAGTCGAGGCATAAGACGGAGCATCGAGGATAGGACAACTGCCATAGTAATGGTCCTACAAAATAGGATTGGGGATATTTCAGGGGAAGTCTCTGTTTTATACCAACTAAACTAAGTTTATGTGTATATAATATAAGGTTGCTAACCACCTTATAAAGAGTTCAACTAGGTTCGTAGTGCACTGGCAGAGTAATCGCACCAACCCCTTGTTTCCTATAGTGCTTTCATTTTTAGGGGGGAGGAAGTTCTTTCCCGGACTTTAAAGCATCAAACAGAAAATAAGCAGGGGAAATTACTTCAAACCTTAAGTACCTATGATTCATACAAGAACTCATTCTTCAACAAAATAAGAAGCACAACTGGTGGTTTCCCTTATAGAAAACCCTATTTCCTTGCTAGTTCTTTCTTCTTTCCTATGTCAGTATGCGTAAAAGGATGGCAGGTGAAATGAACAATTGTAATCTAAAACCACTTAAATCTCTAGCAATATTTTCATTCTTACAGTTTTCCTTTTCCCCTTAACCACGCTTCTGTCAGAATTCTAGATGAGACATCCAGAACAAAGGACATGCTCAGTACCTAACATATGAAGATAGGTAGAGTCTCATAGTTAGGTTAGAGTTCCTTGCGGAACAACGAAGTTGTTTCTTAGCTTCTTGGTCTACCTCGTGACATCCTCCTTAACGATGCTTCTCACTAACAGATAATTTAGGACCGCCAGCGCCAACATGCAAGAAAACGAAGACGAAGACTGACTATGTCAGCATTCAATATGTCTCTCCCCCTATCTATACCCCCAGAACATATTCGCAATACTCGTCACCTCAACTACCGCTGTCACCACAGCCACCATCATCACTATGTCTACTACAACTACTTCATATACTATGGGCGACATGGCTAAGTCTTTCGCCACCGCCACTAATGACGTGATTGGTGCATTCTGGGAGACACCAAGAGTGTGGGTCACTATTCTTATCCTGGGGATATCTTTGCTCAGCTTGCTGGTGGGCTGGTACTGCGGCTCGATGGCCGCAAAGGCTATAGCCTATAGGATGGAAGTACGGGTGGCGAAAAGGCCACGATGAAGGTTGGAGAAAGGGAAAGGGAAAGGAGGCCGGGGAAGCAATGGGAGAGGTGGTGGTCTTGAGGGCTTAAATAGAACAACAACAAAATTAACAACAGTAGCAGTAGTAGTCGCCGCCAGCAATGTAGGAGCAGGAGCAGGAGAAGGAGCAGCATGATTATTGTTATCTGACGGAATTGGTGTGTCAGTAGGGTAAATATCGTTTACAATTTCAAGAACCTGTATATGTTAACTAGAACCGTCCAAAGAGCATCATGAATCACTTCAGTCTCTTTTATTCCCCCGTCGTTTGTTAAGTTTGAACCGTCACGCCTGATTAAGTATCCGTAATGACATACACTGTGAGCTGACCTGTTTCACCAGCTACCTAATGACTACCGAAGTTGCTCATGTCGTGATACCTCGCCCCTAACTGAATACTATATAAACAACCTCTGTTCTCCCATAAAGTCGCTCCATCAATTCCACCACATATAAAACCGAACACCGAGCAACAATCTCAAAACTCGTATAATATTTATAAACCAAGGCGAAAAAACACTACCTTCATACAGTAGTAAAAGTACCATGTCTTACGCTGGTTCTGAAACCTCCGAAGAGGACTCTGTGAGTGACGAATCCAGTTCGTCTTCCGAGGAATACGAGAAGGAACCCGAGGCGGAATCCGATGTGCCCATGGACGATCCTAATGATGCCGATGACGAACAATCATCTTCCGATGCCGATGATGAACAATCATCTTCCGATGACAACTATTCCAATAGCGTGTACAGCTCTCCGGAACCCGATGAGACAGAGGGGGAAATCGTCCAGTGTGAGGAGTGCCACTGCTGGATGCGTGAAGGCCAGAGTCACTACTGTGAACCGGAGGAGAGGGATAAGTACGCTTAAGCTTAGCTATGTATTGGTTTTTTTTTTTTCCTTTTTCTTCTTAGCGATGGGTTTGGGATGAGGTGCTTGCAGCTAATTGCGGAGGGTCACTTGGTTTATATTTGACGGCGGTGATTAACAGTACCCATTGGTTTGCATAAGGCCAAGTCGATGAATAAAACCATTTATCAGACGAAATTGAAGCGAGTGAGTGAGCTCTTAATCACTGTGTAATTGATGACTTTGACTTGGAAGAAGCTGTGTAAGAGTACCTATCTATTTACAGCACACAAAAAATAGGTCTTAAGATTGGCTGGGATGGCTGGCGATACTTGGTAATGACTAAGTTTAATTTCAAACAATATTTAATACATGTCAAACTAAAGATGATGATGGCGATAACATTCACGTCTATTAGTGGTTATGACTTATAAGCTAGGTGGCATCTTATAAAATCACTGGTAGATTTCTTGAGTTGTTATGTTGAGCAAGTGTTTGTGTGCTCCTTGAACGAAGGAAGACTTGATAAATATGGCTATGCAATATCTATGTAATTAACCTATACGTATTTATATTTTATAGGTAAGATGTATAAATGAATTATTAAAGTGTATTATCTCGATACCGGTGCAATTCAGGGGTCGCCCTAAGGGAGCAGGGTTTCAATCACTGCATATTGGGGTGCCTTCAAAATTATTAAATAACAAGTGTATTTATATGTTTATATCTTGTTATTAGTATAATTTACCTTTTCCTTCTCGATATTCATAAGTGATCTGTCAGAAATGTTGCGCTACCAATATTATCAGCAGGCTTTCACTCGCCTTATATAGGGGGTAATCTGAACTCTAAGGTAGGTGATCACATTGATGCCGTTACTTCGTTTGGGCAGTATAGAATCATGTTGACCGAGTTATTTCCACTACCTCTTACATCATCTTTATTCAATTGGTTGTGTCGTATACACGTGCGAACTGTCATGCAATTGGCTGCTGGTACGATAATGCTCAAGTAAGACTAAGATGTTGCCCTTAGTTTTCTTGGCCAGACTAGAGTGAGGGTCATATTCTATGGGCTCTGACCGCCTAAGAACTATCACTTCCTATTTCTGTATATAGGTTGGTGGCTTTTCGAACAATTTCTTATTTATCACTTTCTAGGACCTTTCTTCTCACCTTACTAGAGAGTTATACACTTCTGCTAAACTATATTAACCTATGCATCTTTGTCTTAACCATACAAGTTTATAAGTAATATATAGTCGTAAGTATCTAATTACTAATCTAACAAATGTCTGATATTTCACAATCCGCGATCGCAAACCTAGAGAAGGCCGGGTTAGGGGATATCTTATACAAGCCCGAGCAAAAGCCTTACGAAGAACGAATTGCCTCGTACTGGTCTCTCACCGCACAACTGAAGCCATGGGCTATCATCCAGCCTCGAACTACGAAAGAAGTTTCTAAGACCTTAGAGACTCTGGTCAATACTACTGATTGCAATTTCGCAATTCGAAGGTTAGAAAAGTCCTACAGAGGAGGTTTATGGATATTCTATCTTATAAACTAGAAAGACCTAAAGTACCGTGATATTGACACAAATTTGTGGGATAGTGGCGGCCATATGGCATGGGCCGGCTCTAACAATATTGAAGCCGGCATCACCATCGATCTCGGTCTTATGACAACAACGACCTATAACCCAGAGACCAAGATCGCATCTATTCAACCAGGAAGCAGATGGGCAGATGTATATACGGAGCTTGAAAAGCGTAAGAAATCTTATGAATTTTCTCATGTTGAAAATTTAAAACTGATAAGAAACTATAGATGGAGTCATGGTTGCTGGTGGCAGAGAAGGCCTAGTTGGCGTTGGAGGTCTTCTAACTGGTGGTGGCAAGACTTTTTATACCTGTCGCTATGGGTTCGCGTGCGGTTTGTGGCTCCCCATCATTCTATTTCTGTAGTCTTTGGTAGTTGGAACCGGAGTAGAATTCGCTAACAGTGCAGCTTTAGATCAGGTCATTAATTACGAAGTCGTCTTAGCTGACGGTAGTGTTGTGGAGGCCAATAGGGAAACAAATCCAGACCTCTTTTTAGTATTGAAAGGCGGTTCCAATAATTTTGGCATAGTCACTCGATTTGACATGACAACATTTAATGCAAGAAATATCTGGGATGGAAATATTACCTTTCCCAAATCGGCTACCGATACGCTCGTTGAAGCGTTCGTTGACTTCACGAAGAATCTTGCGTTGAATCCGGATGATCATATCCTAGCAATGTGGACAATTCTATCTCAGACAAAGGATCATTTCATCACTATGGTATTGACTAATCTCGATGGCGTTGAAAATAGTAAATCCCTGCAAAAATTCTTGACTGCCCCGGGTGGTCAGGGGAACATGACAACGACTACAGTAGCTAAAAAGCTAGTCGACTTCCTCGTACCTTCAGGAAAACAGTAAGTTAAGAGATATGAATTAGTAATGCTGTGATGCTACTTAAATCATGGTTTATTGACTAATATATCTCATTAGCGATACTTGGTTTACACTTACCTTCAAGCTTGACGCTAGGATTATCAAGAAGGCGGCCGAAGTATTTGAAAGTCTAGCCTCGGAATTGAAGAGGCAGATTCCCGATGGGAACTTTTACATCTCGATGGTGTTGCAACCACTTCCAACTTCATTTTCACGCCACTCTGTGGCCCGGGGAGGTAATATGTTTGGGATTGAGCGTTTACAAGATGACTGCGTCCTTTTGGTGGCAGCTGTCGAGGTTGAGACCCCTGAAATATCATCTCAGGTCGGATTTCCTGCCCTAAAAGCAGCCATCGCCGAGATCAAATCATATGCTAGGTCACTCAACAGTGATATTGAGTTTTTGTACCTAAACTATTGTGACGGGTCGCAAAACCCTTTCAGCACCTATGGAAAGGAAAATATCAAGAAGATGAAAGAGGCCGCAGCGAAGTATGACCCCACAGGGGTTTTTCAGACCAGAGTTCCGGGAGGGTTCAAGATCTCAAAGGTGTAATAAGAACTTAATAGTGCCTAGTTGATACTGCGTCGAGTGAAATAGTCGTGTTTTGAACCTTAACAAGTCGCGAAATATACTCTTTCTATTCACAGTGATATAATTAGGCGTAATATAACCAAGATTATCATAAACTCTAATTAATGCCTAGACCTTTGAGAGCACAGTTCAGAATGCGTTCTAAGAACTTCTCAATATAGTCGACATCGTGATAACGTGTATCAAACACCGCAGAAAGCTCAATCTTTCCATCCCAGGTCGCCAGGAATACGGCTACGCCAGCGCCGATTGGTTCGCTAGCTGCCCAGACACTTATCAGCTCAAAGGGGCCATGGCTTGGTGACACAATTGAAGCGATATTACCGATCGAGGAAAGCGGCACTGGACAGAAAGGAGTTTCCGATACGGCATGGGGATCCGAACCCGGCGGAGCCGTAAAACTTTTAAATACCATTGGAGAAAATATGACATTTTCATCTCTAGGGGAGGCTGGCCGAACGGTGTTGAAGTAATCCCGTACTTCGATTGTAATTTTAGAGAATTGATCTACGTTACCCCTATTCCCCGTGTCCGTTGAAGCTGGGACAACTAAATCTACACCTAGCGCCTGAGCAGAGACGGTATGATATGCAGCTGCTGCATGCTCAGGCGTGTTATAGGGATAGCGGCAATGTGAACGTAGATTGACCATACTCTGATTGGCGTAGCGAACAGTGTATGGTTGCTCTTTGCGAGGTTGCAATTCGGAGAGGGCTAACGCTAAAGCCGACGTGAAGACATGAGTAACGCTCACTCCAGAAGCGATGGCTTTGCAGCTATGAAGAATGTTATCTGTAGTAGCTTTGGAAACCGAGAGTGCAACGCGCTGCCTTTTCTCATGTTGTGAAATAGTAGGATTAGAACTTGAGGGTAAACTAAGGAGACCGGGATGAGTGTAGATCATCCTGTTATGAGTCTGGATCTCTTCGAAACGCTTTACTTGGGATTCAGTAAACGACTTTGGAGTTTCTGTAACAAACTGAAGGCATGGGGAAAGTCTTTCATGTTCATTGCCCCACGCTGGTAAGGTATACTGAGCCCCTTTTTTATAAGCGAGAGCAGCGTGTTTGAATAGGTTATTGAGTAGCTGAAGAACGCCAATACCGTCTGTAATATCGTGGGGACTTCTTAAGAAGAGATGCCTATGGTGATTGTCCTTCTCCTTGGACCTAACGAGAAATAAGGTCGAAAGCTCAAAGGAGGCAGATGTGTGGTTGAACCATTGCAATGGCGCCCCTTCGACATCGATAACTTTGAACGTCGAATCTAACCATCGCTTCTCTTCTTCCTTGTTCTCGAATTTAGAATATGCTCTTTTCCATCGGGTACCGTCCTTACTACGCTCAACACGAGAGCGTAGGGTCGGATGATCGTAGTGGAGAGTTGCCCAAGCTTTCCGTAAAGCATTTTCAATGCGGCGATCTTCATCTTCTTCAGTCGTTACAATATCAGAGGACTTAATGATAAAAGATGCGCAACTGGTGACAGGATAACAGCCTTCTCCGTTCCTGATAGATAAGTTGTAAAACCCCTCGCACTCATCGATCTCCCGCTCCCAGGTTCCATGCGGAGACTTCGTCCATTGAAGACGATGATAATGGGTCTCAGGAGAAGCCATAGGAAGAAAAAAATATAGGGGATATATATACTCTAAGCTCTACAATAAGCGCTGAAGATGCAGATGAACGAATTGCGAGATGATACAAGAGATACTATAATAGATTTAGATCTAAAGGAAGATATATAATCATAAAATAACGAGACATTTGCTCGTTAAATATAAGACGCGTCTACAACGCGTAGTCAATAAAACCAACCCGAGTCTTCCACGCAAGCACGTGATATTTCGGAATTGGGGGGTCCCGTTTGATGAATGTGAAGAGCGTTTAAAGCATGTCTGATACGCTTATAATTGTAGCATAATGCAGTTGGAGAGAAACAACTTTTACAAGAGCCACTCATCAAGCAGACAACCCCGGAAAAATACATATACTTGTGAGTCATTAATATGGCTTAGCGATGTTACCTCGCGTAGAAGTAATTTTATTTCAATTGCAGGTGAAAGGGTTTGATGTTAGTGTTAGAATCATCTCTTTTCTCGAGTACGAACCCGAATACGTCTCCTACATTTGAGTTGGTGACAAGCCTATCTTACAATAGATACTCTCTGCACATTTCCTCGGAGAGAAAGTAACTCCCCGAGACCGATAATTCTAAATGAGGGGTAGGCATATTTTATATATGAGATTTAAGGGGGATTTTCTTCAACAAGGATATATCAAATAGGACATGACTTCCTCTCGTCAACTAATGCAATATTGAATATATGACACGACCACGTCTACAAAATTCATCGCATTTCCAACCACTATAGTGTCACCCACAACGAAGGGAAAACCATATACCTCATTTAACCCTTGGTGGTAGATCCGATGTCACCCCATCGAATATTAGAAAAGATGACATGCGTGTCGGGATGCTGAGCCTGAATGTTAGAGGGAGTACTCTCTTGAATATTGCAGGGTCCATTGTTGCCAGCGTCGAGCCAAGACATCTGCTGTGCTGCGTCGTTCCAGATACTCATCGCCAATACCACTATGAGGTATAAGTCAACCATATACGTTTCAAGAAGGCAGTTATTACTTACTTCCTCGTCCCAAAGCTTGGCCCATACCAGAAAGCCCACCAGCCCCGTCATTGCAGCTGCCGATGGAACCCCCATTGATCTGCTTTCCATTCTGGATGTAGGTACGGGTTATTTGTGTCAACGTGCCGCTACCAACGAATTGTGTTACAGCTGTGAATGGCTTGCTCGTGTCAACAGAGCCTCCAGTTGCCCAGAGATTACGCTGGCCGCTGGCGTATGGATTGTATCCGCAGCCGGCTTTGTCGCAGTTGTTCCCGCTGCATGGGTGTGGCGTCATTGCCGTAGCCTTCGCATTGGCTTCGAGAATATCCATCTCGTTACAGCAATAGCCCTGGCATTGAGCGTCACAGTAACCTTGGCCAGCCGCCGCGCCGCCCGATGATCCCCCACCGTCAGCCTTCATCTCCGAGAGATAGAAGGCTCCATTCTCTCCGCAGGGGACGGCTGAGTAGTCGACATCCACGGAAAGCTCCTGGTTGAGGAGGTTCATCATAACGTATTCTCCTTCGGCGTCTAGGAGGTATATGCGCGGAGATGCGGGGTTGAGCGCGCCACCCGAATTGACGTAGTGATATAGTGTCACGGCGTCATCTGAGGTAGAAACTCCCATAGCAGCATAATCAGCCGCTGTTCTTGAGCCAGCAGAACCTTGGGCATATTTTGAATCCTTATCTAGAACGACAGAGGTATTCTGCTGAACGCAACCTCCTGATGTGGTGCATTTCCAAGTTATTAAAGGAGGATGCTCCTCGGAGCTTTGAGCGATAGCTACCCCGGTTAGTAACGAGCTTGCTAGGCCAGCGTAGAGAAGTTTGAAAGACATTTCGTAGTGTATAAGCTATCCAGCACCTCACGAGTTCGTGACTAAGATTAAAACAGCACAGAATAGGAGAAAGATCCTCACATTATGTACTTACCAATTGATTCCTTTTAATCAACCACTGCCTCTATGTAAGAGGAATACCTCCGCATTTTCTCATCTATTTAGGCTTGGTGTTTGAGAATTGTAGATATGCCGGCCCACCGGGACCATTCAGCTCAAAAACCGGAATATGCGAGGAGATTGTAACAAATTACGGCTGAATGATAGCTGTAACGGCATATATTCGGGAAATACCCTCCGCATATTTACTCCTTACGGCAACCACACCTATTACGTCGACAAGTATTATTCATTGATACTATTAGATATTCGCTTTATAAATCTAGCTGGTTTACAAAGTCGAGTATCTATAGATATACAGTCTGCGGATAGGCTGGCTACCTACCTTTTGAAAATCTAAACTGTTAGCTGATGTTAAAGTCCTAAATAAATGGCACATTGTCGCGAATAAACTATTAATAGTTGGATTAGAATTGATATATGCGCAAGATCCTTTTGTTTGTTAAAATGGCGCAATAGTATACAATAACAATCTTAAACCAACAGCTTATAGTTGTGACAGATGTAGTCTTAACCCTATAAGTGGAGCTAATCAGGAGCAGGCATGGAGCAGGCATAGATCTACCATACCTCTTATAACGGAAGCGTTTACATATACGAAAATATGTAAACTTGGAAAGGGGGTTTCATGATATCGTGTAGTAATAAGTATCTAAGTATCAGCTTGTGCTTAATGTAGAATATTCTTGTTCAGAAAGAAGTCGGGAAATAATTGGTCTGTTATACATAGAACTATGTACCACCTATCTATGATTGGACCACCAGGCACTACACCTGCGCTCTATTTTTCCGTCTCGATTGGCCTAATACATATGTCTGTCATACATTGGAGTGTATTCCTATTTGTTGAAAATAGAGTATAGTTTTCTAAAGCCCCTAGCTTTAATGATGTCTGAAATATATCTTATATAACCGATTCCAACGTTGAGAATTCTACACAGGTGCCTTAGTATGTATCGTGATATGCACCATCATTTACTATAGTTCGTATATAAGAAATATATCCAATGGTGAGAAATTGTTTCTTATCTTATTCCAATATGTGTTTATTTGTCTGAGCTATCTCCCTGTTGAGCCGATTTAGGGGCGTCCGTTGCTTATTTTATAGTTAGCTAATGCTAGTTAATATGCTAAAGGGGGCAATATTGCTGACTTTCTGGTTTACCTAGCGCTTGAGCTGTATTTTCAATGTCTTTCTCCATGCGCTCTCGGGAATCTTTAACGGCCAAGTCCACGTTAGCATTTCTGTCGGGGAGCATGACGTTCCTATTTCCAGAATCCAGCGGCTCTTTGATAAAGTCATCTAGACGTGGGTGAATTGGTTCGTTCGGGGAAACCGGGCAATTCTGGCCAACAGCTGCAGGTTGGCTCCCGGCATGGCTATAATACTATTAGTTATGACCACTGAGTTTACAACGCTATATTTAATAAAGGTGTCGTCATTTCAATTACTTGCCTCTTAGCTAAAGACTTATCCTCGTTTAGATAATTGACAGAAGACATAGTGGACTAGAAGGATAAACGGTATCGGAATAAGGTGTTAAGCTCTATGGAATATTTCCACGACTGGAGTATAGGTATGGAGTCATTTTTATATTCAATATCATTAATACAAGCGTCGGACATTTCGTCGGTAGAATACAACCAAAGTCTTATTTCATAAACAGTTCCAAGACTCAGTCTCAGTGTTCATTCCGAGGTATTCATGTTAGAGATACAGGTTGCCAAAGCTAAAATATGGAGTAAGTCGAGTAGCGTCTAATCAGAACTACGGGGAATCATAATGCTTGCGCGTATTGTTAGCATAGGTGTTAGTATAGGGCTGAAAGCTAACTGCACGCATCTCAGCTGAAAGATGCTGAAGCATGTATGGTTGTAAATTCGCTGGATATTGCCTTATTTTCCCCCCATGTTATCTTGGTCTTGTAGCTCTTGTCGGCTCTCAGAAAGATGCGGTTCATGTCAGGGGTAACAGACGATCCGACCCGATACCTCACATTAGAGAAAATAACGCTGTGGCGTAACCCCGGCCTTCCCGGCCCACGGTAGTAGATATGATAGGTTTCAACGCATATGGCCGATTTAACACTTCTGCATATGCGACATCATAGCCCTCCAAACGTGGCGACCAGGGAATTTCTAAGCGTCCAATAAATAAATACGATTATATGCAACGGGATCCCAGCCACAAAGTAATATATATATTCAGCCACAGCACTATTAGGTACATCGGTCTTACTTATAGATGTAGGTATGCTTGTTCCCGGTTCTCATATGTCACAACATTAGAATGGCCGGACTGTTACTAGGGCTTGGGCGGGTTACGAGAAATATGGAATGGAGTATCTGTAGGTAGTTTCACAAGAAAATTTTTGTGGTGGTCGGTGGCAAATATTTAAAGTCCTAAGTACCAGACTATCCAAGCAGAGCTCCCATTTTGAAGGTTATTGGCACTGAGATACCTAGGTAGTAACTCGCGCGGCTCTTTACCGCTCATTTTGGGGTGAGCATGGGGGCGCTTATAGAATGTAACGGCCCTAATATGGAAGGAGGGAAACGTTACTGACATATCATAAACCCTTTCAGACTACCCAATATAGCCCCAACCGAATTCAGCTCAGAATTCAGCCCCAACTTTCGACACGTAAGAGACATTGTCAGTTAAGGAAAAAGGTTCGCATACACCAACTTAAATATCATCCCTTATGATGACAAGCATGGTCTCCGGCATAATATCCGTACCGCTCGGCAGACAGGCGGAGTATGGTGGGGCCGTCAAGATGGTCTACTTTCCTGATATGGGAATTCGTTCAGCATAGTGAACATATTGCGATAATGCTATGCTTATAGCTTTACCGTTCTCGGTGCGTAGGCGAGGAATTGTGCTGCCCGGGTTTCACAATGAAAATCAAAGAAATCATTGTATCAGAAGTAGCATCAGAAGTAAGACGTCATCAAGTTCGCAAGGCTGTGGTGCACCGGGGGGGGGGGGAGAATTCGTTTCTTGAAACGGTATAGAGAAAAACGTACCGTACATAATGCGGTGAGATACCCTTGCAAATTACAGTCCAATCACCCCGAAGAGTCCTAAAGTCACATATCAAACAAGAGGTATTTGTAAGTGCTTTATCGTTGAATCTTAATCTACCCCCAAGTATCTCATAATGGGCTGGAAGACCGGGACTAGCTACGCAGCAACCCCTGAGATTACTAAGGCTTGATTGATAATGAATCTAATTATACCTCCCGATTCTACATTGCTGCTAGGTTTGTGAAACCTTCTTTTTCTTTTCCCTCCGTTCCTGAGCCTTACGCTTAACAATGCTAGATACGATTGCAAGCTTATCCATCGTCCAGCTTGGCTACCAGAAACCCATTATATGAAAGAAATTCGTAAAAGAAAGTTTTAACAAAAGGAAATAACCAGGGTCAAGATAAGCCAAGACTTTTCGAAAGGTTCTAGTTTCTAGACTTAGAAGCTATTTCCGAGTAGGTGTCCGAAGCTTTTAGTGAGGGATTACTTGCTTCTGATGATTACGGAGGCGCCTATTTAATCAACCGGGAAAATACCGAAGCGGACTTGGAAGGGAGATATGGGACGAGGCGACCTATAAGTGATGCTAAAAATCTATCCGATTTACGGAGGAAGACCGATACCATAAGGAGTTATATCCTGGCGGACGCTCCTCAAGACAAATGTGCACTTATATAATACCTCGTAGCCTTAGCTTTTGAGGACTTCATATACGGGATACGGAAGTGAAATTTTATACTTAACGGAGCTTTCTAGATCGTGTTTCTTTGCTGTAGATAATTACGAGTCCTTCTAAGAAGACGAGATATGTTGCTAATGTTATCTCTCTTATCAGCAGATGTATGCGTAATAATTGGTTAAACTGAATATTCGAGTGAGGCGTTTAGTTGGGTAAAATATCTCAAGTAACTTGTATTATAATGAGCACTAGTTCCTATATTATAGAGATAGATGTCTTAGACTCGTGATGATATATGAGATAATACAGGTTGAATATAAGTGGAAAGGAATACGTACTAGTTAACCTAATTATTAGTTAGTATGAGAATTAAAATATTTGAATATTTGACTACCTAACCTACTGCCTCACTGCTACTGGTGCGGCTCTAATACCACGATTGAATAAGCTATCATGGACCCCAAATATGTCGGAAATACTAAGGGGTTATAATGTAAACAAGCGAACCTGTCTTATGGTAATGTAACCAAAATTTATTTTCCAGTTTTCAGCTCAGCAAAGTAAAATAAATTGATTGGAGTCGACCAACGTGTTATTCCTAAGTACTGCGTTTTCTGGTTTATATCCGTAAGGCAGCAGCAACAAGACGTCTTCCTGATTACGTCATTTAACTTTATGGGATTTTGTTCAGCCGCAAAAGGTACGGATCCGTTAGGTCCTTGCTTGATCTTGGATAACCCCACAAATGCACGTGTACAACCTATCAAAGCTTCGATTTCGGCCAAGACTAACACTTTGGTAATTAATCAAGTAAGCATCAACTGATGGGACATTCAACCCAACCCAACCAATGTCTAACCACTGTCCAACGACGTTCAACTTCATATTATTTCACATCTTCACCATTTTATCCTTCCGTTGTTATATTCCCCCATAAATATGCCCCCTAATCCTAGCCAAAAAGGTACCGGCAAGAAAAATGCTGGTGCTATCGGAAAACGTAGTCGAAATACGACACCTATGGCTAGCCTGCCGTCCAACGCGAGCATCCCACCTGTTGATACTATAGAAACCGAATTCTTAGACCTTAGATTAGAATCAGTCCGTACTATAACCTACGATGACCTAATTGATACTACCACCTCGAATGCTGTCATCCCCGATTCTAAGAGCCTCGATGGCCTAATTACGCGACTAGGAAAGCTCAATGAAATAGTTGAACGCCGAGGAACATGGTGCGACAAAGGAATGAGACTTGTCGCTGCTCAGAGAAAGACACATTACGACGAGATGGCTTCTGCTAGTAGAAGAGATGATGCGCGTAGAGAAGGTGATGATGATTCTGAAAGAAGAGCAAATAAGAAGAAGAGAAAGGGCAATGATAGTCTTGCCCCTGGAGATGCGCATACTGGTGAGTGGCATCTATATGACATCTACATGACATCTATGTTGTTGTCCAGTTCGTAAAATCACAGTTGGGAAGCAATAGTCATGATACGATTCACAACCCCTCATATTGCGCATATCTTTTTATTTTTTATTTTTTATCTTTCGTGCATGCCGCGCGACTACACCAATTTTTCTTAATGTTGATTCCTCCCTCCCCACTCTTCAATAAACACGCTTAACAATTCTGTCCTTAATTTCAATCCAAACCATCATCTTTCAACCCCAAGATTACTAGCCCACGCTAACAACTTCAACTAAGAACGTTCATCTCCTCTGCGCGGCTCCAGTAAATCGAGAAAACACTCACGAGACAACGATTCGGCTAGCTCTTCACTTTCACCCGTCGCACCCGCAACACCCGGCGCAATGGAGGTAGACGAGAAAGCGAAGCTCGACAACAAAGTCGAAGACGATTCCGATTCTGAGGATGAAGGTGCTCCTCCCCGCCGAGAGGCTCCTCAATTTCAAACCTTCGGCGAAGATCCCTCGACCTTTCCAGATCCTACGGTTTATGAGATCCGTCCAGCGACACCTGGAATGAGTATTGACGAGTTAAAGGAGCTGTATTCTGTTGCTGTTTTCCCCAGGTCTGACCTTGCCGACATGATTGCGGGCGATCCGCCCGATAAAGACTTCAGCAGCGCCAAGCCGTCAAACCAAATCAGCTTTAGCACCTTCTCAACCTATGTCGAGCCGTACTTCCGTCCGTATATCGAAGAAGACTTAGCTTTCCTACGAGAACGTGGCGACCGACTCACACCTTTCGTCATGCCTAAACGAGGCAAAAGACATTATAGTGAGATATGGGCAGAAGAAGACAGCGCTATGGTAATTGAGCCGAGTACACCAGGAAGGGATAAGCTCGCCCCCAACCAGGCACGTGGCACTATCGATAATATGGACGACGATGTCGCAGAGAGCGACAAGTTGTCGGTCGGTCCCGTCTTGTCACGACTGCTACAGGCTATGCGCCCCGAAGCTCGTGTGCAACCGACCGAAGATAAGCCGATGACGAACGGAGTTAATGGAGACGTCGAGATGAAGGAAGAGACAAATGGTGATTCCAATTCGGGTATAACAGGTGAAGAGAGTAAGAGTGTACCACCAGCCACCTTTATGACCGAATCGTCAACCGAAGCCTGGAAGAAAGCCACGCATCCCAAGTTAGATTACTCGCAAGTAGACGAACGCATCAAGCTAGAACTTCGTAATATCGGTTTCCTTCCACTGGAAGGGTTCGACGGTGATTATGATGGGCACTATGATGATGAAGTCGCCGCTCGCTTACGTCTCTTGCAAGATCGTTTACGCGAGCAGATGCTCATCAATGGTGCGCGCAAGACCCGATTAACCGATTTGGTTAAGGAGAGGATGGCCCATCAGGAATACACCACTATCCTTGAGGATCTCGATTCGCAAGTCCAGGGTGCGTATCTTAAGCGGACGCGCACGATGGGTAAGAGTAAGAAGGCGAAGCGACCAGGTGGTGCTGGCGGCGGTAGTCATCCAGCTGGCGGCTCCGGGACAGGTATGGCTCGACCAGGTATCGGCGACGTAACTAAGACTCTGATGGAACGCCGAAAACGATGGATCGACGCTGTTGGCCCGGTGTTTAGTGATCCCGCTCTTGGCAAGGTTCCTCGTTCGTCGAATCCCGACAGTACGATCTTCAAACCGGAGATGATGGCTGATTTCATGAAGAAGGAGCAGCAGGCTTGGGACGAGGAGGTTGAGGATGAATAACTAGATATTCTCTATTCTTTATACTTTCCTCGGAGGCGCTCTGTGGGTTTACTTGTACCTTATGATACCAAATTGGGGTTTAGGGATGAGCAAGGAGTTTGCGAGGAGTTTGCGAGGATTGATTTTGGAATTTCTACCTTATCAATTCCTACCGGTGCGATAGGCTACTAGCCTGAGTTGGAAGCTTGGTAGATGAGGTGTAAGACTTAATTTTGAATCAATACCCTCCTGGTTCTTTATATCACCTCCGTTTGCTACCTATGACAACATGACTTGATTCGTGTTCTTACCTAGGTATTGTAAATTAATTAACCGGTTCTATTTTTTAAGATACCACTCTCCTACTGCTATTAGTGCATGTAATAACTATACCTTAGGTAGTATTTGTCCGAGGAAGATAGAGCGAAGGAAGATTGAAGTTGGAGAATACAAACCGCATCTTATGTAAGTTCTATAAAGTACCTAATGTTGCGGGGTATTAAAGGCGCTAATGCTAAGCTAAGGTATCTGCGTATGCAAGTAGACCGAAGCTTGGAAACCCCACCCCACATAGATAAGAAGCTATAACTTAAAGCTATCAATTGATGAATAGTTGTATTACATACAAACTGAATAAAATCAACGTCAAGCCGTTCTCGTAACCATTTTTTATGGTTCTCTTCTTATTCATCTAACTCCACAAGAGTTAGAATTGCGTAGTGACCTGAAGCAGTCTGTATCATCGCAAATATGCATCTTGCGCCGAAAGAGGTCCGTATTAGTTAACTACCTATTTATCTAGTAGCTATAGTGAAGCAAAGGAGATAGCTATAGACTAACATTATATTCTAGCTTGATAAGCTCGTCATCTCGCAACTGGGCTTCCTAGCTCAGAGAAGACTTGCTAGAGGTGTTAAGTTGAACCATACCGAAGCCACTGTAAGCTTCCCAGATCTTATAGGGAGCATAGCTCTTTAATACAGTAATCGAATAACTAGCTAATGAGCTGGTCTAACTCGATCTTAGGCTCTCATCGCGAATAATCTCCAAGAGCTTATCCGAGATGGCCAGCACAGCGTTGCTGACCTCATGGCGATCGGGTCTACCATGTTAGGCCGGAGGCACGTACTTCCCTCCGTCGTCAGCACTCTCCACGAGATCCAAGTCGAGGGCACATTCCCATCAGGAACGTATCTAGTAACTGTGCACAACCCCGTCGCTACCGATGACGGTGACCTAGCAAAAGCCCTATACGGTAGCTTCCTGCCCATCCCCAATCAAGACCTATTCCCAGCCGCCGAGCCAAGCGCCTATGAGCCCACCAAGCAGCCCGGCGCCGTGGTGGTAGTCAAAGGGCGCATCACCCTTAACGAAGGCCGCAAACGCATCAAGCTCCGAATCACGAGTAAAGGCGACAGGCCGATTCAGGTAGGCAGCCACTACCACTTCATCGAGGTGAACCCGCAGCTCGAATTCGACCGCGGCGCCGCGTACGGGTTCCGGCTCGACATCGCCGCCGGCACGTCCGTGCGCTTCGAGCCGGGAGACACCAGGACCGTGAATCTGGTCGAGATCGGCGGAAATCGGGTTATACGTGGGGGCAATGGAATTGCTTCGGGGCGAGTGGAGCTATGGAGGGTAAACACTGTCGTGGCTGCGTTGCAAAAAGCCGGTTTTGTGCATGTGCCGGAGCCCACAAGCGGCTTGGAGTTGGTAGATGCGTTCTCGCTGGACCGCGAGAAGTACAGGACTATGTTTGGCCCTACGACGGGAGATATGGTGCGCTTGGGGGCGACAGATCTTTGGATCAAGATAGAGAGGGATTTGACGACGTATGGTGATGAGTGTAAGTTTGGAGGTGGCAAGACGCTACGAGAAGGTATGGGGCAGATGACGGGGTGTTCGGACAAGGATAGCTTAGATATGGTGGTGACGAACGCTCTGATTATTGATTATACGGGTATTTATAAAGCGGATATAGGAGTAAAAGATGGTCTTATCGTGGGGATTGGTAAGGCTGGTAATCCGGATGTTATGGACGGCGTAACGGAGGGGATGATCGTAGGTAGCTGTACAGATGTTATTGCGGGAGAGGGTAAGATTATAACTGCAGGTGGTCTGGATACACATATCCATTTCATATGTCCCCAACAGGCGTATGAATCTATTGCTTCGGGTATTACGACGATGCTTGGAGGTGGTACTGGGCCTAGGTAAGAGATTCCGCTTCTACTTGAGTACTATAGTCATCTGGGGTAAGGTGAGCTGGCGAGTTATAAACGACTAACAGCATCCTTTTCAAGCGCTGGAACCAACGCTACTACCTGTACACCAGGGGCCAACTATATGCGGCAAATGCTACAGGCGTGCGACCAGTTACCTCTTAATATTGGAATTACGGCGAAGGGTAACGACAGTGACCCGGGGGCTCTGCGTGAGCAAGTTCTTGCAGGCGCCTGTGGTCTCAAGCTGCACGAGGATTGGGGTACGACACCGGCAGCCATCGATTCTTGCTTAAGCGTATGTGATGAACTAGACGTGCAATGTCTGATCCACACGGACACACTCAATGAGTCTGGATACGTGGAGTCGACAATTGCAGCTTTCAAGGGGCGAACAATCCACACCTACCATACGGAGGGTGCAGGAGGCGGGCACGCCCCTGATATTATTAGAGTCGTGGAGAATGAGAATGTACTACCGTCATCAACAAATCCGACGAGACCGTACACACGAAATACTCTAGACGAGCATCTCGACATGCTCATGGTATGCCACCACTTGTCGCGAAACATCCCCGAGGACGTAGCCTTTGCAGAATCTCGTATCCGCGCCGAGACAATCGCAGCCGAGGACGTGCTACACGACCTGGGTGCAATCTCCATGATGAGTTCGGATTCTCAGGCGATGGGCCGTTGTGGTGAAGTTATTCTCCGAACTTGGAACACGGCACACAAGAACAAGGTTCAGCGTGGCTGGTTACCCGAGGATGAGGGTACGGAAGCGGATAACTTCCGCGTCAAGCGATATATTAGCAAGTACACTATCAACCCGGCTGTCACGCAGGGTATGGGCCACCTAGTTGGTAGTATCGAGATTGGAAAGTTGGCTGATCTAGTGCTCTGGGACCCGGCGTGGTTTGGCGCCAAACCGGCGACGGTGGTTAAGAGCGGGTTGATTGCTTACGCACAGATGGTTTGTCTTCTTTCTCTTTCTCCCCCCTTTTTTTCTTTTTTTTCGGTTCTCTTTACCCTACGTAATTCTAACACTCTTCCCCAGGGCGACCCTAATGCTTCGATCCCGACGGTGCAGCCGATAATCGCGCGCCCCATGTTCGCACCGCTGGTGCCGCGGTCTAGCGTGCTGTTTGTATCTGCGGCTAGCTTGGACACAGTGACCTCCGGGTATGGGCTACGCAAACGCGTCGAGGCTGTTCGTGGATGCCGCTCCGTCAGCAAGAAGGACATGCGGTTCAACGACGCCATGCCCAAAATGCATGTCGACCCCGAGCGATATGCGGTGGAGGCAGATGGTGTGTTATGTACTGCAGAGCCGGCGAGCGAGCTGCCGCTTACGCAGGCTTGGTTTGTTTATTAGTGCGGGTGGGAGATGTGTCAGGTGGAAACATAGGGGGTTGAGGAAAGTCGAGGCCGGGAAGCGGGTTTAGTGTCTGGGTTTTTGGGGTGGACTAGTGGCTGGGTTCAGTGTTTAGATGCGAAAAGGGGGATTAGCTATGGGTGGTTGTAACTGGAGGTAGGATCTGTGCTGTATGTAAACTCTCGACATGCGAGGTACCTAAATGGATTAATATTGTTCATGGTCAACTTCAATACGTTTTTGATGCATTGATATAGAGATAAATGAGATGCCCAAGCAGCTAGTTTTAATCCTGGTACTGGTATCCAACCCTATCAAGCTCGACATTCTTCTTTTAGTGGATAGGAGACCTGCTTAACTGGGAGTTTTACTGTATATACCTGTTTCTGGACTGCTGGTAGTAGATTGATGTAAGTTGATTGGTCAGCTTGAGGAGCGCCTGTAAGATAGGTACCTATACATGAGTATATAGAGGGATGTCTACCTAAGTAGATGGATAATACCGAATACAAATAGCTACTGGTCGAAATCATTAGGCCTTAAGAGATAATTTGCGTGGCTCTGTATTCGTATAATAGAATAACCCGTTAGATATAGAGGTTATCTACCTATCCACTCTGGTATAACCGTCTCAAACACTGCATCGATGAATTATGTACTGAGTTGTTGAGACGTAACCGATAGGATATTGGAGGCCTACGTATACGTATAGTACACCTAGGAGCATAGTAGAGTTTCTGCTGGCCGTTCTTCGCAGCGCTACGCTTAAAAAATACTCTTTGTTAAACTCCACTAGCAGTAGGCAGCACGTTACTGCTAGATAATTGCCTAATAGCTGAAACTAGAAGCCCGTAGGCATTCGAATTTAACAAAGAGGTAGGTAGCTTAAAGGCTGCTAGATACGTACTTGCATGCTCTAATCCCGATAGGTTCACCATGACAGGAGACGTTGGTCTCCTGAATACCAAAACGTCAGTAATAAATAGATACGGTCAATACACTGCTCTGCGAAAAGCCATGTAAATACAAATAGTCAACACTTCGAGCCCTTAGAATAAAACTCCTTCCCTCGATCCGCCGTCCCTAGGCCCCTACTAACCCATCCGCGGGTACCTGTAGGATTCTCGTAATTCATAATACAACATCAGAAGAGTCTGGATAACCCCGTGCTACTTTAGTCCTCATCCATAGGCAAGGTATCTTTCCATCGACATATATTCCGTCCTCGGACTTTTCCCCCTCAGTACCTAGTTAGCAAGTGAAACAAACATTGCTACACTTGTACGTAAATGGGTCAGGTTTGATGTAGTTCACGTATATCTCTAAACGAAGAGGATATAAGGTGATGAAAGCACTCGAATTTAGCGCAATCCGTACTGATAGAATCATGCAGCCTTCTTCTTCCGACTGGACTTCTTAGGTTCCTCCGGGGTCTCGGCTACTTTGGAGGCTCTTTTGCGCTTTTTGTCAGGGCTAGCAGGCGTCGCGGTCTTAGCAGCGCTCGCCTCAACATCCTCGACCTCGGCAGCTGCGGTACTCTTTCGCTTTCGAGTTACTTTAGCCTTTGGTGTTTGAGTTTCAGGCTCAGGTGCAGGTGGCACGGCCATTTGCAGCTGCTCAGCAATGGCATCCTGATCATTAGGAGCATACGCCTCTTCTCCAGATAGAACGGGTTGGGGGATTCCATTTCCGTCAGCGTAGTTCAGAGCATCCGGATCAGTCATATTTCGAGCATCAAGATTGCCAGCCTTGTACGAGTGCACTCGCGCATTGTATAGGCGGAGGTTGAACTGATAAGCATTGTTCCAAGCCTAGCATTGACGTTAGCAAAGTGAATGTGTGATCGTCGGGCACAATAGAATACTTACGTTCTTTTCGGCCGGGGTCATAGATGCCCAGCGACGCTGACCTTCCTCCTGCACAGCACCTTTCGGGGCATCCTGACCAAGATCGTTGGCGATAATGGGACGAGCGGTTTGCATATACAAGAAATAAGGTGTCAAGGGTCGCTTGGGGGCATTAGGATCATGAGTTCTCTTCTTACGCTCCTTCTTCTCTTCAACATGACCAAAGTCACCGAGTTGACCACTAATACCATCTAGGTTGGCAATTATATTTTGCATAGAATGAGTCGTATTGTTGTCAAAAGGAGCGGGTTCTCCGATTAGGAGATTAGTTTGTCGTAGGAAGTCATCCGAGAAACTCTTCATTAACCCTGTTATGGTGTTGAATCTGGCATGAACCTGATATGAGGATTAGCTTTCATCTTCGTCTCAAATTTAAAAACCAATGGGGAATAGGAAGATGGTGATAATGGTGGGGGTATATAATAAATTAATAGGCTGTTGTGTAATGGCAGCACACCATGTAAGATGCGAGGGGTATGACTGAGATAAGATGCCTAAGGCGACCAGGTATTTGACAGCCATAGATGAACAGGGTAAGTGGACGACAGTAAGCAAACCGGGTCATGTAGCTCAAGTACTTAAAGCTTTATCACCCTCGCCATTACCGTCACATACATAATCATAAGGTGTCAAGTACTGTGTGCACGCAAATAATATGCAGAGCACTATCCCTTATACGTATAACGGATATGTAGAAAAAGTATGTTGCCGAATTTTGAAAGGGGAAAAAAAAAGTTGACTTACGCTATCACGAACTCGGATGAACTCTTCAATACCAATCGTTCTAGGAGGTTGGATTGCAGGTCCAGCAGCTAGAGGTTGTTGTTGAATAGGTTGAGGCGCCATCTGAGCTGGGACAGGTTGCATGGCCATAGGAACCATGGCTGGTGCGGGTGCCACGGGGGCGGGTTGTCGGGGAGGGTCTGCCTTTTTGGGGCGAGGCATTGTATTTGATTTAGTGGTGGTTGTAACTTTGGGTGATTGTTTTGGTGCTTGATGCTTGGTGCTTGGATTCTTTGGGTACTGAGGCCCTAAGGTAGGTAGATAGGTAGATAGTGTTGTACTTTGACGCGTTGGCTAGGTGTGCTTTGCGTAAAAGAAAAAAAAAAGTCACCTGTGGATTTATGATCCAATAATTTAGAACAAACTATCCTGTCTGTGTTATGTTGCCGGGTTGGTGGTCGACCTAGGTGTCTAAAGCCAGATTGCGACCGCTGGAGATCAGTAAAGAAAAGTGCAGGAAGCGCGAAATTTTGGCGGAAAGAAAGTTTTGGGGGCAACGGCGCTGGAAGGGAGGGGCAAGGCACCCTCTAAATATCCCAAAACTAAGGCTTGCTGATTTTCCCAAATCACTGATCACTGAGAGAGGGGTGCTCCGGGGGGGTCTGCACTATGGTGGATTAGGTACCTAAGTAACTTTTTGTAGCGACGTCTTAGGTACAAGATAGTAGGCACTTATACCCCTGAAGAAACAACTATTTTACTACTGTAGAATCGCCAATGCAATTCTAATGAAATATTTCTACGTATTTAAAAACATCTAAGCTATCATCTCGTCCAATTTGCACCAAAATCATACAATTGTACGTTGTTTTACGTAGATTCTCGCTGTCGAGTAGACATTGATTCTTGTAGTGTCACCCGAAAAAAAATATATCGCGTCTGAACTAGAGAGGGGCATCGAAATCAGCCCAGCCCCATTACCCGTAGAAGGAAGGGGCCGAAAAAAATAATAATAAAAATAATAAAAATCAGCAGGCACAAATGGAACCAGCCCAACTTGATGCATCTTCATGGTACTTCCACTTTACATCATTCTCTTATTCTCGCAAGTCACTCGTTATCTACTTTTATACATGAGATCTAAATTTAATATATGTTGACTTTGTCGCATATTTTCTATACTATGTTTTAATAATTAATATGAAATATTCTTTTAATCTCTTGAGGTTTAATTGTTGTCGATGACCAATTGTTAGGGTCGCAAATGATGTTCTAAGTTCATAAGGGCTTTAAAGAATGACTTTCAAAAGTTGCATCGCTGAATGTGCTGAAGGAGCTTAGAAGTACCCGAAATTTTGGTGTTCCCAGCGTCTTGTCATTCTCAATTAAATGGTTGCACCCGTTCAGTGGAAGCTGCAAATCGATTGGCTCGGCGGGGAAGGTGCACCTGTAGTCCATCAAATCACATCAGCGCCTCCAGTGAGCGTCTAAAGCGGCGGCAACTACCGGCCCTTCCATCCCCCCATCACCTACCGAAATTTTCAGGGTCAAACCAACTCCCCCGACACCCTTCTCAGCTGTTCGCTCCAGTGTTGCTCCAGTGTGCGCACATAGGACATAGTGGATTCAGCACCTTTCCAACCTTCTACACAAGACAAAAATTTTCTTCTTTCAAATACTACGGTCACCAACTAATAAAATCTTAGCAGCTGTTGATTATTTATCAGCGTACCATTATCCACCGTGTTACCCCACAATAGGTATCATCATAGTTACAGTCCACAGCATATTGATGCCTTTTTTTCATTAATGTTTGCGTTGACGAGATAGCTTTGCCGGTTACACGTTTATCTGCCTGTCTGTTAGGTAGGTAAGATAGGTGGTTATACAGTTCTTAATCAACCCGTCGATTCTGGTCTTCATAATCCATCGATTCTAAATTTATTAGTGAGGTTCACAGTGCACTACAGCGTAGATACTTGGTCGCCGTGCCTTAACTTACATCCGTACCTGACCTTAAGAGGTAGATAGAACTATTTCTGTGTCTGTTTAGGGTAGCCATGTCTAGCATGCTTACCTCTAAAGTCTGCCTAACTTCTGATAAATTCTACCTCGCTTCCGTCGACACTTCTTGTTCAGACAACCCTTAATAGGCACTAATTCGTAAGGCCCATAGCCTGAAAAGTCTGTTCTATCTATCCTTGTGTCGCTGTCCATGACGCATGGCTAGATACCTTCTATATGCTGCCCGCTGATAATTCATAAGTGGCTTAACAGCACAATGCTTCTTACCGCGCTTCAGTTAAAATCCACCACACCAGGTGTTTATTCCGTAAATACTTGATAGGTATTCGCAGACTGCTTGAAGCTATAGAAATCTACGAAACCGATGTTGCTACACTACAATTTTTTCGCACGATAATTATCTTATTAGATTGTAGTGCCTTTAGTTGTTAGCATTCTTTTCGTATAGAGGTAATATAGTTGTATTCGCTACATACTAACTATTCACGATAAGGGGTATCCTTGGGCCATTGCCTGCTGGGTAGTCAACTCTATAACATAGCAATCTGCCTATCTACTTCAGCGAATATAAACCGAAGAGTATGGTCTAGCAACTTGTTGATTGAAGACTATAATATCTTACGCACAGTTGACATGATCGCTTTGGGTTTCAGCGGACGAGACGTGCCTCTATGTAAACAGCAGATCCTACTTGCGTAAAAACAACTACTAATCTAAGGAACTGCCATTTTAATACAGCGCATTGCATCCAAGGCTCATTTATTCTTGCTGAAAGTAACGACGTTCCCGAGTGATATATGATAACTACGGTAGTTATGTCGAAATAGCTTTGGGTGTCTCGTTAGTTGAGGCTTGAAGCAAGGCACATTACCCCTCACTTGCAACCTACCTCTAGAGCTCAACATCCTCGCTTCTAGTACATAATGCATAACATCAGACGATGACCGCGCAACAATAGCCTATCTACCATAACAAAACACTAAGGCACTAAGTAAAAGATCTAATATGGACCCAAATACTTAACCTACCTAACATGAGTCTTCTGAGGCATTAAATACCTAGGTATCTTAGGTATCTTATTCTAAGAACATAAAAATATGATGCTACAATATGCACTAGTTAGAAGCTACTCTTATCACAAAATTACTGTAAATTTGGTTATCCACAAAGATACTACTGGAAGATTCAATGACTGGTTTCTCTAATGCTTTGTCTAAATCACATATGAGGAGATTTACAACCATATCAATACAAGTTCAATAGCAATGACCCTGAAAGTAAGAAACCAGGTATCTTAGGTAGGTAAGCAATAAGTAAGCCCAATTGTCTTCGAAGCAACAAGTCGCGTCAAAGTAAACCGGGCTCATAGAAATATAGGATCAAGATCTGTCAATTTACATGTTACACAGCGATTACCTATCTCCAGGCTTGACGCCATTGCAGCTCGGAGAACCCACTTATCCGTTCCTGATACTGGCCCGGACATTTAAAGGAACCCGCACCGCGCTCATCCGAAGATGCACGTGTGCCGGGCAGGCAGGAGCATTAAGGTCTTGAAACGTTGGCCCTGATCGCCAATCAGACCTTACGTAGGTAGATATTCGTTCACAAATATGCAAAGCACGAAGAAAAAGACAAAATGATAAAATGAATGACGTTTAGATAGAATCAGATATATTACTTAGCTAAGTATTAAACCTATAGATCGATCACACTGTTCCATCGTATGTTTTGATTTCGTACAAGTTTAATATTGTTTTACACGTATTATTAGAAGCTAACCTCGAAGCTTGAGTCCCCTGTCTTTTATGAGCCGGATTTCCGATAGTAGATTACACAGTATTTACTGTGTTTCTTGTACTTCTACAGCTATTATTCCAACTGGATGCTAGTAAATAAAAGTCTTGAGTACATCCATAAACTCGCCCTTTCCATACTCGTATATAAATCGTTTCAGTTATGATCAAATGGTATCCACTTAAAACCGGTATGGTGGGCTTGGCAGACATATGCATAAGTTACACGAGTTGAAACGTGAGCCAACCAATGAACCCCTCGTTCCCCCTCCAAAACTGACGATCTGTTGCACTAACACCTTAACACTCTAACACCTAGGATTACGTTACCTTAGCACAGCTAAGCTCCTGCTACCCCTCCCCCTCCTTTTTTCTTTTCCATATTCCTGAGGGCCTCCAAATGTGCAGTCCCTTAATACAATAGTATCACGTCACCCCGATCATCAGCTTATTATTTGTGGCATTTCCTAGCAAATTAAGTTGGCCTTATTTTTTAGTTGACCTGCTTTGAGGTCAAAACATCAACTCAATCGTCTAATACTATTACCAAAGCATCAATATTCACTATAGTTATACCTAAATATTATCGATATATCCAAAAATGATCACCCTCAAGCCTTTCCCCGCCTTTTTGGGGTTGGTGTTCCTTTTTGTGTTCGCTCGGCCAGCCCTTGCCTTTGGTGCTGGTAACATCGCCGGTATGCTCTACCTGCTAGTCAATAATGATGTAGCGCAAACCTCACGTTGATAAGGCTAACTTTCTCGTTATAGGTATCTCCAAGGTTGAGGGACAGAACTGTGAGTTTTCTCCTCGTGTGGGTTGTAAAGGCATATCTTTGGTCGGGAATCTAACATGAAATTGCGTCTAGGGCGTCATGGAGATATTGAAGACACTCTTCTTTCCATCATCATGGCCCGAGCCGTTGGGGGCAAGAAGTTCAACAAGCTAATGGTCTCTCGTGTCTACTTCGGTAACTGGCTTCGAGATTACTCCCAAGCCATCGATGTTGGTACGGTCAAGTCAGTCTCTGCCGAAGCTATTCGACTCCTTTTATGTGTTCTTGGCTTCTTGACCTTTGGCTTTGGCTCCAAAGAATTTGAAGTCACAGCCGATCGCCTTGGCTGCTACCGACCTGAAGACCACATCGACAACCCTAAGAATTACGCCGACAACGAAGATGCACGTCAGTACGACCAGAGACTGCGTGGTCCCGTTGACGAACGTGTCGAGCTCGCTGTCGACCCGGAGACGGGTTTGAAGAATTATATTGCCAACGAGAATTCTAGAATAATGACTTCGGCACAACACGTTAGACGGCTATTTGGTCGTTGCATTGAACTTGGCCAATCTTACAAGCAGAGCAACAGGAAGAGTGATTTGTATGAGGCTTTACGATTACTTGGAACTGGTCTCCACTGTCTTGAAGGTATTGTGTTCAGTATCATCTTGAGCTATGAATGCTCTTTCTTGTGTCTATACAAAGCTAACTCAAAATCGAATAGATTTCTTAGCTCACAGTAATTATACGGAGTTGGCGCTTATCGAGCTTGGCGAGCGAGATATCTTTCCACACGTCGGTAGAGACACCAAAATTCAAATCCCCGGCGCTCGACATGATGTCTACCCTTGCATTACTGGAACCTTTGGCGGTGTCGACTTCCTACACTCTGTCACTGGAGAAGGTTAGCTATACCCTACACAATTTACCTAGCAAAACTTTCCAGTATATCTAACTCGACATCCTCTTAGTCTCGGACAAATTGACGCAAAATGAAATCCAAGAACTCGAGGGCACTCTCCAGGAGAATTCAAGGAAAAACGATACAAGCATCCTGGAAGGACTCATTGACAAGATCCCAGATGGTATTTTTGGCGGTGATAACAAGAAGCAGAAGATGGAAGATATCCAGAGCAACGCCGCTAATGCGCAGATGTCTAACACATCAATCTCCCCAAGAGAACCGGAAGAGTTTACAGAGTATATCCAGCAAGTCTTCCAGCAGATTATGCCTGCCATTGAGTTTCACGATGATCTTATGAAGAGCATCAGTGAGGCAGTTGAGAAAATTCCTATTCTACCCCAGATCATTGAACAGCTGGAGGAGCAGCTCTCGATGTGGACATTCTCGATTATGGCGCCCTTTGTTGTCCCTATTATCCAGCAGGTTAAGAATGAACTTCGTACCGGTTCGTCCGAAATCATTGAGAGTAGCAAGAACGAGCAGCACATCGTCTTTGACGATGACGAATGTAGTGATCCGACGCACTCTATGCTCTCCAAGGACCATTTCTCTAACGTGAGTGGCTGCTACTAAATTCAACTATTTATCATACTAATTACTTTATAGATCCTCAATGAGATTGCAGGAAAGACTGCTAGCAAGGTCGTTTATTGGGTTGTTCCTCAGATCATGGATGCCTGGGATGACGAAGGTGCTGATGTTGATCGCCTGCTGAACCGTATCATCTATGGTGTGCTACACCATCCGGCTCAGCGTGATATGGGAGAAGACGGAGCTCGTGATGGGCGACAAATCATGTTCCGCTCCGTCGAGGAGTGGTGGAACCAGATGGACGAAGGTGCCAAGGATGAATACCGCCAAAAGCTTTCTCGCGATGGCGTATTTAACGGCGAGAATCACAAGGAAGGTGTCCACGATTCTGGTCATGGTTGCGGAAAGCCTCTTGGAATGCACAAAAATTTCGCTGAGGGTGGAACTATGGAAGACCGTATCGCAAGCCAAGCTGCTAGTGCTATTGTCGGGGGTCTCACTGGTGGCGTCTCTGATTTCGTTAGTTCCCAATCTGGCGGACAGATCAACCTACCCAACTATGGAAATCAAGGATCCAGTAGTCCCGGTGGGGGTGGCCTTCTCGGGGCTATCGGCAATTCTCTTCTAGGTGGGGCTTTCAAGAGCAACGAAACCGAATCTTTCGGAAGCAGGCGCCAGGGTGACGACGGATCGTACACCGAGAGCCGTACCGAGTACGGACGCTCTGGTGATCGTTATGGCCAGGCTGAATACTCCGAGAACCGAGATTCCGAGGGAGGCGAGAGCAGGGAATATCGCCGCTATGAGCAAGATGGAAACGAGGGTCGAGGCTACGGTTACCAAGAGCGCACCGATACTCGTCCGAGCTACGGCGGTGGATATGAGGAACGCACTGAACGTCGATACGAAAGTAACGACGACAGCTACCAAGAATCTAGCAGCCGGAATCGGCGTGGTAGCAACGATAATGATAACTACGGCGAACGCCAGGAGAGCTACGGTAGCCGACGTGATTACGACGGTGATGGTGGTTACGGACGTCGGGAGGAACGCTCGGAAGATTCTTACGGTGGGGATAGGTACGAACGTCGCGAGGAAAGGTCCGAATACAGATCTGAAGATCGTCGTGACGATGATGAAGGTGGTTTTCTAGATACGGTTATAAGCCGAGTTGGTGACGCCCTTGACGAAGGTGGTCGTCGTCGTCGTGACGAAGGAGGCAGCGGATGGGGCCTTTAGGGAAGGTTTCGTTCGAATTAAATACCTCTTGACATATGACTGGTGGTCTTGGCAAGGAGTTCTTGGGTTGTCCGAGTGTGATCATAGGAGATTTCGGCGTGCGTTGCGTTGAGTTGAGTTGTGAATACTCCCAAAAGTTACGACGTTGGTAAGGCTACAATGATGTAAGCTTTTGCTTAGTTCTATCTCTTTAACAAGTCAACCAAGTTCTATCAAGGATGATCCTACTACTTTATAATTAATTAAAAAATTGTGATTGCCTTGTATGCAAGATATAATCAAGAGTTCCATAGATATAAGTTGTATACCTTCTCCGCATCTCCCTACAGTGTAGTGGGGAGGTCCTCTTGAGCTACCCTACTTCTAGTATGACCTCACGGAGCTACATTCCCGACGGCTATTGGACACTAAGCCTTTTTCCAGATAGCTTTCCCGATTTTGCCAGCCCCTGGCTCCACTCAGCTAAGCTCCGTTCCATTAACATGGTCTTACCTGCGACAATCCCTATATATGACCTATATAATGCCATGCAAGATCCCGCCAGGGCGGATCACCACACGACTCAAGCCGTCCTAACGGCAGAGTTGCCCGGAATGCCCAGAGATTCCATGAATATGGAAAGAAATTACTACTTCCGGTGGGCCATAGTGAGGGGATAAGATCGACGGCCTTACTTTCAACTCAGCACAGTCGTAAGATCTTTAAAGACTGGCTGGTTTCCGGATTGCGTGCTACTCTTTCTTCTATATCTTCCCTTCATATTGTAGACTCCGTACGAAAATACAGTCAGTTCGAACATATATCAAAGGAACAATGCAGCTCACAGCAACCTTGGGACTCGCGGTCCCCTTGCTAGCGCAGCTAGTGTCGGCGCAGGCGTCCGGGTCGGGACAGACGACACGATACTGGGACTGCTGCAAACCGAGCTGCGCATGGTCGCAGAAGACCGACAGCGGAAAAATGATCGGTACCTGTAGCAAGGCAGACCAGCCGCTCGGCGACAACGGAGCGACCAAGAGCGCATGCGACAGCGGCGGTTCGGCATACATGTGCAGCAACCAGAGCCCGTGGGCCGTCGACGATACTCTCAGTTACGGATGGGCTGCCGTGAGAATCCAGGGACAGACTGAGACCACTTGGTGCTGCGCTTGCTACGAATTGACCTTTACCAGCGGTCCGGTTAGCGGCAAGAAGATGATCGTCCAGGCTAGCAACACGGGAGGGGACTTGGGCGAGAATCACTTCGATCTTGCGGTACGTCATTCCCTTTTTAATCTTGTCATTCTTCTCTCTCTACTCTTCCCCTCCCTTCCCATACTCGGAGCGAATCTATAGGCAAACAAGCACTAACCCTTGTGCAGATCCCCGGCGGTGGTGTCGGAATTTTCAACGCCTGCACAGACCAGTACGGCGCTCCGGCCAACGGGTGGGGCGAGCGGTACGGCGGTGTGAGCTCGCGCGAGGCCTGCGACGGGTTCCCCGAGGCGTTGAAGGCTGGTTGCTACTGGCGCTTCGACTGGTTCGGCGGCGCGGATAACCCAGCCGTTAGCTTCAAGCAGGTTACGTGCCCTTCGGCCCTCACTGAGAAGAGCGGCTGCTCCCGCAACAGCTAGGCGCAAAGATTAAGAGATGAGTTGGTATAAGAATTGGTATCTAAGGGGCTACTAAGGAAAGGAGGAAGAGGGGGGTATAGCTTGGGTGGATGGATGTATATAGGTTGGGAGACGCGACGGGAGGTATATAGAAACTTCACGTATATTAAAAATACTCAAATATAGAGACGATTCCTAACGTGATACTTATAACTAGGTTAAGTTATTATATGTTCCATGTTTAGAAACTTCTTATTTTTAGGGAAGCTATAGGACTTTGTCAATCTTAACTAAATTCATGACCCTGTATCTGCTAAGACCTGATGCTCTTCTATTGAATCTATTTATAGTTTGTAAACTTGTAACTTATAGATGTGGAAGGAAACGAACCACGTTATTATGCGCATTAAAACCTCATTTCCGTAGATAAAATGCATAAAATACAATAACAATTTTACTAAAATATTTTCAATGTTTTGCTTTGGCTCATCATGCTAAGATGTTCATAAGTACCTACTGAGAGTTCATTGGCATCGTATAACACCACTTCCTTTAACAGATACCTAGTCACTGTTTTCACTCGTATCGGCACATCGTATTATCGTCGTATCTTGGCACACAAATACATACGTAGCGGGTTTATCCTAAAACCTGTAGCCAAGCTGCTTTCGAGATCTAGTGTAACCCCACGTGCTTCTTTTTGGCACCATCGTAGGATCTCCAACTCGGAAATTTCTTGAATTAGAAGCTGAGTAACGATGGCGTGCGTTAAAATAAGTCGTGATCTCGGGAGCGACCGAAACTTTTAAATATTCCTTTTAAATATAAATAATTGGGGGGTAGATCATTAAAACCTTCGCTTTGTAGTGGCAGATATTAAATAGACATTGCCAAGATGAAGCTCTTAACCGCCTTCACTAATCTCCTAGCTGCCGCCAATGTAGCAATGGCAGCAAGTTTACCCCTACGCATCGTCTCTTTCAATATTCGGTATGCTGCGACGTCTCTTGACAGTAATGAAAAGCCCTGGTCGGACCGCCGCACAGGTCTCATCAACCAACTCAAGTCAGTAACCGCCAATGCATCAGCGGCTGGGGCTGTGTCAGTGCTGGGTCTCCAAGAAGTTCTCGACGCCCAACTAAACGACATCAAGAACGGTTTAGGAACCGACGTCTGGACTCATTTTGGCTTTGGGCGAGACGATGGCAAGAAGAAGGGCGAGTACAACCCGATTATCTACCGTACCGACGTCCTCAAGCTATTGTACAGTGAGCAGAAATGGCTGTCACCTACCCCAGATGAGGTCTCGTTCGGATGGGGTGCCGGTAGCCGACGAGTCAGCGTGATTGCTGTCTTCGAGCATATCGAAACCGGAAAGCGCTTCATCCACGCGAATACGCACCTGGACAACGTAAGCTCGCAGGCGCGTAGCGAGGGGATCAAGGTCGTTTTGTCGCGCATCCGGGCTGTACAGGATAAGTACGGTCCTTTGGGTGTAACGTTAACCGGCGACTTCAATTCGGAGCCAGGAGGCGATGCATACACTACGCTCGATGGCACCGGGTATCTGACTGAGCTGTGGAACTCGGGGGCAAAGAGACTGGGAACTAATCAACTAACATATACGGGCTTTTCGACGACGGGCAAAAGCCGCATCGACTTCGTCTGGTTCGGTCCTAAGGGCGAGGATCGGTATTCGGCGCAACAGTTTGAATTCTTGAGCAATGATATAGACGGTGTCTTTATTAGTGATCATCGGGCTGTGGTTGCTGACTTAACTATACTTTGAGTTAGATATTAGGGTTCGGCTATTGGTGTGGTGTGCCTATCTCGATCATTGGAGTAGAGTGAAACTTCAGACTTATGATAGGTAATAAAGGTTCTATTTTTCAATATAACGAGTCTCAAATTATAATCACGATTTTGATAAAATGGTAAAGGCGCGTGGCTAGAATCTGACATAATAGCAAATTAATACCATGCGGTAAGGGGTTGATCTTCTCCAACTCGGTTCATTGCTTTGTCTATATTGTATAGGATCCTATCAGAAAGGTCGGGTAGCTACACGCGATACGCTTTTTGTCTACATGTTTCGTGATGCTTCTGAGCTACCCACACTTAATCGGTGTTTTTTAATCGACAATATTCATTATGACAATACATGGTGTGAAACTAGGCTCTTCGCTTCCTACTTCCTGCAAATAATGCAGCTGTTCAATGATAGGTTCAACACGTGTATCATTACAATGCACCTTAAGTGCCTAAGGTACATAGGGCAGTTGCCTAGTGATATGCAGGTGATGATATAAAAAGAACAGTTGGCAGTTGGTTGCTGTGGGCATATTTTCATGTACGGACAGGACGACGGGACGACAGGGCGTTAAGACGAGCTGCAGCTGTAGATAACAGGATCAACTTCTTGAACCCACCAATACACAACACGTCGTCCCATACGAAAACAACAATCAATACAGGATATCCTACCGTTCCGGTCTTAGGCTGCCAAAGCCAGGCGGCTGATACTACTGATATGGCTAACAGCCGACCAGAATCATCGTAAGGCTCCTTTTATTCTCTATATATGTTGATAAGTCGATACTAACTGTAGTTTTAAGGCCGTACGCCGGTCCTCAAACTATCCTACGATTCCAAGACGGGATAGAATTCGTCGTCCCTACTTCATTGTACAAGAAGTTTTTCTCGTACGAAATTTCCGATTTGCGAGAGTATCTAGAAAGTTTCCCTGGCGATTGTGGACATGTTATCGCCCACTTTCTCTACACGGGCACATACCAATATCTCAAGCTAAAGGGCACGCATCAATCTGAGAAGGACAAGGACATTGATGAATTTATAACATGTGCCCAAGTATACAAGATTGCGGGAGATTGCCTCCTATTCCCCCTGAAGAAACTCGTCAGAGACGAAATGGAACGCCTCGGGGGCCGCATACAAGTAACGCGACTCCTTGATGCGATAAAGGATGTGCACCAGACTCTTCCCGATACCGATACATGGCTTCAAAACTTTCTCAAGTCTCTAGTCAAACGCCTTGTCGAGGATCCTTCAATTCCCATCCAATTCATTGATTCGAATAGCCTTGGTCACCATGCTTCGATCGCTAGTGTCCTTCTTGGGACTACGATCCAGCTATGTCGCGAAAAAGTTAACGCGTCCCAACGAAGCTCCACCGTCGTAGTAACGATTCTAGGTTATCTTCACGAAGCTCAAACCCGAGGAATTGAACATTTAGAGCCTAACCTAGTTCTCGACCAAGATCCGCAGAAATATCAGAATGCGAAGGAGAAAGGAAATGAAGAGAGAGAGTCACAAGGCCCAACGAACGGAGGGAATATATTGCCTTCTTATCCTGTGGGCGGAACGAGGTAGGACATACTTAAATATCCGGAGATTTGTACAGTTTGCTAACCTAGAGGAAGCTCAAGCTATGTCCAGGAACATAAAGTACCACTTAATCCCAACAATCAAGAAAGGCTTGAGGTCCCCCTAACCACGGGAGCAGTGACGTACTATGACTTTCCCGAGGCTCACACGGTTTACTCTTACGAAAGACTCCTGACTGTATGCGCAGAGGAGCGCTTCAGAAAGTTCTCTCCCGAGGAACTACGATGGAAACAACTGGTTTGGGAGAGAGATCACCCCAAAGGTGTCTAGTTAGAGTTGTGGGTGGTGAACTTTCGTGTCGTTTACGCATATGCCGGAGAGAGAAAGTCTAATACTGGAGAGTGAGCAACTTCTTTGCAGATTGGACGTTGTAATTGTTGGTCTTGTTTGTTTAATCCGGACGTTTGGCAGTCTGGTTGATAATAGTCTGAATTTGGCAATGGATTTTTGAGAATTGTTCCTCCTGGACACTAAGGAGTGACAAGATAATAGTTAATGGAACGAGGCGTTTATCCAAAGCCAGTTACTCATAGCCTGGTAGTATTTCTAGACAATATAAAACTGATCCATCTGATTGGTAGAGATTCGGCTTTCTAATTCTTCTCTTGAAAGCAATCCTAAGTACAGATTATAAATACCCCTTTTAAAAATTTTGTCGCTGCATCATGTTTGACTGACACCTGGCGGTTGCGAGGCAGACGTAGATACAATATATTACTTTGTGTATTAAACAGTATTCCGACGGAACAGAGGGGTAAAAGATAAAAATAAAAATAACCAAATAATCCTAATTTCAGTGATTTACTCAAGTTCGACTTCTAATTTCTATAGCTACCTTTTTGGAAAGGATCAATTCCTGTTTGAAAAGATAGGGTAAAATAAGATACATGATTTAAATGGGTGAACAGCTGCTGCCAATCATGCTAGTGCCTGTCGGCCCTGACAAGGGTCTTCCTATGGACAGAGCTTCGAAGGGGTCATTCGTATATAAGCACATTTACAACACCACTCTTTCACGTACGACCATAGAATCTGGAAAACTCGGGATCCCGTCCGCTCTCCCATAGATAAGCCGGATATCGCTGGATTAGTAGTTGGGTCGGTGACGACCAGCGAATCCCCAGTGTTGTACGTTTATTCTTTTTCTTTTTCGGTGAGGTTTTTGCTATCTCTCTGTTATATAATCTGTCTCTTTAAATGTGTTTATTATTTATGATTATTTTCAAATCTCGTAGTTTTTTATATACCTCCCAGTCAACTCTAACATTTTGGTTGTTGGGATGCTTAACTACCCCTTCTACGACCTCTAAGTTGGTTGATAGATATGCCAGCTCCCATCGATTTCTTATCGTATACCTGTATTAAACACTCAATACATGTTAACAAACTAAGTGGTTGGATGATTATAACGTGAGAAGAAACACATATCCTTTGTGCCAAGTAAAGTATTATTGCGACTCATAACCAGACCTGCTTGTGTTCCCAAACCCATTTGCAAAATCACCCCATCGAGGCTTGGCATATTTCTGGACAGTCGCGAAACACTTTCCAACTTCTCAATGTTTGCCCATTAAGGCAAGTCTCATACGACTGGGTATAAGTACGACCAAAAAATTTACTACTCGGTTGGGGCCTCTGATTCCGTTTGCCGGGTTCGGCTCCTACTGTGGGGTACGTTTTCGGGGTCGTGCCAGGTTAAAGCTCAAGGATACTAACGTTGATCGGCAATGAATTACGTGTAGAAGCAACCGGCTAATATAAATATATAGAGAACGCGTATGTCATTTAATATGTGTAAAGATATGGGTTAAGCTTAAGATGAATGTATCGTACGGAACCTAATACTACGTTATTGCGGCTCGTTACGTTATTTGAGTTGTGCAACTACAAGGGAATCCGTGTAAGCGTCTTTGCGTGAGAACAATTAACCTCATATGGATGCTGGCTATTACTTCACGACGAGAACATGGAGATAGGTCATGGTTTTTATTTAATACTGCCGCGAATCTTGCTAGAATAGTGTATACGTTACTAAAGCCATATCAAACGTCCAGTTTAATTCCTCTTTTTCCTTAGGGACCTACCTTTATTATGAAGTTTTAGCGTTACTCTAGATATTTTATACATATATGTATTACTAACTACCTTATAGTAGTATATATAAGAGGAAAAGACGTTACTTGGTATTTTTAGTGCTGATTTAGGTAGTTAGAATAACTTGTCATGGTAGATAGACTGTAAAATAATAGGAGTAATATACCGTTGTACTACTCTGCTTGTCGTTTCCACTGTCATGCCACCATCCCATATATGAATTTATACATAGGATATAGGATAGGAGTTCCTCCTCAAACCATTCAGGAGTAAAGTACATCAGCGGGGAGGTATTGTAGGGCCAGGATTGAAATCTAAATATCATGTAAACCGATATATCACTCCGGATTAAATAGGTAGATATGGATCGATAAACGAAGAAACGTATTCGACTGTCCACCAAGGCCGCTCAATATTTTTGAATAATATATGAGCTATATAGTATAAGAGACCTGTCATTTACATGTGGCGTTTATAACAGTAAAGGCCCCTTCAGGGGAGAACAGCATGTACTACGGCAGCCTTTGAAGGTAGATTTCTGTCAACTTTAGATACTTAATATTATCACTGATAGAATAACCCCCTTTTGGAGAGAAGAGAACCGGAACCTATTAAGGGAGAAATGCCACTAATTAGATATGGTAAGAAAACATTGATAGGAGTATCGAACTGTCACCTCCTTAGATTGTATGGACTTCGCTATGCAAACTACAGACTATGAATACACTGGGGATATAGATAGCCTTCAGATTAGAACTTATTTGTACTGAAAATGAATACAATCCATCAATACCTAATATCCAAGCATGGAGATGTAAGGTGTCTTGATTCACCCTAATCGCATCATCATATTTTTCTCGACGCTATCTTCAAGGAAGGTAAGTTTCGAAGAGGACGTAATCCACAACCAGCTATTCGGCCCATCACAGTGATACCATTTTTGCTTACATCAAGTCCTCATCCACCTTCCTTTCAGATTCATCTCCGCTTACGATTATCGGACCTCCTATTTGCTGAATAGGCTTTCTCTATCATATGCATGGTATGTGCAAGGGGATAATATGTAGTTAAAGTGGGGTATAGACGTGGATTAAGTATTAGAACGGCGTAGACGAGTCTTGGCCAAGAACATGGTTGTGGATCTCGACTATCATTCCACATGTAAAAAGATTTTGAGGTAGTTATGGTGTTGGAGGCTCGTAGGCTCGTTATGACCTGTAATGTAATAGATATGCGTACCTATCATAGTTACGATACCAGGGTTCGCAGGAGGTAGGAGAAACAAAAGAA